TGCTGAGATTGTTGTATTGTTGTACACAGAGGCTTCTATTGAGATGTTACTGTGTGAAGCAAATGAGAATTGTATCGGAATGGTCTGAACACGCGCAAAAGGCGAGACATGCGCAGAGACGTCGAGAAGCTCCGAGAAGGCACACTTCCATGAGAACATTGTGAGTTGAGGTGGTCATCTTGTGAGGTTGAAAAGGGAAAATGTCGTGGTCATCCTGAGGTTGAAAGGGGGGAAGGCGTCGTGAACATCCTCAGGCGTGACGGACGATATTCCTCAATGAACCGATGGTGGGGATGAATGCGGGTACTATGAACACTATAGATAGGTACCATCACCCCCTCCGCGCCCAACAAAGCCAGCTGAACGTTTCTCCTGCGCCTCTACTTTCTCGATCAATCTCCAAGGGACAAGAATTTGCCCCACATATCGACCATCGCCGTTTTGCCCTACCCCCACACGGTATTCCTCTGCGTTGATTAAGATGAGATTCAGAGGTTTATCCGTTCCTACAAACGTCCCCAGGAAGATACGGCCGTCGTTTATCGTTACACGAAGGGGTTGCCGAAGAAGGCCCTCCAAGCGTGCTAATCTATGTGATGATGGTGCAGACATGGGCCTTTATTTGGTTGAAAAGCAACAGACAAACGGTCATCCTCGTTCAAAACAAGTTCAGTTGAAGTTCACACTTGTACGATTACTTACTTGAGATGGCGGGCAGATCCGTAATCTCTTACGACGACATCACCCTGCCCCCAGCAGCGTCATCCATACAACCCCCGGCTTCCAAGAAGAGGAAGTGGAACAATAATCCAACATCGACAGTGCAACACTGGGACGACCCTACCCCAAGTATCCACGGCGGAGGCCCTTCAAACAAGCAAACTAAAGCCAAGGATAAAGAAGTGGTCTTTGATGACGATGAAGCGGAACGGGAGGACGGGGAGAGCCGTGAACTGACACACGAGGAGATTTGGGATGACTCCGCTTTGGTGGACGCTTGGAATGCTGCGATGGAAGAATACGAAGCCTATAATGGACCAGATAAGGGTTGGAAAAAAGAACCAGTGCACAAATCGCCGTTGTAAATTCCCTCCCCTTCACCCGTTGCCATTTCTCTGATTATGTTAAATTCTAGGTGGTACAACGTTCCCCCAAAGAAGAAGCCATCAAAGCCAAGAATGGAACCTGCGACTCCAATGTCGTTGAACGAAGCCTCAGTTTCCGTCGAGGAGACAGACTCCAAACCCATCAATTTTGAAACCTTCGTGCCCACACACGACCCAGCGCTAGAACCCCCAAGCATCAGCTATATACCAACTGAAGGATCTGTCCTTGCTTGTGAGGCAGGTACGATGATCAGTCAAGATGAAGCTTTTTCGCGTGCTCTGAGTGCAATGTATTGGGGCGGATATTGGACTGCCATGTACCATGTTAGTAATGTCTCTTCCCTGTCGTCCTATTTACTAACTTAGCCTGCAGTGCCAGAGGCAACTTTCTGGGAATGTAATTGCCTCGACCGTGACAGCTGGGGGCAACGACCAAGCAAACGTTGACGACGAAGATATGGTTTATGAGGAAGAGGAAGAGGAAGAAGAGTTCGTTTCGACACAAAGGTAATTATATGCATACTCGGAGCAGCTCGGCCCAGGTCCAGCCCCAAAAAATTGAATGTTCCCCACATGCTTTCGTCTCCATGAACGAACATGTACGTATCTCTGGTTTGCAATTCCCATCACGATCAGTTGTCTGACACCGTCGCCCAAAGAATCAAGCTGCAAAGTGGCAAGCGCGCACTCCTTTTCTCTTGAGTTCGAAGGTAAAAGATATCTGACGTGCCGTAAGCTTTCTCCTGCATAACTACTCCACGCCCTCCTTCCTGAGAGAGAACCTTGAGAAACGGCGTAGACATTTAAATTCATGTCTCCTTGGACGAGTATCTACGCCGATGATCGACAAATGCAATACATGAGAGCAATACAAATACATGTAGTAAGTGGGCAGGGCAACCAGACCCTTTCAAGTCGTGTCTTGTCGTCAATTCTATTCCACGCCGATGCAATCAATCACCAATCCCCGCCCTCATCCCAACCGCCTTTATCCCTAACGCCCGAACTGGACAGCTTCGTCTTAGCTCTCGCCTTCCGTCCTCCAAGTGTCTTGTACATCTCCCTCATCTCGTTCTTGCTGGGCTTCGCCGCCATCTGCTGCCCCCACAATTCCTCTTTCATTTCACGAGGTGTTTGGTACCCTGAATTATTCGTGGGTGATGTGTACCCCGAACCACGGGAAAAAGGTGTCGATATCGGGGACTTTTCCCGAGCAGATTTGAGATGGACAATCCGCTTATGCATATCAACATCAGTTGATGTTTTAGCACAAACGTGCGAAACAATAACAGAACTCACCCAGTTTTGTTTGGATTCTCGCTTTGTCCATTTTCCGGGAGGCAAACTATCGTCATGAAAGTTCTCCTTTCTATAGTGTTGAAACCAGACTATTGATCGAATAAACATACGCATGAGGAACAAATTGATAAGTTACGCACCATAATTCAAAGATTGACTTCTTGCCCATTTTTTGGATACGAGAGCGCACTTTGCCAAATCCCGAAGTCCTAACTTTGAAAAGATGCGCTGTGATACTTCAGTCGGAAGCGCTTTAAGTGGATCGCGTCTCCCGTTCGATATATGGAGTGGGCCTGGCAAGGGCCGTGAGGAAGCACCGCGAACAGGCGAGGACGGCCTGGTGCGGTCTGGGGTTCCTGGTAATGAAACCTAGATGGATGTCGTAAATGAGTTGGACACGAATTGAACTCTCTCTGGAGCACATACGACGTTGACTAGATCGTCGTCAGAATCGTCCTTGTCATCATCGGACGTTGGTCGTTGTGAGGGTGATAAGCGCACGTTGCTGAGGCGTTTCTCTAGCGGAAGGGCATCAGCAGTATGAGATCTGAGTACATCTTGTAGCAGACTCATCGTAGCTGGGACGTTGTTCGCTGACAGTGAGAGGACCAATGAGTGAGTAAGTGATGACCAATCAACAAAATAATCAATAAATTAAACCCCCATAAACAGTGTCCATACCCCCTTTGCATACGAAACAATCTCGTCCGCTCCTAGCTTGCTCTCGCCAAAAATTCGGTCAACAAACGTAATTGGCACCTCGCCAACGCTGTACCCGAGTGCTCTGGCCCTAACCATCATCTCCATCTGGAACACGTAGCCTTTGGACACCGTCTCGGTGATGATGTGTCGGAGGACTGGTAGTCGATACAATCTAAGAAAAGAAATTTAGTCAAGAGCGTAGAAGGTATACCACAGAGGCCCTTACCGGAAGCTGCCTGTTAGGTCGCTGATTCCTGGACTAAGTACCGTCGCAGCCAAGAAATTAGCACCCCTCGACACCAACTTTCGTTTCAGATCCCAACCGTGCACCCCGCCAGGTGTTGCGTCAGCTAAATACGGTGTCGACGTTGACCTATACCGAGTACCCGTCACAATGTCTAAATTGTGCGCTTTTTGGAGGCTATATGTGAAGTAGTCAGGCAATGCGGATGAACATCCGGGGCCGCGACAGACTCACCGGATAAATTGGGGTATGAATTTGGGCTGGTAAATAAACTGTACAATGAGCTGTGTATTTTGGCGGAGAGAAATGAGACGAACGTGATGTGAAAAGTCGGCGTCCATGATAATGACAAAGTCTCCAGTGACGAAATTCAATCCATGAATATACGCCGTTCTACAACAAAGTAAGCTTTGTTGGGCAACAGAGAAATTGGGCGATATTTACCCCAATCCCAATTTTCCTGAACGCGGTCTCAGGACCTAAATAAATGTTATGACTACAGTCATGCGTGAAACCTGGGACGACTTGCAATCCTGTCCTCGCCATAGACCTTGGCCAGCTGCTTTGCAATTTCCTGGGTTCCATCAGGGCTAGCGTCATCTACAATGATGATCTCCCAAGCAAGCTTCCTAGACTCCTTTCGTTGAGCGACCCAATTCAGAAGTCGGCACGGCAACTTACTGCTCTTTGAACATGTTTGCAAGCAACCAGACAATGACGGGGAGATTCTTGCGTTCATTATAAGTTGGAAGAATAACCGAGTATTTATGGGTATCAGAGGAGTTGAATTCGCCTAACATTTTGAGGGAGGCGCTGCTGTCGAAAGGGTTCATAACTCGTCATAAATACTGCACACTAAACTGCACTTGGCACATCGTTGTTTGGCAGGTCAAGTCAAACCAAACAGCGCTTCTAGATCTTCACCATGACCTCGACATTGAATATTAATCATTTGCCAAAGCCTATACTGCCAACCCATCCCCTAAGGAAAGATACATACGACGGCCACTCCGACAACTTTACCCCCATCGTAATTGACAACGGTGCCACCACTCTTCGTTGGGGCTGGGGGACCGAAGATGAATCATGGTTACCCTACCAAGGCCCAAACTGTATTGCAAAGCTCAAAGAGCGTCGCACAAACAAACCTCTTCTTCTATTTGGAGAGGCAATTGAGCTTGAAAGTGGTGCTAGAGCGCAAGCTAAAAGTCCTTGGGAGGGGGATGTCCTATTGAACTTTGACGCGATGGTATGTCCCAGGTCCTTTTGGTCTCTTAATAGCCACCCTAACACGCCGTGTCGAGGCATAGGAGAACGTGTTGGATTATGTTTTTATCCAGCTCGGAATCGATCATCCCGACATAGACAACCCTGTCGTGATGACGGAAAGACTTTGCACCCCCCTCCATTCGCGAATGTGTCAGTCCACCATTACTCTGACTTGAACCTCCAAGTGACATTTGATAAACGCAGTGACCTCCGAACTTATTTTTGAACTCTACTCCTGCACTGGTTTGACCTACTGTATCGATGCGATCATGTCTTTCTACGAAAACAGCTGCAAATACCCATTATGGCGTGAATATAACACCGAGTGCTCGTTTAGATCCGACGGTCTTGTCCTCTCATTCAATACCGCTTCAACCTCCGTCATACCAGTATTAAATGGGAAAGGAATTCTCAGCCATGCGAAACGGTACATCCGCCACTCCCCCTTCAACCTCACCAACCTAACCCATTGGAATGTAATTCAGGATACCCTGGGGCAGCTCCCAAGCGTCCGATTACCTCTTGAGGTTAATCCAGCTCAAGTACCCCAACTTCCCAACACGTGTAACAACAGTTCAAACAAATGTAACCCATTCCAGTTCCATTCCCCGTTAAGCTTCACTCATTATGACATAGTGGATGCTTCAGAACCTCTGTGAAATTTCAACTGATTATCCGGCCCTCCTTCGCCAATTGAAAGATCCCCTGAAACTACGTGCCTCTGAGCAAGTGATACAGTTTCCTTTTGCCCTTCCTGTTGTCGAAGAAAAAACAGAAGAAGAATTGGCAAGAATTACGGAGAAGAGGAGGGAACAGGGTCGGAAGTTGCAAGAAATGGCTGCGAAAACCAGGATGGAAAAGGTATGCACCTCACTCCCATTACCGCTCTGCGTCGTTACCCAATAGTTCTCGTAGCTCGTGCAAAAGGAGAACGATTTGCAATACCTGCTTGCTTTGAAGGAGGGGAAAGCACGGGATAGCAAGCGGGATTGGGCGGTATGCGCTCTTTGACTGGGAATGACGACCAATGACAACCACCTCAGAATAAACTGCAAAACGAAGGTTTCGACAGCGATTCAGCCTTGAATGACATGATCAAGAAACTCGAAAACGACGTCAAGAAAGCACGTAAGAAAGAAGCTGGGGATGGTGACGACCAGCCTGTATGTATATCTTCCTCAATGTAATGATGTCTTATATCCTCACGCCGTGTTCAGGTAGAAGAACCCACATTCAATCTAGTCGATGTCCCTGATGCTGACGTACGTTACCTCTCCATTTTACGGGGACTCTGATCTTAAACCCAAATAGCTAGACGAAGAGGGCCTCAAAGAGAAACGCAGGCAAAAGCTCTTAAAAGCCGGCTTTGAGTCACGCGCACGCGCGCGAAAAGAGAAAGAACGCGAGCGAGAAGAAAAGCAACGCGAGGAGAAGCGAGAAGAGGAAGAACGCGAAATGGATTTGAATGGTTGGGCAAGAAAGCTCAGGCAAGAGCAGGAGGTAAGTGCTGATAATTCTGTTTGACGGGTTTCCAACCAATGTACGTGCCAGGTTCTGATGACGAGAATCAAAGATAGATCAAAGAGAAAGCGGCTCTGAGTGATAGGAAGAGCGCTGCTGCACAGGCCCGAATGAAGAGTATCGCTAACTTGGCTTCTGACGACCGCGTTCCAAAGAAGAAACGCAAAGGCGGAGGAGGTGATCCCCGCGTCATTCTGCAACTTTTCTTCTACTAATACTCAGGTGCAGAGGACATGTTCGGTGCAGACGATGCCGATTGGGCCATTTATCGTAAAATCGTACGTTCAACCACCTCAGAATGTCATCTTGCTTGACCTCCGGTAGAACACAGCAGCCCCCTCGTCAGACGAAGAAGACGATCTTGCCCAACTAGCCACTGTGGAACAGAAGCTTCTTGCGTATGATCCAACATTCACACCACAACATACCCACGCATCGATAGCCACCAAACGCTCTGCCCTGCTATCAGCCTTTCGACCGACATATGAGGAAGGTGATGTTGAAGGTGTGTTTTGTCTCCCTGTCGCCTCCCACTCTCTAATTTGACTGCAGGCCATGCCCGTATTCATCTGTCTACGGAAAGGTGGCGAGTGTGTGAGACCTACTTTGCTCCTTCAATGGCAGGTGTCGACTCGGCTGGTTTGGGAGAGGTAATCCAAAACGTTCTAGCCCGCTTTACCGAAGAAGAGAAAGGGCGCCTTGTAAAGGTAACTTTTCTTCCCCCACTGTTATGGTAGACTGACTTCCTTTGTAAAGAATGTATTCCTAACAGGAGCCCCATCCCAGCTCCCTGGCCTCGTCCCGCGATTGCAAGCGACGCTCCGCCCGATACTACCTCCTGAAATGTCATTTGAGATTGTCAAGGCTAGAGATCCTGTGTTGGATGCTTATAACGGGATGGCCAGGTTTAGTCGAACTACGGACTTGAATAAAACCTGGATGTCCAGGGATGAGTATTATGAACATGGTCCAGAACGAATCCGGAGATGGTGGGGAAGCAATTGGGATAACGCATTACCCCCAAAATCAGACCGTTGACAGATGTACTTTTTTCGCGTTGGTTTGATTACTTGTTTCCACTTCCTTACTTCGGTATTATAAGACGGAAAAGTAACAACACAAGTCGGAAAGGAACTATTCATGACGTGAAACGTGTACCCGAGTGAGCCAGCAGCAGAGAAGGAGGAGTATAGTACAGAGGTTTGGGTAATATGTGACAAATGCGGCGAGGTCGAAGTCTTCGCACAACAACAGAGGTCAATCCAACAACTCTTGCTACAATAATGATGACGACATATGTCCATTCATGAGCAGCAGCCCTGTGAGGATTGCGCAGCAGGCTGGTTGACTCTCACTGAGTCCGTTGCCGCGGGTGCAGCGGCGTCGGCTTGCGAGTCGATCAGACGTGTCTTGATATCTCTAAATTCAGAGAAAAGCATATGCAAATCAGGGCGAGGGGCACATTGAGTTCTGAGCGACTGCTTACCTCGCCAGGGTGAAGAAAGCCTCTTCGACCCCCTCATTTACCTTTGCAGAGGTTTCCATGAACCTAATGCCGAGTTCATTTGCAAGCTCACGACCTTGCTCCTCTGTTACAGCCCTCTTATCCGTCCAGTCCGACTTATTGCCAATGAGAATCTTGTTGACCCCTTCCGAGGCATGCTGCTCAATGTTGTTGTGCCACGTTCGGATGTCTGCAGGTATGATCGTTAGGCGTCCTCCGCAGTAGACTGACCCCTAAACTGACTATTGAATGACCGTTCATCTGTGACGTCGTATACCAGCAGAATTCCCATCGCTCCACGGTAATATGCCGTTGTTATGGTTCTAAAGCGCTCCTGACCCGCAGTATCCCACTGTGCATGATAGGTCTGTTCAGGTTGAGTTGGTTAGGAGTAAACATGGTAACGCACGATCTGCAGCTTAATGCGCTTGCCATCGAGCTCAATAGTGCGGATCTTAAAGTCAATGCCGATCGTCGTGATAAATGAGGGAGTCCATGCGTCGTCACAGAAACGAAGCAGGAGACACGACTTGCCAACACCTGTGGCACAAAATGTTCACTTTTGATTCGTAGACAACAGAGCTATACCTCATTCACCAGAGTCACCAATAAGTAGGAGCTGGACGCCACAAACGTCAGATGAGTTTTCAAAGCAGTGGTGGCTCTCACCTTGATGAGGAAGTCGTAGTGCGGCGGGGGCATGATAGAACGGGCTTCAAGAGTGAATGTTAGAATACAAAGTGTGTCTTCGTCAAGTTGGGCGACGTACTCGAGGTCAAGGGTGAATAAGAGAAACTGCGGCAGACCGTAAGTGGGGAACACCGTTTCGACTCCGCACGTGTGGCTGTGTAGATCACAAACAAGCTTCCATGTCGACAACTTTTTCATCCTTCACACCTCTGTAGCGGGTATTACTTACCCCAACGTACGTGTGGTACTCACACACTTTCGGTGAACATGACTTCACTTTTTATGGTAATTCTGCTTTTTTCTTCCAATTTCACTGGATTGAAATTGGTTTTTCCAAGGCCATCTTCGGCTATGCACGTCTGGACGTGTTGTCGCGTTGCGAGATTGTAAGTTGGACGACTTCCCGAAATATATTTACCACTTCTCTGTGATACGAATAAGCTCAACGAATTTGTATGTTTCGATTGGTTCCGCCACGATCGGGCCGCAACCAAGCGCCTAACCTCGGCGACTCCAAGCTAAACGTTCCCTTGCCCCAACCTTGACCGTTCTTTTTGGGGCCTATTTCCTCTCAGACAATTTTATTCGATGCTTCTTTCGTTTGTTCTTCCGTCCAACTCTGGGAAAGACAACCCCCCGTCTCGAAGCAATTCAAAAAGCGAATCCCCAAAAGTCTTCTTTCCTGCGCCACAATAGTAGCGCTTAGGGTCATGCCACCTGCCTCGTTTCTGCGCAGTTTATACGCCTACAATCATCTTTTTCCCATATAACCCCAGCGAGCTATCTAGACTTTCCACCCGTATTCAAAATGAGTACTCCACGCAAGCAGAATTTCAGAACCTATCTTTTTTCCCCAAACAACATCACGTCCGTCGAGGATGTAAAAAATGCGCTTCTTGAATTACAATCCATCTTTACTGAACAGAACTACGAACATGTTCTTGATGAGCTGCTCCAGACGCCGTTCCTCGTCGAACTTGTATTATCAGGTACGTTCTTGGCCTTTCATCCTCCTTCAGTGAGGACTCACCAAAACCAACAGATCTGAGTACCCTTTCGGTCAAAACATGGTTACTCGAGAAATTCCCAACATCGCCCGCATCATATATCTCATCAGTGACTTGCCAGCTTCTGTTGAAGCTTGCTACTTTCTTCGTATTTCCTCCGATTTCATTCTCCCAAGAGGTTCTTGACCTCATGAGGGAATTTCACACGACTGTGACACATGCGCCAGCGGTCTTACATGATCTTTTCGCGATGTCCTTTGCGGATGAGGGACAACATGAAGAAACCAAGGGGTTGTCCAAATTCTCGAAGGGCAAGTCGAAAAGCCAGTGGAAAGGCAAGCAAGAAAAGAAGGCTGCAATAAGACGTATCAGCGTTGACCCTAAGCCCTTTGCCGCCCTTGCATTGATTGTTCCCAGCACCCTCAAGGAAAAAGACGACGCCATGTCCGACTTACTCGTTCGTCTCAAAAGTATTCTTGAAGTAAGCCATTCTGAAACATCTCATCCCGTCCTGGCTAATCACCAATATAGTTTTATCTCGATAATATCTCTTTGCCAGCTATGTCCCAACATCTGAAAGAGGCCCTCGTCCCCAGAGAGCAACCATCATACCTCGCAGACCCAGCTACTCCCTCTGGGGTTTCAAGTTCCGCTAAGATCACCACCACAGACTCGCAATCTTTGAAAACGTTCGCTGTCTCGCCTGTCCGTCAAATGATCTCACTCACCGTCCACCGCAGCGCCCACTACTTTGACAGCGTGAAAGGATTTGGTGAATGGGCTGTTTACATTTCAACAGCAGCTGACGGTCATCTCCGAGAATATCACCGGAAGGACAAGAAAACTTTTGAGACTATTGTCAAGAAAATCAGGTTAGTCCTGCATGGAGAAACTCTCAATCTTAGCTAAATTGACCACATAATCAGAGAATTATCGAACGGCCAATTTTCCCACAACAATCAGAAGAGATTGAGTGGTCCAACTACCCAAGTTCCGATATTCGAGGCGGACGTTGCACCAGATCTCAGACTTGTGGTAAGGAACCTCCGTTGAGGAAGAATATTTCTGCTGAAACCATTCTTCCGCAGTATCAAATTGATTGTGTCTTTGTCCCCAGCAGCAGTGAGGAGGTACGTTGAGATAACGACAATGGGCTAAATACTTATGCTGCCTGTTATTCGCATGTCTTCAGACTGAGCAACAAGGTGCAGCTATGTCAGCAAGTCTCATTCCAATCTCACCATTCCTCTCCCATCCAGTCTTGAAAATTTGGGGAATTTTTACTCATGCCCAATTGAAAAAGCATCCGTGGGACTCCTTGAGTCGTCTGCTCAATAATAAGGGGGAAACATATCAATCTAGGTTTATACTTGCACTTGACCACATTGACCACTGCTCGAGATCCTTTGCAGGCGCAAGTATAGGAGAAGGCCAGATAAAACCGGGGACAAGGTATACTCACCAGCCTCCTGGCCAATATTGGAAGACGCAGAAGCGACACATGATGTCAGCGTGCCAGACCTACCTCCGGATGAGTTAAGCCAGGTGTGGTTTATTGGGCATTGTGACACGCTATAATCTCACGGGCTATCTTAGCTGCACTCTACTTTCGTGTAAGAACACACCTTGCCTCATCTTCCATATTCTCATCAAAATAGTCTTGAGAAATTCATTACGTTCTCCAAGGTAAGTTTAGGGCTTTCGTCACATAAAAGTGGGTTAAAGTATTCACCAACAAACAGGAGCTGCTCTTCAGTAAGCTTGTCAGTTCATGCCAACTTCCATAGCTAATTGTAACAGGCATGCTTGCGGACCTTGATGCGTCTTTTCCATTCGAAGTCTCGTACGTTGTTTAAATATAGCCTGCATGGTTGACCGCTAAACGAGCACGAAAATAGCCCACACGAAAGGGCCATCGTAGAGTATCCCTTTTCTTGCTATGTCCTCGGTCGAAGCGGTACTGGGTTGGTCATCCTGTCATCGTTAATTTCTTCTGTTCAATTGTCGCTTTTAGGAAAACCACAACAATGCTCTTCAGGATGTTACGGGTTGAGAGAACATATCAATTATGCACGGAACGTGCAATCAAACCAAGGCAGGTATTCGTAACTAAGTCTCGTCTTCTAGCGGCAAAAGTAGGAGAGTACTTCGAGAAACTATCGAATTCGCTCGCAACTGGGTCCTGTTCGCCTCAGGAACTAAAACAGCTCGCAAAAGCGAAACAAACACAAGCTCAACTAGATCATCTTGTAGCACTGGATGATATACCCGATTGGCGAAGTGACTTGCCATCCAAGTATAGTGATTTGGAGGATCGCCATTTTCCTCTCTTCATAACCTTTGATCAGGTGTGTGGGACTTTAACTCGCCCCCGTCTGACCCATTATCTGATAGTGTATGATATAGTTATGCTTGATGCTTGAAGCCAGTCAATTTGAGAAAGTCGGCCATGACAATGAACACAGTTGGCATGGTTCTCACCCCATGCGTGTCGGTTTTCAAACACAAAACGGAGGCTCGAGCAGACCATCTGTACGTTCAGGAGAGCAAATAACTTTCAAAAGGTTCAGATCAGAGTATTGGATTCATTTTCCTCAGTCGTCAACAAAGGGACTGGGTATGTTGTTGCCACACTTACTATTGTGTTGACTCACATTGGCTGTGGTTAAGACGCGGCCCTGGTGTTCAACGAGATCATGGGTTTGCAATACTCACGCTTGTCTCTGTCGCAATTGGATGACTTGGGTTTTAGGCATTATCTGTGGCTCCGAACAGACCGCCTCCACGTCTCGTGGATTTATGGATCGTGCATCCTATGAGAAGCTCAGCAGCCGAACTCACCCAACATTCGCGCAGCAACGGACAACCATTTACGACATATTCCTTCACTATCGTCAGAAAAAAATTGACTTGGGTGATTACGACGCGGCCGAAAGGTTTGGAGTCTTTGCTTGTTTTAAATGATCGATACTTTGACAACGTCTTTGCACCTAGGACTCATAAAATCATTGCAGGTTTTGCCCAGCATGGTGTTCCTGGAAGGAAGTTGGACCGTCTGTGCGTCTCGTACCTTTCAGCTCTGGACCATCTGGTGAATGTTTGAATTTAGGTACGTCGACGAAGCCCAGGACAATCTTCTCGTCGATGCTCTGCGTAAGTTCCATCATTTCTCCAAAAGTCCTACCATCCTCAACAATCTACAACAGTGTTAAGATCAATTTGTGGTAATCCCAATGGGTTGTTCTGGGCCGGGGACACAGCGCAAGCGATATCGATTGGAAGCTCTTTTCGATTTGATGATCTCAAAGCATTCTTGTTCAGAGTTGAGGTACGGCATGACTTGCTTCGAGGATGATTTTCCATGTCTTACGACATCTTTTCAAAAAACCCATTCTAGAATCAACGAGAATCGAGGATCTCTTCTTCCCGCACCCGTCATCTGATTCAAGAACCCCCGAAGACTTTCCAATTATCCGTCAACTACAGATCTCATGGAGGCATCGTCAACTGTGCCCACTCGTTAGTTGACTTGATCTCCCGTTTCTGGCCATATTCGATCGACATCCTGGCTCCTGAAAAGGGAATTGTGGATGGTGCTAAGCCCACATTTTTCAGCGGCGGGAATACAAGTACTCCCAATCATGTTTGTTGTGTCCGCTATCATCTCAGCCAATCTTTAACACACTCTTTAGCGACAATTTCGTTTCCAAGAAGCAAAGTACGCTCGTCTTCATACACTTAACGAGACGAAAGGACTTATTTTTGTTTAGTGATACTGTGATCGAATTCGGAGCTCACCAATGTTTGTCTTGCCTTACTTGCAATTTTTTCTTCGTTTTCCAACGTTTCCAGGCATCCTGGTGCGCGACGAGGCTGCGCGAGAGAGACTTCACAGCCAGGTTGGACCAATTGGCATTATTTTGTAAGCAAGTTTGAAATCATGTGGTTTATGATAAATGACGCTTTTCAAGAACTCTTTATGAAAGCAAAGGCTTAGAATTCAATGATGTAGGTTGTTGCATTATGTGCTCGGAGATACTGTATGTTTTGATATTCAAACAACCTTGCGATTTCCAGGTCGTTCTCTATAATTTCTTTCACGACTCAACCCTTGATGTGTCACAATGGAGGGTCATTCTAAATGCTGTCGACCTTGGTGGGTCTGTCCCTGATTTTGATGAGATGAGACATGCTCCCATTTGTTCAGAAGTAAGGGCTTTGCGTGTTCCTGGTTCTTCCATCATTAACGTCTTACAGCTGAAATTCTTGTATGTTGCGATCACGAGGGCTCGCAACAACTTATGGATAGTAGATTCGTCCATGAAAGCCCATCCAATTAACGTGTGTATTCTGCGTTTTTATAGGATGTTGTTAATGTTTTGGACAGATGTTTTGGACAAGCCGCAATCTAATTATCAATTCTGCTTCTGAGTTCCACTTTACCGATCTCGCAGTGGAGTCTAGTCCTGAGGAGTGGGGGGCAAGAGCGAAGGACTTCTTCGATCGGGAACAGTTCGCACAAGCACGGCGTGCCTACGAGAAAGCGTTGCTTCCCCGTGCTGCTGCTGTGGCAAATGCGTATCATCTGCGCGAAATTGCGCGAAACTGTTCAACTGGAACCTCCCGAGGTCTTCTTGAACGCCGCATGAATGCTTTTACAGATGCCGCAGAGGCGTTTCTTTGTTGTGCTGGACAAGCGGTTCAGACGCCCGAAGACTACTATCGTGCCGCTGCTGGTTGTTTCGAGAAGGCGGGTGATGGTCCCGCTGGCGCTTCGGTTCACCTTGCAAACGCTGCTCGAACGTATCTTCTCGCCAAATGCTTCACAAATGCAGCTCAGCTGTTCAAAAAAGCAGCAATGTTCGATGAAGCAATTGATGTTATTACTAAGTATGCAGGAAAGGTCGAAGAAAGAGTTGCCGCCCAGATCAAAGACGTCGCACGTTTGAGATATTTTACTACAAAAGAGTTCGAGTACGTCGTCTGATTTTATACTTTACTTTATATTTTTTCATACCTAACACAACTACACGCCAGGAAAGCACACAAATTATTTGACACGGTCGAGGAAGAGCTTGAATATCTTGACGACCGAAACTTGGATGGAGCACAAATAGAACTTTTGGTGTCCCATGGACGAGTGGCTGACGCAGCCGAGCTCCACTTGTCAGAGGGTCGCACAATCGAAGCTCTGGAGTTATTTCTTAAGGATAAAGGTGACCCAAACCAATCCATGCAACGGGCTATCCATTGTATCCTACAGGGTTTGTGGCGGGAATTTTCATTGGGGATTCGAAAATCTCCTAATGACATGGTCGTCAAGTTTCTTTCCTATGCTGGTTCGATAGATCAATCTCTTCTCCGCCAAAATGAGCTTGACGAGGTACATTGAAATATGCTCAATATCGATCTATTCATTCAATACTCAATCTGCCACTATAGATCGAACTGTTCAAAACGATCTCCTCTGGGACATTAAAGAATCTAGTCTCCCTTGCCGACAGGTTCTTCGAGGGACAAAACCTGTCTGCCGCTCTCTTATCGCTTGACCATCACTTTTCGGTACCTCACGCGCTACAAAACATGGACCTTGATTCGTTAACAGGTACCCTGCAACCATTTTCCGTCTACGCCCAACAACTTCATGACACAGCATTTCATGCGGACCCACGCACTAATGCTCATGTTTGGAAGGTGCTTGGACTCCGGCCTCATGGACAGATTGCCTTCGTGGTCCCACATGGGACTTTTTTGCATGAAAATGTTACTCCTGCTGCTGGGTCTACCGTGGAAGGTTCAAAAGATCTCATTGTCTCAATTGAAAAACTACCTCGAATCGTTCGCGGTGCACTTTCCGAGCGCCTGCTGGAACGAGTTAAATCTCAAAATGACATGTGCCGCGGAGCAAGATCTCTTTTCCCCTGCCCACGACATGTGGTTCTAGGGGGCTGTTTCAAATACAACTGCACACAAGACCACATCGAGCCGAACCCAGTTTGGTACAACACCTGGATTCAGGCGCATATCTATCAAATCCTGATTTATCAGACAATAAATCGTGACGATCTCAACTACCCCTCCGACTTGCGCAACTCACAACGAGCGTATGGTTATTTACATTTTGTTTTGGATCGACGATTCCTGACAGCTCTTTCTGAAGATTTTGGATCAGAAAACTGTACGATGCCCTCAACCCCCCAACTTACAAACTTGGAACAACGAGCAGCTTGAAGCAAGGGTTTTCCGACGGCTTTCGAGCAGGCTTTCAGATCATCATCGACTGGATTCGTGAAGTTACATATAATCTTGAATTTTCACCGAATACGGAGACCCAATTCCTGACTCAAGTCATGCAAACTGCAGACTTAAGTTTCACCCTCAACAGGAGAGAGGCGCAACTCTATCTGTATCGTTCGAAGTTTACTACTGCGACAACTCCGCCGCAGTACCTTCGAAAACCTGACCATAATTCATTATTGGAGCTTCTCTCCTCCTATCAAAACCATAAAACTTGGAGTGTTCTTGTGGGCACTTTGTTCATTCGGTCAGTACTTTACAACCTGCCTATTGTAATCAGATGTTTTATGCACATCCAGGCAAGTTATGCAAAACCAACTGCCAGTAGAGATCGGTGTCCTTTGCACCTACATCGAGCATCTCTGTGCCTTAACAGTTGTATTCAATCGTGCCCAACGAACAGGGGATTTGCACAACGTCACTCTTCCTCGCAGCTGGCTCTCCAAGGTTCTAGCCAACTTTAGCCCAGATGAAGCCGCTGATAAGACGATCAAATTTTGGCTATTTCCTCCTATTCTGGGAGATCTCATTAAAGAGATTTATACCGGCGTTGGCGCTGGTATGCTGAAGTTCAATGTCTTAACTGTAACTGATTTTTTTCGGGCAGAACACTTGTTATTTGGGCCTGAATTACGACAATTGAAAGCAGAGGGAATTCCCGTTCGCAACATATTCATTGCCCGACTGTGCGTTCTTCTTAAACCGCCTTAGACCTCCACCTAACCAAATTTTAGTTATCGTGTCTTGGCGCTTCGTGAGTTCAGATTCCAAAATTCACTTTACTCGTTAGAGCTCAACCGCCTTGTCCCAGTGGGCTACAATATCGGGGATACTAACTTCAGAATTCAGATTTTGAGTGTTGTGAACGCAATACAAGGATTCGGCCAGCCCCCATTCTCCCCCCTCTACAAAAGGTGACTGATGCTAGTGTTTTTTTCATCACCCCCTTGATTTCTAATCCGCATTAGATATGTCAACGCGCGTGGCTGGGGGGGGATATCGGCTGCTGTGAGAGAGTCAATGCAAGGGTCAGCGTTAGATGAAATGGTCAATCTTCAGCACACAACTCGAATCGCTCTTCCCATACAGGAGCATCGAGGTTTGCGGAGGATTGTATACTCGGTTGTGGAAGATATCCCGGACCTTTTACAAACTGGATTCAAGCTCTCTTCTTCCACATCTGATGGTCCAGAACATACATTAGACGTCGTCTCACAGCCGTTAAACGAAGGAAGCGAAGATGATATGGCTGATCCTATTGACGACGACGTTTATGAAAACCCTACAGAGTATGCCGCGGACCACAACGTTGTCATTGAGGATATTTCGCAAGAAGTAGCATCGACTCCCTCAGTAGAAGAGCTTCATGCTGCATGCATCCTCCAACGAGCATTCCGCCGCTGCCTTACTAGGCAAAAGGAGAGAAAAACGCACCGGCTGTCTGGTCGTTCCCTTCATTTCTTTGCCATGTGTCTGGACGTGGTTAAAAAGGACAAGTGGGAGAGGTCTCGATATAAGTTCTACTTTTTAGGTCCGCTCCCGCATGTTCTAGCATGTCTTCATGCTGCCCAAGCAGCTGTTCTCGCTAAAAAGGAGGAAACGAAGAAATTGCTCCGAGGCGGCGACGTCAAAAACGAAGCGTGGGATGACCTTAACTCCCAGCTAACAACGATCGTGTGAGCCAGCTTGCCTTCATGATTAATAAAATCACTTGACATTGCTTTAGCAATGCACAAAAAGAACTGAAACGAATGCTGAAGACACTCGAACCCACTGCAGAGGTTCATCGCTGCCACGACCTGACAAGTTTCAAAGTCCACATCAGCCAAGCGGTGAACCTCCTTCAAACATCCCCGTTCAAAGGGTCCGAAGATCCTCAACTGTATCTTGACATGGCCTACAACAGCGTGAGGGAGCCAGTACGGAAGAGTGTGAAGAAAGAGAAGAAGCCCCAGTTGAATTTGGATGACGAGAATCTAATGTACCTTGACTATGCGTAAGATCGATATCATTCATCACTACTGTCTTGACCATAGCCTATCAATCTTGTATTTTTGAACGTTCACATGTACATCTCAAGTATCTTCCCAAAAACTCGCACTGACAGCCCATTAATACGTACGCGTGTGTCACTACAACTGATCGTGTCGACGCGTAGGCTTGCTCACGGCTACTAATGGTCTTCGCGGAAGAACAGGTTTCAACCAGACTTCGAAAAGGTGCAGATTTATTCCGGTCACTTAGAGACATTGGACCGAAGTTCCTGAGTCCTAATCTGTCCTAATAATTCTATGTCACCTAGTAAATCTTTCACCAACAACGTCCGAGAACTGGTGAGACTCACAGCTGCTTCTTTTGCATAACGGTCAGCACGATTCAGATCACGATGAATCGCATAGAACATGACAACAAATTCTTCAAATTGCCAAGCTTCAATCGCGGTCATGAGCCTATCCCAGAGATCCATGTTCTCCCTTTTCCACTCGCCAGTCAACTCATTTCGCCAAAAGGGCATGCACTCCGTGGTACCCCTACTTCGTCAGTGGCTATAACAATCCCTCGAGATTTTCAGCCTTCCAGTCCGTCTCAACTAGCGCAGCCACCGCAGCGCGTAACTCTGCGCGATTTGATGTAAGGTTGTGCGAAGGAGAAGTCTCTAACCGTAGCGATATTGATATTCGTCCCGCCCAAATCCAAATACAGGACCGGTGACGACAGCGTATCCGCCATTGTTGCTAGCTGCTCCGTCTGTAAAAACGAGGACGAGGTGTTCAGAATGTTCCTCATGCTCGCAAATGTTTTCGATTTCTGAGCGTGGCGTCGAGGATGCAATTTTTTTGACTTGGAACAGAGAAAGAGGATCCTCGTGACCTGAGCGCGGAAAAAATTTGCACGACATGACAATTGATGCTTACAGTCGAGGAAACAAAGTCTGTGCAGAGACTATCTCGACTTGACTCCCTTTCCTCGACCCCCCGGTTAAGTCTGGGCCAATGAAAACACTGGCAGTGGTTGTAACGAGAATGTATTGCATGCATGATGCGTGGTGTTTTTTCTAGTCCTGTCCATCTTAGCTAGCGAGGTCAGGAGTGGGCTTGGTGCACATTTCGGCCGTCGAAAGTCAAAATTTATCTTCAGCGCTGTGGCAAAGCTGCTGGATTTGAAAGTGTCAAGGTGTCCTCACGACAAGACCGGTGAAAGCGTTGCATAGCGTTGTGGATGAGGATGAGTTTGTTGAAGATGCAACTTTGAGGGACAAGTAGTTCATATGAACGATTGAAGTTTTCAGGTAGTGGTCGACACTGGGGAGCACAATGTCGACCCCGTAGCAGCATTTGTCATTCAACTAAAAGGCGTCTCCAAGCACCTCTCACTTGGGGTGAATCTCGCTGGCAGTATTCGCGAGAGATTCTTCTAGTAATCCTACAGAAGTGAAGTGTAACCGTTTCTGAACATACCAAGGGTAAAAAAGCTCACTGCTGCTGCTTTGGCGTAGCGATCCGCCTGATTCCATTTCCTGTCAATCAGGTAGAACTCAACACGAATTCCCTCCCTTTCCTTGTCTTCTATCACCTTCATCAAACGGTCCCACAAATCCATATTTGCCCTCTGTACGACCCACCGACTGCTCCGACTTCGCCATACCCTTATATACACTGTGGCGCCTTCCGCCACATACTCCGAGTCGGTTGCGATGACGATCGTCTCTATACCCTCCTTTTTCCAATCAAGTTTGATTGCACCTTCAACGGCGCGTAATTCTGCGCGATTGTTAGTCAATTGATGAAAAGCATCAGGCTCCAGTCGGAACGAGCAACAAGAGATGGGCGAAGGGCCAGCCGCAACGCCGCAGCCCGCGCGTACATCAGGTCGTCCATTATTAGGCGCTGCGCCGTCGGCGAAGATGAGGATCCTCCGGTTATCGTTTGTACTCTCCCAGCGCGGTGGCTTGCGGGAGTAGTTGGGGGCAAACGCATAGTCCAAGGGGTTGCTCCTATCTGTTCCAGCCAACAAGGTTGGGGCCATTTCGCAAATTGTTTGAGGCACGGTGAAGCTCACCACCCAGGCATTAAATAGTCAAATTGACGGCCATGACGGTTCACTCTTGAACCCAAAATTTTGAATCGGAGGCATCGTCGGCGGTGGGTCAAAGGTTTTAGGGAAAAACAAATCCCGCACTGAATCATGATGCATGAACGATGGGGGTTGTTTGAACCACTGGGAAGAAAGTGTAAGCCATTTCAACCTCGATGAGGAAGTCGTAGTGCGGCGGGGCATGATAGAACGGGCTAATATTAGAATACAAATTGTACTCGAGGTTAAGGGTGAATGAGAGAAACCAGTGGGCAACCGGTGGGTGGCTGTGTAGATCAAGCTTCCTGGCATGTCAATGTCACCGACAACCTTTTCAAACTTCACGCCTCTGTAGCGGGTATTACCCCAACGTACGGACTCATATACTTTTGGTGAATACATACGACTTGAATATTTATGGTAAAGATCCTTTGTTTCTCAATTTCACTGGACTGAAATTGTTTTCTACAAGGCCATCTTCGGATATGTTGGTCAATCTCGCAACGCGACAACACGTCCAGTAATTTGAATGACTTCCCGAAAGAAATCTACCACTTCTCTGTGATACGAGTAAGCTCAACGAATCGTGAATGTTTCGATTGGTTCCGCCACGATCGGGCCGCAACCAAGCGCCTAACCTCGGCGACTCCAATCCCTTGACAAGTTGACCCAGCATTGACCGTTCTTTTGTGAGAGGAAATAGCCCAGACAATTTATTCGATGCTTCTTTCGTTGGTTCTTCCGTTCAACTCTGGGCAGTGGGAAAGACAACCCCCCGTCTCAAAGCAACTCAAGAAGCAAATCGCCAAAAGTCTTCTTTCCTGCGCCACAATAGTGGTGCCAAGGGTCATGCCACCTGCCTCGTTACTGCGCAGCTTATACGCCTACAATCGTTTTTTCCCATATAACTCCAGCTAGCTATCTAGGCTTTCCACCCGTATTCACAATGAGTGCTCCACGCATGAAGAGTTTCAGAACCGATCTTTTTTCCCCAGACAACATCACGTCCGTCGAGGATGTACAAAACGCGCTTTTTGAATTACAATCCATCTTTACTGAACAGAACTATGAACATGTTCTTGATGAGCTGCTCCAGGCACCGTTCCTCGTCGAACTTGTACTATCAGGTAAGTTCTCGGTCTTCCATCCTCCTCTGGTTAGGACTCACCAAAATCAACAGATCTGAGTATACTTTCGGTCAAAACATGGTTACTCGAGAAATTCCCAACATCGCCCACATCCTTCATCTCATCAGTGACTTGCCAGCTTCTGTTGAAGCTTGCTACTTTCTTCGTATTTCCTCCGGTTTCATTCTCCCAAGAGATTCTAGACCTCATGAGGGAATTTCATACGACTGTGAGGCATGCGCCAGCGGCCTTACACGATCTTTTCGCGATGTCCTTCGTGGATGAGGGACAACATAAGGAAGCCAAGGAGTTGTCCATATCCTCGGAGGGCAGGTCGAAAAGCCGATGGAGAAGCAAGGATGGAGAAAAGGCTGCAATAAGACAGATCATCGTTGACCCTGAGCCCCTTGCCGCCCTCGCATTGACCATTCCCAATACCTCTCAGGAAAGAGACCACACCACATCCCACTTACTCGTTCATCTCAAAACTATTCTTGAAGTAAGCCTTTCTGAAATCTTCTCATACGGTCCTGGCTAATCACCAATATAGATTTATCTTGAGAACATTTCTTTGCCAGCTATATCCCAACATCTGAAAGAGGCCCTCATCCCCAAAGAGCAATTACCAGCGCTGAATACTGTCACAGACCTAGCTACTTCCCGTGACGTTTCGATTTCGGCTAAGATTGCCGTCACGGACTCTGCCTATCTACAATCTCTGAAAACGTTCGCTCCCTCGCCTGTCCGTCAAACGACTCCACTAACCCTCCACTGTAGCGCTCGTTACTTTGACAGCGTGGTGGGATTCGGTGAATGGGTTGTTTACATTTCGACAGCAGCTGACAGTCATCTCCGTCAATTTCGCCGAAAAGACAAGAAGATCTTTGAGATCATTGTCAAAAAAATTAGGTTGGTCCTGCATGAATAGGCTCAGTCGATCTTAGCTAATCTGACCATTCGTACAGAGAATTGTCGAATGGCCGATTTTCCGACGACAACCAGAAGAGATTGAGCGGTCCAACTACACAAGTACCGATATTCGAGGCAAAGATGGTACGAGACCTCAGACTTGTGGTAAGGAACCTCCATTGAGGAAAAATATTCCTGCTCCAACCATTCTTCCACAGTATCAAATTGATTGTGTATGTGTTCCCAGCAGCAGTGAGGAGGTATGTTGAGATAACGACAATGGGCTAAATACTTATACTGCCTGTTATTCGCCATCGTCAGACCGAGCAACAAGGTGAAACTATGTTCGCAAGTCTCATCCCAATCTCACCTTCCCTCTCCCACTTAGTCTTGAAGATTTGGGGGATTTTTACTCATGCACAATTGAACAAGCATCCATGGGACTCCTTGAGTCGTCTACTCAACAATAAGGGGAAAACGTACCAATCTAGGTTTATACTTGCACCTGACTACATTTGTCGCTGCTTGATACCCTTTGCAGGTGCAAATATAGGAGAAGACCACATGTAGCCGGGGACAATGTATACTCACCAGCCTCCTGGCCGTTATCGGAAGACGCAGAAGCGACACATGATGTCAGCGTGCCAGACCTGCCTCCGGATGAATTAAGCCAGGTGTGGCTTATTGGGCATTGTAACAAGCTATAATCTCACGGGCTACCTTAGGTGCATTCCACTTTCGTGTAAGAACATATCTTACCCTGTCCCTCATATCCTCACCAAAGTAGTCTTGAGAAATTCATCACGTTCTCCAAGGTAAGTCTAGGGCTTTTGTCACACAAAGAGAACTAAAGTATTCACCAACAAACAGGAGCTGCTCTTCAGTGAGCATGTCACTTCAGGCCAGCTTTTGTAACCTACCAATTAACAGGCATGCTTGCGGATCTCGATGTGTCTTTCCCATTTGAAGTCTCGTACGTCTGTCTAAAGTAGCCTCCATAGTGGCCCAACAGCTGAACGAGTACGAAAACAGGCCTCGCGAAAGGGCTGTCATTGAGTATCCCTTCTCGTGCTATGTCCTCGGTCGTAGCGGTACCGGGTTGGTCATCCTGTCATCGTCATTTGCCTTCTGTTCAACTGCCCTTTTAGAAAAACCACAACAATGCTCTTCAAGATGTTATGGGTCGAGAGAGCATATCAATCAAGCACAGAAGGCGCAATCAAACCAAGGCAAGTATTTGTAACTAAATCTCGTCTTCTAGCCACAAAAGTCGGAGACTACTTCGAGAAATTATCGAATTCGCTCGCGACTGGGTCATGCTCGCCACAGGAACTGAAACTGCTTGCAAAGTCGAGACAAATTCAAATCCGACCACAACGTCATCTTGTGGCATGGAATGATATACCCGATTGGCGCAGTGACTTGCCATCTAAGTATAGTGACTTGGAGGATCGCCATTTTCCTCTCTTCATCACCTTTGATCAGGTATGGAATAATTGCATATGGTTCTATCCTTCCTGACTGTCAATGTAGTTATGCTCAATGCTCGAAACCAGTCAAATTGAGCAATACAACAACGACGGTAAAGTCTGAGGTTCTCATTCCGCCCATCCAAATACAAAACAGCAGCCCAGGCAGGAAAATTTTACGTTCAAGGGAGAGAATAACTTACCAAAGGTTCAAATCGGAGTATTGGTCTCACTTCCCCCAATCGTTAACGAAGGGGTTAGGTATGTTACTAACACACTTACCCGTGCTGTCTCTCGTTTATCCGGTCAAGATTCGGCCTTGGTGTTCAATGAGATCATGGGTGCGCAATACCCTCGCTGGTGCCTGTCGTAAGAGTTCAGTTGAGTTGTAGGCGTCATCTGTGGTTCTGAAGAAACAGTCTCCACTGATCGTGGGTTTATGGATCGAACTTCCTATGAACACCTCAGCTGCCGAACTCAGCCAACGTTCGCACAACAACGAGCAACTATCTACGACATCTTTCTTCACTACTGTCGGAAAAAGGCCATCCTGGGTGATTACGATGCGGCCGAAAGGTTTGGGGTGGTACTTCAAATGATCGGACTCCTTTGACCACGTCTCTGTGCCCAGAACTCACACAATCATTGCAGGTTTGAGCCAGTATGGTGTTCCCGGCAGGAAGTTGGACCGTTTGTGTGTCTTGTACACCTTTTGCTCTGTGCTATTTGGTGACCGTCTTCACCTAGATACGTCGACGAAGCCCAGGACAATCTTCTCGTTGATGCTCTGCGTAATATTTATTCTTTTTTAAGAGTCTTCCCAGCCTCAGCAATCCACCACAGTGTTAAGATCGCTTTGTCGTAATCCCAACGGCTTGTTCTGGGCCGGAGACACTGCACAAGCGATATCCATTGGAAGTTCTTTTCGAATCAATGATCTCAAGGCATTTCTTTACCGAGTGGAGGTTCGTTCCAATTTGCTTTGAGTATGATTTTTCATGTCTCACGATTCCTTCACAAAAAATGTACGTTAGAAACAACGAGAATCTTCGTCAGAGAGCCAGCATTTAATTCAAGAACCCCCGAGGACATTTCAATTGTCTGTCAACTACAGATCTCATGGAGGCATCGTAAATTGTGCCCATTCGTTGATTGACTTGATCTCGCAATTTTGGCCTTACTCTATCGACATTCTATCTCCTGAAAGGGGAATAGTGGATGGTGCTAAGCCTACGTTTTTCAGCAGCGAAATCATTAATACGCCTCGTCATGTTTGTTCAATCCGCTACCATCTCGTTTAATCTCTAACACTCATCAGCAGCGATCATTCCAAGAAACAAGGTAAGTCGAATGCCTCGTATACGTGATGAGATCAATTTATCTTTGTTCAGCGAAGCTGAGATCGAACTTGGAGCACACCAATGTTTGTTTCAACTTACTCGCAGCTTCTTGTCTTGTTCAACCTTTTTAGGCGTCCTGGTACGGGACGAGGTGGCCCGAGAGCGTCTTCGTAGTCAGGTTGGGTCAATTGGCATAATTCTGTAAGCAACTTTGTACGCCATGCAGTTTTGGCAAATGACGCTCCCCAGGACCCTCTATGAAAGCAAAGGCCTGGAATTTAATGATGTAAGTCGCCGTATCGGATTCTCGGAGATACTGAATGTCTAGACAATCTTGCAATCCCCAGGTTGTTCTCTATAACTTTTTTCATGACTCGAACCTTGATGTGTTGCAGTGGCGAGTCATCCTCAACGCTGTCGATGTCAGTGTGCCTGTCCCCGATTTCGACGAAATGAGACATGCACCTATTTGTTCAGAAGTAAGGTGTCTTAGATGATTCCTAAATTGTGTATTACTCACTTCTTCTAGCTGAAATTTTTGTACGTTGCAATTACGAGGGCCCGTAACAATCTGTGGATAGTAGATTCATCCTCGAAAGCTGATCCAATGAAGGTGTGTGTTCTGCATCGATACAGCCTGAGGATGTTAACAGTCTATACAGGTGTTTTGGACATGCCATGATCTTGTCAATGACTCTGTTTCTGAGTTCCGTTTCACCGATCTCGCAGTAGAATCTACTCCCGAGGATTGGGAAATAAGGGCAAAGGACTTCTTCGATCAGGAACAATTTGCACAAGCTCGGTATGCCTATAAGAAAGGATTACTCCACCATGCTGCTGATGTAGCGAATGCGTACGAGTTGCGCGAAATCGCCCGAAGCCGTTCAACTGGACCCCCTCGAGCCGTTTTTGAACACCGCATGAAAGCTTTTGCAAAGGCGTCAAGGGCGTTTCTCTCTTGTGCTAAGGAAGCAATCCACGCACCAGAAGATTATTATCGTGCCGCTGCTGAATGTTTTGAGAACGCAGGCGACGGTCCCCATGGTGCTTTAACTTACCTTCCAGAGGCTGCTAGGGCCTATCTGCTTGCCAAGTGTTTCACAAATGCAGCGCAGCTGTTCAGAAAAGCAGCAATGTTTGATGAAGCAATCGACGTCATCACCAAGCATCCAGAGAAGGTTGAGAAAAGTGTTGTCAAACAAATCAAGGAAGCAGCGCGTCTGAAATATTTTACCGTGAAGGAATTCGAGTATGTCATCCCATCTCTTTTTACACCGGTAACCCAATATACACACCAGGAAAGCACACAAATTGTTTGACTCAATAGAGGAAGAGCTTGAATACCTTAGCGAACGAAACTTCTATGAAGCACAAGTAGAACTTTTGGTGTCCCTCGGACGAGTGGCTGACGCAGCCGAGCTCCACTTGTTGGAAGGTCACATAATTGAAGCACTGGAGTTGTTCCTTGAGGATAAAGGTGACCCAAGCCAATACACACAACGGGTCATCCACTGCATCCTGCAAGGCTTGTGGCGGGAATTTTCCCTGGGGAGTAAAAAATCTTCGACTGACGTTGTCGTCAAATTGTTCCGCTATGCTGATTCAATAGACCCATCTTTGCTCAGCCCAAACGAACACGACGAGGTACATTGCAATTATGCTCAATATGGATCTATTCAATACTCAGCCTACTCATTATAGATGGAGTTGTTCAAAGCGATCTCCTCCCGAACATTCAAGAATCTAGTCTCCCTTGCTGATGCATTTTTTGAGCGACAAAATATGTCCGCTGCGTTGCTTTCCCTCGATTATCACTTCTCAGAACCCCAGGCATGGCAAAACATGGACCTTGTTTCGTTAACAACTACCCTGCGGCCATTTTCCCTTTATGTTCAACAACTTCATGATATGGCATTCTATGCGGACCCGCGCACTAATGGTCATATTTGGAAAATGTTCGGACTCCGGCCCCATGGCCATGCTGCTTTCGTGGTCCCGCATGGGACTTTCTTGCATAAAAAGGCTACTTCTGCTACAGCGTCTACCATGGAAGGTTCAAGAGATGCCATCGTCTTAATCAAAAAATTGCTTCGCATTGTTCGCAACGCACTTTCCGAGCGCCTGCTAGAACGAGTTACCAGTCAAAATGAGATGTTCCGCAGAGCAAAAGCCCTTTTTCCCTGCCCACTACATGTGCTGGGGAACTGTGTCAAATCGGATCAGTGCACAGAGGACCACATCGAGCCGAACCACGTTTGGTACAATACCTGGATTCAGGCGCATATCTATCAAGTACTGATTTATCAGACAATAAACCGCAATGGTATTAACTACTCCTCCGCGTTGCGCAACTCACAACGAGCGTATGAGCATTCACATTTGGTCCTGGACTGATGGTTCCTAATAGTTCTTTTTTCCAAGATTTTGGATCGGTAAACTGTATGATGCACTGCTCGATGATCCCCCGGCTTACAAGTTTGGAACAATAAGCAGCTTAAAGCAAGAGCTTTCCGGCGGCTTTGAAGCAGGGTTCCAGATCATCATTGCCTGGATTCGCGAATTGGCAGATAATCTTGAATTTTCATCGCATATGGAGACCCAGTTGCTGACCCAAGTCATGCAGACTACAGACTTGAGTTTGACCCTCAACGGGAAAGAAGCGCAATTTTACTTGTATCGCTCGAAGTTAATCCCGCCACAGTACCTTCGAAAACCTAAAGACTATAATTCATTGTTGGACCTTTTGTCCTCCTATCAAAATAGCAAACCCTGGAGTGTTCTCGTGGGCACTTTGTTCATCAAGTCAGTACTGTTACACTCTAGCTTTTGTAAATCAGAATTTTTATTCAAATCCAGGCAAATTATGCAAAACCGACTGCCTGTAGAGATTGGTGTTCTTTGCACCTACATCGAACATCTCTGTACTTTAGCGATTGTTGCCAATCGTGTCCAAGGAACAGGGGGTTTGCACGACGTCACTCTCCCTTGCAGCTGGCTTTCCAAGGCTCTAGCCAACTTTAGCCTAGGTGAAGCCGCTGATAAGACAATCAACTTTTGGCTGTTTCCTCCTATCCTGGGGGATTTCATAAAATATATTTATACGGCAATTGGTTCCGGTATGTCGAAGTTCAACGTTCTACCTCTAACTGATTTCCTAAAACAGAACACCTGTTATTTGGGCCTGAATTACGACCATTAACAAAAGAAGAACTCCCCATTCGCAATATGTTCATCGCCCGACTGTGCGTTCCTCTTAAACCGCCTTGGAACTTCATCTAACCGAATCTTAGTTATCGTGTCTTGGTACTTCGTGAGTTCAGAATCTCAAGTTCACTTTACCCATCGGAACTTAATTGCCTTGTCCCAGTGGGCTATAATATTAGGGTCATGGCCTTCAGAAGCCAGATTTGGAGGGTTTCAAACGCAATGCATGGATTTGGCCAGCCCCCATTCTCCCCCCTCTACAAAAGGTGATTGATGCCAGTGTTTTCATCACCCTTTAATCTCTCATCCACGTTAGATATGTCGGCGCGCGTGACTGGTGGGAAATTTCATCTGCTGTTAGGGAGTCGATGCAAGGGTTAGCGTTGGATGAAATGGTCAATCTTCAGCACGCAGCTCGGATCGCTCTCCCCATACAGGAGCATCGAGGCTTGCGTAGGATTGTATACTCGGTTGTGGAAGATATCCCGGCCCTCCTGCAATCTGGATTCGAAGTCCCTCTTTCCATATCTGAAAGTCAAGAACTTACCTCGGACGTCGTCTCAGAGCCGCTAAACGAAGGAAGCAAAGATGATATCTCTGATCCTGTCGACAACGATGTTCACGAAGATCCTACAGAGCATGACGCGGACCCCCTCAATCTTGGTTACAAACTCGTCTCGGAGCCGCTAAACGAAGGACGCGAAGACGATATCGCTGATCCTATTTACGGCATTCACGAACACCCTACAGAGTATGAAACGGACCACAGCATTGTCATTGAGGATATTTCGCAACAAGTAGAAGAGCTTCATGCTGCATGCATCCTCCAACGAGCATTCCGTCGCTGCCTTACCAGGCAAAAGGAGAGAGAAGAGGACAGGCTGTCTGGTCGTTGCCGCCATTTTTTTGCCATATGCCTGGACGTGGTCAAGAAGGACAAATGGGAGAGGTCTCGATATAAGTTCTACTTCCTAGGTCCGCTCCCGCATGTCCTAGCATGTCTGGATGCTGCCCAAGTAGCTGTTCTCGCTAAAAAAGAGGAAACGAAGAAACTGCTTCGAGGCGGGGACATAAAAAACGAAGCATGGGATGACCTAAACTCCCAGCTAACACTGATCGTGTGAGCCAACTTCCTCCATGATTAGTGAATTTTACTTGACATTTCTTTAGCAATGCACACAAAGGAGTAAAGCGAATGCTGAAGACACTCGAACCCACTGCAGAGGTTCATCGCCGCCACGACCTGACAAGTTTAAAAGTCCACATCAGCCAAGCGGTGAACCTCCTTCGAACATTCCCGTTCAAAGGGTCCGAAGATCCTCAACTCTATCTTGACATAGCCTACAAGAGTATGAGGGAACCAGTACGGAAGAGTGCGAAGAAAGAGAAGAAGCCCCAGTTGAATTTGGATGACGAGGATTTGATGCACCTTGACTATGCGTAAGATCGATATCATTCATCACTACTATGAATCTTGTATTTTTGAACGTTTACACATCTCAAATATCTTCCCAAAAACTCGCAATGACACCCCAACGCGCGTGTCATTACTTGAGACTCCCGTGATACATACAACTGATCGTGTTTCCTCACGGCTACTGATAATCTTCGCGGAAGGACAGGTTTACTTCGGAAAGCGGCAGACTTCCTCTCAATAAAGGACATTGGCCCTAAGTCCTGATAATTCTATGTCACCTAAATCTTTGACCAACAACGTTCAAGAACTGGTGACACTCACACCTGCTTGTTTTGCATAACGGTCAGCACGATTCAGATCACCTCGAATCGCATAGAACATGACAAGAAATTCTTCAGCTTGCCAAGCTTCAATCGCGGTCATGAGCCTATCCCAGAAATCCATGTGCAGAGACACTCTTGACTTGAATTCCTTTCCTTGACCCCGGTCGGGCCTGGGCCAATGAAAACACTGGCAGTGTTTGTAACCAAAATGTATTGCGTGCATGATGCGTAGCATGTTTTCTAGTCCTGTCCATCTTAGCTAGCGTGGTCAGGAGTAGGCTTGATGCACATTTCAGCCGTCGAAAGTCAAAATTTATCTTCAGGGTTGTGGCATGAAAGCTGCAAAGTTGCTGGATTTGAAAGTGTCAAGATGTCCTCACAACAAGACCGATGAAATCGTTGCATGGCGTTGTGGATGACGATGAGTTTGTTGAAGATGCAACTTTCAGGCACAAGTAGTTCATATGAATGAGTGAAGTTTTCGGGTAGTGGTCACTGGGGTGCACAATGTCAACCCCGTAGCATGTGTCATTCAACTAGAAGGCGTCACCAAGCACTTCTCACTTGGGGTAAATCTCGCTGGCACTAATCGCGGGAGATTCTTCTAGTAATCCTGCAGAAGTGAAGTGTAACCGTTTCTGAACATACCAAGAATAAAAAGACTCACTGCTGCTGCTTTGGCGTAGCGATCCGCCAGATTCCATACCCTGTCAATCAGGTAGAACTCAACACGAATTCCCTCCCTTTCCTTGTCTTCTATCGCCTTCATCAGGCGGTCCCACAAATCCATATTTGCCTTCTGTACGACCCACCGACCGCTCCAATCTCGCCATACCCTTATCCACAATGTAGCACCTTCCGCCACATACTCCGAGTCTGTTGCGATGACGATCGTCTTTATACCCTCCATTTTCCAATCAAATTCGATTGCAGCTTCAACGGCACGTAACTCTGCGCGATTGCTAGTCAATTGATGAGAAACATCAGGTTCCAGTCGGAACAAGTGACGAGAGTCGAGCGAAGGGCCAGTCACAACGCCGCAGCCTGCGCGTACACCAGGTCGTCCATTATTGGGCGCTGCCCCGTCCGTGAAGATGAGGATCCGGTCATCGTTTATACTTTCCCAGCGCGCTGGCATGCGGGAGTAGTTGGGGACAAACGCATAGTCCAAGGGGTTGCTCCTATTCGTTCCAGCCAACAAGGTTGGGGCCATTTCGCAAATTGTTTGGGGCACGATGAAGCTCACCACCCAGGCACTAAATAGTCAGATTGACGACCATGGTTCATTAATCTTGAACCCAAAATTTGCTCGGCGGTGGGCCAAGGGCTCAAGGAAGAACAGATCCCCCGCTGAATGCATATGGTTGTAACCAGAAAAAAATTGTAATCTATTTCAACCGGACCGACACGGCCCAGCGCTACCACTATACAATGTTGTTAAACTCTCCACTCTCTGCAAGACTACTCGCACTTGTCTTCGCGTCCAAAAACAACTCTCTCATCTCCCCAATATCCTCCGGCTCAATCTGTGTTCTACCACCCAACTGCGCCAATATCGACGCAGGTGTAAGCAGCTGTAATGCATATCTAGAACCAAAAACCAATAAGCACGGGGCAAAATACAAAGAAGCTCCAATATGCATACCTTAGGGAACTCTTCTCCCCCTCGGCCGCTAACCGGTCAACAACGCCTTCGCCAAGTTTCAGTCCCTCAACCGTAGCGCGTAGTTGAACAACTTTGCCGATCTGATCGCGTGTATACCCGTCCGTCTTGACGATCATGCACCTAAGCTGCGTCAACCACCGTAACAAACATGAAGACGGTGTAAATACCTATCAAGAAGATCGACGGGTATTCCATGGGGCGAAACAATATCCACCGTTCCTCTCACAAGCGCCTGCCCGCGATTCGTAGCCAAAACCACCGTCGGCGCCATCGGACTCTCAAGCAACGCATTCAGATACGTAAAGCACTCAATATCCAACATGTGCACTTCATCAATAAACACAACCCCAGGCACCACCTCCGCAACGCCTTGCTCGACGTATCCTTGGACGACCTTGTTGACCTCCCTTCGTAGTTTTTCGGTGACCTCTGTGCGCCCAGACTTGACGAGGGAGCCCATGACGCTCATGATATCTTGGCCGCCTTGAGGCCGTGCGTTGGCGGCGTCAAGGTCACCTAAGGTGACGATCTGCACGAGCTCCTTGAGCTTGTGAACGTCGCCTTTTGGTAGGGGTACGTATGTCTCTGCTTCAAGGTCGTATGAGGAAGCATACGCGTCTGAACGCCCCACACGCTGATTGACACGCGTAAGAATAGGTTGTCACCACAAACCTCCTGACATACCTTTACGGCACCAGTCTGCTGTTCAATGTAGATCACATCTCCGACTACCACCTTTTCTTTGAGAATAGCCTCGTATATGGTAGGATCCAATCGTAATTGTTTCGTCCCTTTAACTGTTTTGAGACCAACAACGACGTGCGAAACGGTCTTCCCATAACCGCTCAAGGGATTCTCAGCCTCCGTCGGCGTGAGTTCCGTGATCTCACCCTCGTAGACGTTTTTTGTTTCTTTGATTTTGAGGCCTACCAACAATAATCATTGTAAGCACAGTGCAACACCAAAGACGCGTAACGCACCTATAGCCCTTCTAAACGCCTCCGCGAGCACTTCCGTCTTTTTCACTTCAGCACTGTACACCTCTGACCCAACCATGGGGCAAAACGGCACTTTCGTACCCAGCTCATGAGAAACACCAAGCGCCAAAGCAGTTTTCCCCGTCCCAGGCGCACCAACGAGCAACAAAGCTCGTCCCGAGAATTTTCGTGATTTTATAAGATCAACAACCACACCACAAGCCTACAATGTAGCAAGGTTACATTCCCGTAGATAAAAAAGCAGGCAGCTGCGAACCTCACGAGCATTGGTCTGTCCAATGAATCCTGCGCCGCTGACGGTAGCAAACCCTTCGGGTGTCAAGCCAAGCCCTTTGATATGTGAATGTGACGAGATCTGTGGCGACCTCCCAGCGGACAGCGTGGATGGTGGGAGCGCATTGTGAGCTACACGCGTCGAGGTTGATGGTGTGGAGGTCATAGCGCTTGCAGAGAACAACAAATAAAGCTAAAAGAGAACAAAGCCATCGTCAACGTCCTTGCCAACGTTCTCGTCATCCCCGAACAACCGTCTTTTGTTTTTCAAATGTCCTTCATTCCAATTCATCACTTGCGATTATCTTTCGGCCATCATGGCGTCCTTTACATTCCGTAAAGTCAAAACCAAAAGGCCTCCATTCCTTTGTGCCACGCCATCTTTGGAAAATGGCCTTTATGGACAGCACCATGTGCACAACAAGCTCAATATCCTTTTCTTAGCTTCCTGCTTATTGTCAACTTGTCATGGTTGATGGATCCTAGGCCTCATGTGCTGCGTGTTCAGGGTCCCGCCTTGTCCTCTCGAGTCACCAAGAATGAAGAAACGGTTTCTTGCTGGCTATTCGGAATGCTATAAAATGGCACCCAACCGCCCACTCATTCATCATCGCGGACCCACACACACACACTTCCTAGCATCTCTACATTACTATTTACTATGAAACTCCGAAACTCCAAAGAAACCAATCCCCAAAATTTTATGGCCTCACCATCTCGCGAAAGGTCCGAGACCCCACCTCCTCCAGAGGAACCCTACAACTGGGGTACCGCAGACGACATGCGCAATTGGATCTGCCCAGAGGTGAACCCTCATATAATAGATACTCTCCGAGATGTCCACCCACACACTCTCGAAGAGACCTTTCATTGGTATGCTCGCGTACGTTTTTGCTTTCGTTTTTTTATTCTCAAGCATCATCTGATTCGTCTCTCAGCCCGGTTCTCCGGTCTGGGTGCTTAGCTCTAGTAAAAAGAGGCCCGTCCCGACTTGGCGTCAGGGTTACATTGTAACGGAAGATAAGACACATTATACAACCAAGGTTTGTCACTTGGATCTTACCATATAGTCCGATCGTTTAACCGTTCACACCAGGGAGTATTCCGTTCATATGTGGTTCAGTATATCATTGGAGGCGAGACTGTCAAAACCGTTCTCTGTCCTGGCCTGGAGCCGGAGTTGAAGCCAGACACGCCCCAAGTGCGACAGCTTTTGCGCGAAGCCGGTTTCCCCGCGGGACCCTGAGCCTCACTTATATCGGGGCAAAAGCCGTATTTTCTCTTTTTCGCCCAGGAGGTCTCTTCTCATTTTCGACTTTTGACACACACACAGCAAGCCACATTGTATACCACACCCACACGCATAGTATGTACACCACCGCTATCACTACAATGTTGCATCGTATAGTCGCAGGAATATCATCTCATTAATCTAACGAGTCCTTATAAGAAGGCAAGAAGGCCTTGGCAATGTCAGCTTGAAATCGCCCGAGATACGCCAGCAACTCTCGATCCGGGAGAGCAGAATGTTCCAAAGCCTGAGTAAGCTGAGTTCGAAGCTAAGAAAAAGTCGAGAATCAGCCTTTTTCGAGCAATGTTGGCGCGCCTCCAAGAGCAAGAAGTCGTCGACAAGAACAGATGGAACGCAGCAGACAATTACCCTTAGCAAGGCTTTGCGCCGTAGGGCAATTTTGGAGCTTTCGCTCTCCGTTTCATGTCTTGTTTGAAGGGCAGCTAGATGTTCGGCAACCCTCTTACCCTCGGTCAAGACGTCAGCAGGAAGATCCGCAAGCCTGGCGAGTTCGAGGCCGTAATGGCTAATTTCGTCAGAGATGCCGTCACGAATCCTTTGATTTCTGAGCTGAAAGTAGCGCAAGAATCGAAGAAACACCGACTTATATTGAAAAGTCAATCCAAAATTAGACGAGGATTGCCTTGCCCGCTTGTTTGACGTGAGGAAAAAAAAACGCTGATAGATTTGCTGGTTACCTGGACCGAGAGATGAAGGCTATCACAGAAAAGTTAAGAAAGGTAAACGCTCAAAGTGATCACAAACTTGACGATTGTAGGCCGACGCGATAAAGTTATCGTAATTTCGTGAAAGTGTCTTGCAATTGGGTAATTTATTACGCCATCACCAAGCTTCGATAGAAAACTCACGTCGCAAAGAACACAAACGACTAATGAAAATGGTCATCTTGTAGTACTCATTAAAGCTGGCGACCTACCTTGAGTTCAAGTAAACCCTCAGCGATGGCATGAGAGATTCCGACACCTTCCCTTGGAGAGGTTCCTCGACCCAGTTCGTCGACCAAAACAAGGGACTTTTGGGTAGCAAGCCCTGCAGGAAGAAACATCAGCCGAGCTGCCCATCGCAAAGCGGACTACTAACCAAGAATCATGGCAGAAGTAGTCATCTCGCTTGCAAATGTGCTCAGATTCTTCTCCATGTCGTCATCATTCGAGAGACGCGTCAAAATGGCATCATGAATTCTATGAGAGTCTAAAGATGCGAGAATCATCTCTCCAACTGAACACGCACCGAAAACTAGCATATTCTGCTGGGACAAAACATCCACACATTGCCATAACGGTCAAGAGGCCGATCTGCCTCAAATAGGTGCTTTTCCCTATCAAAACCGTTATTAGCTGATTGTACTGAAAGCCAAGGCATTCATCCGCACCTGACATACTTGAAAAGACAAAAACTCAACAACACTGGCTTAGTTTAAACGCGTAGAAAAAGTGAATGCACTTCGGTCCTTGTATAATCTGAAAGGAAGACGAATCATCGCAATAAACGTCATTCGAAACAAGGGTGCCCGCATGATAAAGCGTTTCCATGATCGGGTGGCGGCCTGATTTGATGGCCAGTGTCCCTGTGAATTCTGGCCGCACTGTAAGGATGTTTATGTTACAGAAAATGTCGAGATATAGAATTATTCGAACCATAACTTCGCACTGGAACAAGTATGAAAAGTGCGAAAACGATCGACTCTGAAATGACACTTACTGATCGATGCATGTGCAAAAGACCAAAGCATATCGACGAGGGCGACCTAGAAAGCATCGCAAACAAACTCCGAGTTTTGGGACAAAACTTACCGCTTCGGAGGCCTTGTACAGGGCTCCAATAAGTGCAACGATCCCCGCGACGAGGTCTTGTATTATTCTGAATGAAATACGTTAGCACAGCCTCAAAACAAAAGAACTTCGGTGCCCACTTATCACTAAGCAACATCGTCTCATCCAAAGCATCCTTCATCCTCGCGTTCATTTTTTTCTGCTCTCAAAATGATCAACATTTCATCCGAACCAAGTGAATGCGACTCACCAATTCCATGCTCGTGAACATCCACCTCCCTTTAGTAAACGTCACATTCAAGAACCCCTTGGGCAATTCCCCGTCGAGGTCAGCCTTCTTCAGCGCAAACACGAATCCTGATTCTTTATAAACAAGAGTCAGTGGTAAACTATGTTCTTCCGAAACCGTTCGGCTGAGTTGGTATATATCCCCAACATTTTCCTTGTACGTCTCTCGTGCGACGTCGAGCAGTCGATTACAATTAGCCTATACCACTTCAGCGCTGAGTACCAGGTTGCTCAAAAGTTCACCTTACCTTGACAGCATATACACGGGCGTTCACCGCACCAACACCACCCTGGACTTCATTAGCTTCTTGATCAAAACACTTCAGCTTTAACTGACTTTGGCGGGAACACAATCGTCGTTCAAGTTTGCTGATACCAATGCCTCTATCTCGTCCAATCTTTCGTCCGCTAGCATCTGAAAAACGTCAGCGTAGGCTCAACAAAAAGAAGTGAAAGACACACATCATGAACGATCACCAAAAGTTGCGATCGGGAACCTGCCAGAGCATTTCTCAAAAGAGGCAGATTCTTGACTACGCTGCGCAGATTTAGGACCTGAGAAAGACGCTGTGCAGCGGGTTTCGCGTTCGAAACGGCGCGAGTCTCAGAGGATGCGAGCTACATGAGGTAAGATAAGATAAAATCGATTTAGTGAATGGGAGCGTGCATACCGAAACGATGAGCTTGTCGAAATCCATTTTGTTGAGTGTTTTCAGGGCGTCACGGACGTTCGTGAATCTATCTTCGGTGTTGATGAACTCTACGTCTATGCTATATGTCTGTTTTCTTCTTCGTTGAGAAATTGTTTACCTTGAACGACATCAAGTCGGGCATCAATCGATTGCTGAACTGATCCATTGGTCAGACTTAATGTCCGTAGTCCTGTGAAAGGTCATCTTACCAGTGATTGGTGATAATATGTTGACTCTCAACAGCCGCGAAGCCATTGCTGTGTGCGTATGATTCAAAGTTCTTCGCGAACCGCGTTAGTTCTATGAGGACCAATTGAATGGAAAGAAGCTGACCCAAAGAGCGAATGCTGTGACCTTTTAGATGTCATGTTCCCAACGAGCTCCAAATTTCGTGCAGTGTCTGGATCGACCATCATAGTGCCATCCACAGGCACGTAACGAATTCGAAGAGAGGCCGCTGCAAAGCGGACATTCATTCCGCTTTCGGCATATTTGAAGAGGGCACAAGCGGCAGAGAGGGTATAATACCTGGGGTTCCAAGTTTAAATGCATTAACGTGGCTGTATGCGCAACATACTTGTTAGATACGGCCAATATCGTCCCTGCACGTTCGTCGTCTTCGACACAAAGCTGAAGAATAAATTCGAGACCTAGAAAACGTGTTACTTTCACTGATACGATCTATTACCAGAGAAAGGCTCACCACAACTATCGTTCCAATACCTTCTCCCTACAGACTCCACCTGTACGCCAGGAAACTCCTCGCCGATGTACTCGATCAAGAGCGAAGTAGAAACCGATCTCTTTCCAGACGGCGCCAGCGCAGCATCTGGCGCGGAGAGAAACGTATCGGGTACAAGTATCAGACACGGAGTATGAAGGTGCATCTGGTGCAGGGTCTTCACGTAAGTCTGACAATCAGCCACCTTGAAGCGTTACGTTGGAATGAAGTCAAGGATGTCGAAAATAGTCAAAAAAAACCTGAACGAGCATGACTTTCCCCGTATCCTTGTCGAGGGCTGCTATTCCCACTTCACGCGAGACACCACGGCCCTCGAGCAAGGCAATTACATAGCTTCCTTCGTGTCGAGTTGAAGCTGCAGTTTGGGGACGGGCAGTAGTTGGACGCGACTGATTGGTCCACGGGCGACTCTGATGAGACGCAGGTCGATATTTCCACTCGCTATCTGAAGTCGTCGGCTTGGAGCTTGACATCGTTTAGTTCAAGATGTCTGTAACACGTGATCGCGATTCCTTTCCAGATAAAAATAGACAGGGTAACGTCGTAAAAAGATGACTATAGATTGTAAATTCGTGCCGCGGTTCTGGTTGCTGCTTCTTGTCAAAATTTAGTTACGGCTAAGCGCTAAGCGCTAAGCATTAGTAACATGGAACTTTTCAAAAAAAAGTGTTGAAATTTCTTGCGTCCCTTGCCCAATACAAAAACTATTGATGAAAGTCGAAAGGCTAGATTAATGTCTCCGCCATATGGCTAAAACTCTTCCCCCGCGGTCGTAAAAATGCTATGTGATGAACGAATAATGATATTGTCATGATGGTTGTGGCGGTCGTAATGAATATGATCTGTAATGGAGAAGATAAATAAATAAGCGGTTGCGTTGGAGTAATAAGAAATCGTTGCAGCTCACAGAGATGAAAGGACGAATTATGTGTGTGATTGACCGTCTCAAGCAATAACGCAATAGGCGTTGTTTCCACTGCCGCCTGACTCCCCGTTGGTGGGGATAGAATCACCCTGAGTCTGGTGGTGGGTGAAGGTGGTCTCGATGTCGACGAAGAATGTGAAGGCGTCCATGTTAACTCGGGAGGATGGGAGAGATGTTAAGGTTGGATTGCAAGGAAGGAACGGTAGTTGTACTAATAAGCCTGGAGATATGGCCTAAAAACTTGTCGTTTTATACTTGGACATGACCTGCATGTTTCGGTAAGCGCGTGAACTATGCTGAAGGTCCTATTGTTCAATTTTTGACTGGCGAGAAGATGGCCCATCGTTTTGGGAGTTATCGTTGCACGCGTTGTGCGATTGAAGACAATAACGGAGCAGTGGATGCTCAATGTGAGGTCCTGTGCCTTACCTTGGCGCACCCCTCTTGCTTAAATCCAATCAGCAAAAAACAAGACCCGCTTTGTTGACCCGGCTTCCCGCTTGGAAAAACATAAGTACCTTAGTTATCCGTTGAGCATTTGTGTGCGCATTTGTTGAAGTTGAGTTGGCCGCACGCCCTCGAAGAAAACGTAGTCAATTGTACAGATATGCAATGTACGACGTGTCGCACGATTTTGTAGCACACCTGATTGTTGACGACATTCTTGCTCTTTGTTGCCCTGCAGACAATAGAATGGGTCACTCCAGAAAATGGCGGTGTTTTATAATAAATCCGTGGGGAGAGGTATAGAGATCCGAGCAGAAGACAGGTAAGAGAATGGAAAGCCTATCCTCGAGTGCAAGCGCTCCAGAAAGATTGCGGTGTCTGGGATAGATCCGTTGAGTGGACGAGTAAATTTTATTATCATCGGGAACGAGATCTGTTCAGCGTTGAAGACCACGCCAGATGAATATATGGTGCATAACAGGAGTTTGGAGCAAGTAAGGACGTTTCGGACCAGGAGATGGAGGAACCTCTAAAATCCTTGCCAAGTGTGCCCCAAAGCTAAAAATGATAAGAATGCACATGGGTACGACAACTGTCTCGAATGGTATCCATCATGTGCTGAGGCGTTTAGATGAGCATACAGTCAAGCGATTGTGGTAAAGCCATTGCGAAGTTTGTGGCGATGTTTGCGTTTGTTAGAAACCGAACAAGATGATGTCAGCATGGAATTAGTCATACTGAGCACAGCCGCTGGGGCCCTCTTGCACAGAGGCAATAACCTGGCAGTTACTTACTTACATCCAATTCACCCTCTCAACGCCGTCTAGCGCAATGTCAGGCATAGGTGCTTGGATATGGGGAACGTCACAGCTCGACGATGCTGTCGGTAAGTCATGTCGTGCTCCTCTGGCAAGAAAGAAACATTTCATACCGATCACATTCAGACAAGGCGACCTCTGAGCTCTTGCCAGCAGGCGCAGAGGATATCGCTTTGAATCTCGAAATATGCGATCAAATCCGCTCAAAGTCGGTGCCAGCAAAGGATGCCATGCGTGCTCTTAAACGCCGACTCAATCACAAGAACCCAAACGTTCAGCTTCTAGCTTTGGGGGTACGTTCGATCATACTACTTTGTATTTTGAGCTAATGTAGGGTCTCAATTCCAGTTGACGGATATCTGCATCAAGAATGGCGGTGATCACTTCCTAGTTGAAGTCGCCTCTCGGGAATTCGTGGATAATCTCGTCTCCATACTCAAAGTTCCAGTCTTAAATCTCGAGGTCAAAAATGTTATCCTACGTCTCATTCAGAATTGGAGTTTCGCATTCGAGGGAAAGCATACATTGAGCTACATGGGGCAGGTATACAAAATGTTGACCAACGAAGGTGAGTAACAATCAATGTCGGAATATCTTTGCTCCACACCTCATCGCAATATTGCAGGATTCAATTTTCCTCCAAAGGACCTAGCTGTTGCCAACTCTGCCATGGTCGATACTCAAACCGCCCCCGAGTGGATAGACTCAGAAGTCTGCCTACGGTGTCGGACGGCATTCACATTCACAAACCGAAAGCATCACTGCCGAAACTGTGGTCAAGTCTTTGACCAGCAATGCTCCTCGAAGTCAATGCCTTTGCCTCATTTCGGTATTACCACAGATGTTAGGGTGTGTGATGGCTGCCACGCAAAGCTCACGAAGAAACATGAGAAAGTGTAGGTTCTTTCTTCTTAGCTGCAAACGTACTCTAACCGTTATCCACAGAGATAAAGGTCATCGACACTCAACAAGTCTTCACGGAACCCGCCACCGTGGTGCGCGGGAGTTGGCCGACGCTGAACTTCAAAGGGCTATCCAGCTCTCTCTGCAAGAGGTCAACGCAAACGGGAACGCTCGCCCTGGATACGCCCCCTCGCAGCCCAAATGGCAGTCCTCAGAACCCCCTATCATCGACAGAAGCTCCTATCCCGACAGGAAAGCTCTCTCGGACGAAGATGACGATCCGGACCTCAAAGCTGCCATAGAAGCAAGCTTACGCGAAGCTAATGCTCCCAAACCCAGTGCACCCATCGTTGTAGAGACACCACGTACAGAGGCTCCGTACGAGTACGCCGGCCCCGGCTATTCGCAATCATACCCTCCTGGACTGCACCAGCCGGCACTGCCCAAGGTGCCAAGTTACGATCTAGAGCCTTTAGAGGAAGACGCGATTCTCACGTTCAACCAAACTGTAGAGCAGGTTCAGGCGCAAGGCGGGAGAGACATTTCCAGGTATCCAGCGGTGAACGAGTTGTACGATAAGGCAAATGGATTGAGGCCTAAGATGGCGTTGAGTCTGGATGATGCTGGTCGGAAAGAAGGTCAGTTTCTTAAAATTTGCGATTTCAGACATTGCTCAAGCCTACGTCTTGTGTAGAAATGCTTTCGGACATGCACGACAAACTATCGCAAGCAGTTAAGCTGTATGACCAAATATTGACTCAACAGATTTCCCATCCTCGTTGGCGTTCTTCCGCTGCGCCTCCTTCTCAGTATCAGCAACCAGTGTCGAGCTATAATACAGGTTACAATCAGTGGACTCCTGCTCAATTGCAACAGCCCCCCTCAGGATATCAACAACCGGAAACGCAACAACCACTTTCGCCACAGATGACTGCCTATTCCCCACCTCTGGCACAAGAACAACCACAGCAGGCTCAATACGTCAGCTCTCCGCGATTTGAGGTATCACAACCTCAATGGCGTCCGCAACAGCCCCAGCAGCAGCAGCAACAATCACAATCCACGTCGTGGTATACTCCTCCTCAACAAACCCAATCTCCTGTCGCCAGCGCTCCTCCCTCACAGCAGCCTTCAGCGCCCCCTTCCTTCCAACATTCTCCACAACAACCACAACAGCAGCAGCCGTCACAGTACCAGCCATACTTTGCTACTCCCCCCACCCCGAGCACAAGTCAGACTCTTCCACCTGTCACCTACAACACTCCTTCGGCTCTATCCCAACCCCCCCAGCAGATTATCGATTCCCATCCCCAAGCCGCACCACTCCAAACCCACCCCTCACAGTCAATAGCCAGGCATAACACTATTACATACGCACAATCCACAGCTCAACCCCAATTAGCAAGGAGCAACACCGTCGCTGCTCAACAACCTACTATTCATGCACGACCGCAACAGCAGCAGCAGCAACATGTTCCTCAACGCCAATTACAGTACCAACATCAGCAACAACCATATCAGCAAGCTATGTCTCCCCCACCTGCCCCAGCAGCACTACCTCAGTTTCCCGTTGCTCCAACCCTAGCACCACAGGCGTTCCCCATGTTTGGTGCAACGTTAGCAGCACCGTCAGGGATTGAGTATAAGGAGGAAAGAAAAGAGGCACTGTTGATTGATTTGTAGGCTTGATTCGCAGCATGTATGATAGATTTGGTTTTTGGAGCTTACTTACCCTATGTAACTAATTGGCATTGCGGAGTGTTCTTGCGGCGCAATACCTGCCATCGTCTCTGCGGGATTATTGAGTTCTTCCTCAAGTCATAAACAATGGCTTCTGTACTACTGCTGGATCGTTGGTAGGCATCAGAGAGTATATGATTCATGTGACCTAAACTTGCATCATCTCCGACTCTGTCGTCGAATCCTCCATAACATAAAAGATGCTTCCTATTGCTGGGTCGTTAGAATGCAATGGCGCCTTCAACTGTCATTAAGTCTACAGTGGTCGACTATGCACATCCTAGTGTCCGCAGAGAGCCGTTCTCGCATCTTACAATTCCTAGCATCTTTTCGTCACGCCGAGGGCATAATGGACATGTAGAAAACGCAGAAGAGGAACAATTCATTGAATCCGAGCTCAAACTCCCTTCTTATAGGTCCCTCTTTGTCGCAATCGGGGGAAATGCCCTCTTCCAGGCGAGTTTCCTCATTTCCAAGTCGACTCGAACACTCATTCCAATTGTAACACAGTTCTCATTTTTTATAATCGTTTCCTCTGCCAGTGCATATGCAGAACATCTCGGGGGATCCGCCGTCTTTTCTGGCCTTATCATTGGTATCCCAACCGTATTCTCCGGTATCGCCTTGATTTTCATGACAAGGCTTGATAAAGGTGGAAGCCCATCCATAAATTTATAATTACCCACTATTGATCCATACACAATCACTTAGGTCGTTACAAAAGGCCCTTCCAATTCGCATACGCAGCCATGCTCCTTGGAAATATCTTACACGCCATGGATTACTACTCTAACTGGCTTTACCTGATCCTCCTGGGGCGAATCGTCACCGGGTTCGGTTTCACCTCCTTCATGTACACAAAGCGGTACTGTAGCGACCCACGCATAGTTGGCGTTCGCCAACGCACAACCCTTGCCTCCTGGCTCGTCATCGGTCAATGCTTCGGCTTTTCAACAGGCCCCTTCCTCGGTGGTCTCTTGTTCAAAGTAGGGTTCTCCAATTCCATTTTCAATGGGTTCACTAGCCCCGGGTGGGTGATGGCAACCACATGGGCCGTCTTTTGGGTCATCAGCAACGTGCTCTTCGAAGACGTCCAAACGCAACAAGAAGTCATCCAACTCGGACCTCGAGTCCAGTCCACATTAGAGTCTGACCCAGCAGAATCTACCATAAGCCTTTCCGCACGTCAATGGGGCGTCATAATCTGCATGTGCTACTACGCAATGACCTGTTTCCTCATCCTCGCCAGTTGGGAATCCAACATTCCCGTGTTCACCGCATCCGCACTCGGTTACTCCCCCTTCCGCGCGGGAAACTTCATCGCTCTGGGAGGGTTAGCGTCCTTCCCGTTCCTCCTTCTCAACGTTCGGTACGCCCGCCGATTCCAGGACCGCACCACGCTAGCCACAGGTACTTCTCTCGGGCTCGCAGGACTTCTTCTCACACTCGTCCTTCTTCGAACTGATAACATCACATTCGGATCGTTCTACGTCTGTTGGGTCCTCGTCGCTCTTGGTTTCAACCTTGCAAGTACTTGTACACTTAGTTTACTCTCCAAACAGTTGCCAGACAACTGGAATGGAAGGGTAAGTTTGGCTATACAATACAGTAACTATCTCGGTCGCGTCACTGGTGCTATCCTCGGTGGTGCTGGCGTCAAAATAGGGATGATGAATTACATCGGTGTGCAGATAGCTGTGGTGGGCATCGGGGGAATAATGTATTTAACACTCTGGAGGGAACTCAAGGCGAAAACGGGATAGCTCCCTCAACACAAATATATGTGACCGAGAAAAAAGGTTCCACTGGATATTCAGAAGGCGAAGGACAAAAGGGGGGGTGACAAATCATGTACACTATACATCACAACATTAAGCAACCTCTTCCAAAGCGTCATTAAGGAAAAAAATAATCATCGTCCAATGCCCATCTTCAAAAGGGCGCCAACAACATCCACATCGTCCCACCTCGAGTCCACAGCACCAGTGCCATCAGCCGCAGCATTTTTCCTCCTGTTGATGTACCCAAGCGTATTCCTAAAATGTCTCGTGATCATTTCAGGTGTCTGGACACCTTCAATGAGACCTGGAGGTGCTCGTTGGGTAGGGTGGACGTCTGGCGATGAGATGTTGTCTATACTCGATGTGATTAGCTCAACCAAGCTATTCACATACTTGGGAGCAAGCTAGACAGGAAACGTCAGCTTCAAGGCCAGGTATATGAGCAGGCGCGTGACTAACATCTGGGGCTCCCCGGTCAAGGTAATACAGATAGTGATCGAGAGCATCACAATAGAGCTGTACAGTGACGATTTCCTCAATCGCCGAGTTGGCGATGCGCAAGGACTTCTGAAGGCACTCGAGAACGCGCTTGCTGTCTTGATGAGGGTACTACAAACAAGAATCAGGATCGATCTCGTGCAAAAGGCTTAAGGAGCACATACCGCCTTGACAGCGCCCTCCGCCTCTTCCTTTGACGAAGACTTGTCAACGACAGCAGGCTTCCCTCGAACCTCAACCTCGCCCTCAGCAGGTGGAGGCGCCTCTTGCCACCAAAGATGACTCGCCAAGCCCACCGCCGTAGCTTGATGGCTCTTCTTCAGCAACCTTGCCCCATGCAGCGCAGCCTTGGTGATCAGGGTATCATAATTGTCCATACCAAAGACCTTGGCGCCAGAGAGTGTGCCAATGATAAGTGTAATCGCTTGTAATTGAGCGCGCGATTCTGATATGCTCTCCTCGTACACACTGAAAGCCTGCACATAGAAATCGTATGATAGGTCCTCGAACCCACACTCGTCAGCGATCTGCGCAGAGAGGAGGAACAATCGCAGTGCAATCGTTGGCGCCTCGACCTGTGTTGCGAGGATGGCGGTAACCTGCCGTACGAATTTGAGGATCGCGGCTACTTTCGTCTCCCATTCGTCCTCCTGAAATACCAATTAAATAAGTTGACGGCGTATCAAATACAAGGCGAGTACAAACCACATGTTGCCGGTTTTTGTACCGGCGACATAGTTTGATAGAGGATGTAATGAGAGCAGGGAACGTAAAGCGCATCCTTTCTCCTCCCATGTCAAAGTGTCGACGCGCAACTTGTAAGAGCTACGCCACATGCAATCAGCAATGTGCAACGGTTTGAGAAAAACCCAGACTCACCTCGAATTGTACATCCAGTGACTCAGCACGGAACAAATGCACCATTCTCGCCACCCACCCTTGCTCTTCCGCCATCTCCTCCCTCTCTATAAAGTATGGCCCCGGCCTCCTTCCATCTCGCACGTTCGTTTGTGAACCGTTCGGTGCTAATGCAGCACCTGAATCCGACTGATCCTTGATAAGGACATGACACAGTTCAAGAACCCCATCAACGTCCTCTGGTGACTCTACAATTGTCTCGTTCTTGAGCACAGAGGAGACAACGGAATGAGCGATAGAGCGACGCGTCAAGAAGAGTTGTTTCGTCAGTAGGGGGCCGTAATTGGGAATGGCAAGTAATGTGAGCACTGATTGATAAGAGTTGATTGGGGCAACCAGAAGGGCGGAAAGGTTGGTGGTCGTTTGTTGCGCGTGCAAATCAGGGCTATAAATTGAGTTTGTCAGATATCATAACAACTATAAAATGTCGAGAAGGGATGAACCTTTCACTAAACTCCTTTATTTTGTCGGCAGCAAATCCAAGGACTTGATCTACATATTCAAGTCTGTCAGGATAACAGCTCAGGGAAAGGTTTGTCAGAGAGACAAGCAAAGCAGTGATATCTTGTATTGAAAGGTCGGGTCGAGCCTGGGCGTTTTCAGCATCGTCAGAGAATGACAAATTATAAAGAAAGCACAAACCTTGATGAGCTCAACAACTTGCTTCCAGAAGACCTCAAACAGTTGCACGTCCTCAGGTACACCTCGGAACTTGCGCACAGGTGAGCCCTCCTTATCCTTTCCTTTCCCCAATTTCTCATCAATGGTTGAGCTAGGAGAGGTCGGCAAGACAGGTGACTTCTCGGACTCTGAAAAGGTAGTTGTTGTTGTGGGAGATGTTGGTACGCCCCAGGCGTTCGCGTCTGGCCCAGCCGAAGTGGGTGAGGCGGCTCGATACGCATTTTCTCGGGCCCTCTCCTTCTGCAGCTTCACCTTTTCTGCAAGGCGTCGAGCAGCAGCTTCTTCTTGACGTTTTGTCTCCTCGGGGTCCTCACTCTCAGCCTCGCGTGCCGCATACGAGGCAAGTCGATCAATAAGGGCGATGACGATCTGCTTAATGTTAACCTTTGGATGAAGCTGGGCGGTCGCTGATAGGAAGGGGCCAAGGGTATGCAAATGGAACTCGTCTGTAAAGACCTAGGGAGGGCGGTAAGTGCTTGCCCCTAAGTCCTCCAGTAGGATGTCACGCACCTGAATGACGACCTCCATCAAGTACTCTTGAGCTATCACATCTTTGCAATTGACAACCTGCTCGAGAATGCTGGGCAATATCGTCTTCTGGTACATGTCCAGGTCGACACCGTCAAGTTGACTAAGTCGGACGAGGTTGGTGCCAACGAGGATTCGTAGTTCGCGTCGCTCCATCTCACGCTTCTCGCGGTCGCGTGAGTGACCTTGATGTTGCAGCCGCACCCAGAGCTTGTTCATCTCAATGAAATTGGTGAGAACGAAGCTTATCGAATCTTGGAGGTTGCCAGAGGGCCTGCCACGAACATGTAAGATCATAACCGGCAACATGGAACATCAAACGCACCCAGAGTCAAGTCCAACAGGTAAATGGTCTCTCGTTTGCCCACTGAGATAGTGTCGAAGGAAGAGCCCGCGTATCGGATGCAGAACCCCTCTTGACATTTCCATCATATCCTTCATTATCTCTTTGACAGGTGCCTCCGGAATAGACATGTACACGGAGCCAACGGTGATCATGAGATATAGCCTTGGGATGATGTTGCCAGCGTATTGAACCAATTCATAAAGGTCGGCTAAATGGTGTCTGGACTGCGTGTGGGCTTCGTACAAGTAGTTGGAGAGGTGTCGGAGTGCGTCAAATACCGCCATATCTGACCATATCGTGAGCTCCGTAAACCTCATAATCAGCCCAGTACGCTTACATAGCTCATAGTATTGCTTTGGTGACAGCGACGATGTCCGCAGTTCCGCGAGCATCGTACTTGCGCTCTTCAAAGCATCCATGAGTTGGTCTAGTTCCTGTAATTTGAAACACCATTCTAAGCGTAATTTCAAAGCATCCGCCAGCTGCAGACTGACCAAATGCCGCTTCATCTGCTGAACCTGAATTTTGACGGTATTCAGGGCCTCACTAAGCAGCTTCCCCTCCTCCACAACTGGGTGCGCCGCCATAATTGCAGTTGACGCTGATGTTGCAGAAACAAGCGACCGCCGTCAAGACAGTAGCCAGGGACCTAGATGTTGAAAGAAAAGAGAGGGACGGTGACGATATTGCTGGCGGCGGGTGGCGGAGACGAGCCCTGTTTGGCTGCGGTTTGGCTGTCATACAATTGGTCAGCAACCCTCTTGAGCCTCATCCGACTTTGACACAGACAAAATTGAAGCCGATGGACAATGGACCCAAATGTGGAGCGTTTTCGTATCTTTTCCCCGAAGTCGTCCTGCTGCACTCACACGCTCTTCGTGAAGATATAGTTTGACTGTACGTTGGAGTGTCGGGCCTCGAAACTCCAACACTGTGGGATGCATGTTTGGTTGTGTTTGGCAAGGGCTTCGGAGTAGATACACCGTTTGTAGGCAGACATTCCCATCATCATCATTGACCTCGAGCATTGCGACCGAGCTCCGAGGAAGCATTCCCATCGGGTCACTCGGCACCTCTCCAATGTCTGAAGCGAAGAGTCATGGAAGATGGCTGCGAGTACCAGCGTCTTTCTCCGACTTTAAATTCATACACTCACCCGAAGGCTCCAGGAGCCACGGCACATGATTTTCATGAGGCCTTTACGTTTGCACATCATCGTCTCATTTCCTAACGTATGTCGGATTTTCGATGTGGCCCTCAATTTTTTATCGCTGCTGTTCGAGAAAGCTCCTGACATACTCTTTTGTCTCGTCTCGGGCAGGCAACGGTTGACGATTTGAGACGTTTCCTGCATCGCCCCTTCCGGTGTATTCTTACTTCCTCTTTCCTACTGCGAGGCAGCACGTTTTCACCCATATTCTCCACCGGCGAATCGACTCCATTTCTGAGGATAATTTCTACTTTACGGATCTAACCTTCTCGACTTCAACGTCGCGGATTTGTTCTTAGACGCCGCAATCTTTATGGATTTAGCACTCGCACTCGTGAGGACAACCCTTCCATTCGTTCATTTGTCTCCTGTACGGATCTATCTATCTGTTCCAACTTCAAGGCAATGGATTCATTTTAAACACCCCCATATTTCTGAAGTGATTCGTTTTATCGTCCTGCAGGGCTACAAGAAGCGCAAAGGATCTTAACAATTGGCTGTGTCTCAATAACTCTCGACTGGTGACTACAACATACCTTCCCACACGGGATGACGGATTAGAAGATGCATACTTAGGCTTCTTTTGTTCAACTCTACCTGGCGGTCCCGATCCAAGCAAAAGGGGCAAGGCACAGTGAGCCGTTACATTAGGCATCCGCCACTCCCTTATTGTTTTCAATCGCGCGGCGTGCGCTTCGGGGCAGCGACAATTGCGGAAACGCCGGGTCATCTTCTCGCCTATCAAATCCAAACAATAGGAAGTCAGCATAGTTCACGCGCTCAGCAAAGCTTTCCTCTCATTTTCAAGTATAAAATCAGCAAGTCTTCACAACATTTCCCCAGGCTCATTGCAACCACCGTTCTTTCCTTGCAACCCAACCTTTACATCTCTTTCACCCTCCCGAGATAACATGGACGCCTTCACACTCTTCTTCAACGTTGACACTGTCTTCACCAACGAGCAGACACAGGGCGACTCGATCCCCACCAGCGAAGAGTCGGGTGGCAGTGGAAACAACGCCTACTGCGTCATCGCATGAGACGAATGACGCGACTTTACCGCATAGGACTCTTGCACATCTGTACATGTGAGTTACAACAAATTTCAACTGACTTCAAGCGAACATAAACTTATTCTCCTCCACTATCACAGATCATACCCATCATGAATACACAAGCACCATGACCACATCATTATTTGTTTATTGCATCGCATTTTCACGACCACGAGGGAGGAGTTTTAGCCGCGCGGCGGCCAGTTAATCTAGCCTTTCGACTTTGAAAAACACTAGTTTTTGTATTAGGCTAGGGAGAGCAGAGGGATAATTGATAACTTAAATTTTCTCCTATTTGTTTCCGGTGCTCAGCTGCCTGAAAATCTAAGCCCAGCACATTCATCGGTAACTTTTGCTGTGATAAGATTTGGAACATATCCTAAATGAAAGGTCTTGTTACGTACACTTTTCTACTAAATAAATAAAATGCTGTGACGATTCGTAGTGCGGAAGGCTTTCGGGACCAATAGTAGGAGCAATGGCACCCTGCATTTGCGAGTAGATTAGCTGATAGTTGCTGATCTAGCGTGACTTTAAGTTTGGAATCGAGAGCGTCTTTGCACAATCCAAAGTTATGTCAAAATAACAACCAAATTCTCTTTATAACCACTGTAAGTAGCACGTCGCGATCACGATAATCACGGTCACGTGAGATGCTGTTAACTTTAGATTGACAAGCAACGCCACACAACCCGTTCTCTACAAAATGCCCCCACCCGCCCAGACCGCTTCCTCTTCCTTACCATAACCACCCCACATAAACCTCATCCCCTATTTCTAATCTCGCCGTCCTACATCTCTCCATGTTTACTTAAATATCGCTTTGATCATTGTTGACCTGCGCCAATGTTGTTTCTCCCTCTCCTCGACACCCAACGGCGACGCTCCAGCAAGATGATTGTGATAAAAAACCTTTTGGTGAGCAGCCGGATCCTTGGTTATTGAATTCATTTTGTTCTCCGTTCCGTCACCAGCATCGCGCAATGCCACCGGACTAGGCGTCCCTTGCTTGACATCTTCATCTCGCCGTGTACTATCCTCCCCAAGCAATGTGGCTTCTCCTCGGCGTGTGCTTTTTGGCCCGCCGTGTACCTTTTATCTCACCCTATCTGCTTTTAGGAACCCCCACTCCGGCATCGACATCGCCTTGAACCGTATTGAAACTCTCATCATCAAGACTGGAACCTTTGGCTACTCGGACTTCGGAATCGCCACTCACTGTACCGCAAATCGCCTTGGGCCTCTTCGCTATCTCTTCTTGGACTCGATCTCGCCTTGGACCTCATTTCTCAATCTCGTTGCTCCTTCATTCCGCTCAAGTAACCACTTCAAGCCCCCCGCTATGCGCTCACTGTCAATATCAAATTAATGTTTCTTCAAAGTCTTGGTTTAAAAAAAACGGTTCAGTCCCCGAATCCAGCCGGGTTCGCAAGGCAAGTCCGGTAGGGATGCCGGCCAGGGTGAAAGTCCTGAGGTATTTGTTCGTCAACAAATCTCGTCGAGCTTCGGCTTGATAAGAGAGTTTGGGGCCGTCCGGGGCTCCTCTCTATTAAAAAAAAAACAGATGAGTTGGATTTCGTGATCTATGGGGTATTTACTTTTTGTACAGGGCGATTCAGGTTGGGAGGAGTAGATAGGTAAGTCGTTCATTTTTTTTAGATCTTTCTTTCGGTTGGCTAACGCCATTGTTCCAGAATTAATAATTTGGCCTGGGGGGTGATGAGTATACGTTGTACGTTCTCTCCCGACTTTTTCTCGAATCCTTTTTTCTGATATTATCTATTATTCAGAACAGCAAAAGGTAATCACTAAATCGACGATTCAAACGCGCGACGACTACCAAAACCCATTTTGTATCCGACAATCTCGCGAGCAACACAACACAACAGCGCGATTTATACACAAACGCAAGATTTTCTTTTTCGACGAGGGAGGTTGAAGATTACGACAAAAGTTTGCCAACAGAGGGCGTTGGGCATCGAGGTGAGTTCTTTTTTCCCGGGGGCGGTGGGCGCGGAAATTTTCCGTCGCTTTCCTCGTGCTCCCTTGTCGTGGGCCCCGGGCTTAGACTCGCGCTTTTTTAAAGCGCGAGTCGACCAAAAGCACGTTAAATCCTTTTTTGCTTTATTCATGAACTGATCTAGCTGTCGGTCGTGATGCGTGACGCTCTAGAGTTTGGATGGCGCGCCGCGCTGGAGCATGATCTCCCCCAATTCAGGGATAGCATCTTCGAAGTTACACGTAGTTAATATACTAGCTGAATGGTAATCTAGCAAGTTGGTCTCAAAGTATTTGCTTGGGAAACGGGTTATGATACTCGCAATTTATGATCAGTTCGGATGTTGCATCCCGTCGCGTGGATAATCAAAGGTCGAAAGTACTAGTAAGTACTTCTTGACAAACATAACCTCTGCTGTTTTGCTTGGCTGGCTGTCAATGTGCGAGATCGCGGTCACGTGTTACAAACATGCTGTTCCGGTTTATTTTTGGATCTTGCAGGGCTGACAAGCACCACCACACAACCAGCCGTCCTCTACAAAATGCCCCTCACCTCCCCCCAATCGCTCTTTTCTCCGTACCACAACCTCCCCACACAGATTTTTTCTGCCGCCTTTAGTCGGGCCCTTCACAAATCTACCCTGTCAACTTGATACCTATATCTCTTTCGCCCACTGATGCCATTGTTATGCCGATGTTGGTTCTTGTCCTCTTCAACGACAAACGACGACCCCACAGCTGGCTCAAGGCTATAGGGGGCTCTCTACTGGCGGCTGACTCTGGCTCTACCGGTCTACACATCTCCTCCATGGTCTTACTAGTCTCGTGCAAAGCCGCAGTGGCCTCACCAACGCCTCACCTTCGATTTTCCAACTCGCCGTGCTCTAGGTGTTTCTTCAGCTCGCTGTGTATTACGCTGGACCTCTCATCCCGTCAAGAGAGCCTTTCCTTCGCCGCACCTGTCATCGCCCTGGACTGTCTTGCTCTGTCTCCATGGACTTTTCATCTCGTCAAGAAGATTTCATCTCGCCATTGTCATTTTTCTTTGAGCTCTGCCAAGTACTCTTCATCGCCGCCTCTTACAACTTTCCCGCCTTGACTTGCTATGTACTCACTGTCGACACCTAGGCCGTCTTGTCAACTTCGCCGCCTCATTACCCGCCCATCAACAACGCCTATTCTTCGCTTCGACTTCAGCGATCTGTCTACTCACTGTCGACGTCTCTTACGGCGGGCAGACATTTTTGCAGTCCCCGAAACCGTCACGCCACACAACCCGTTCTCTACAAATTGCCCCCAACTCGGCCAGATCGCTTCCTTTTCCTTACCACGACCCAGGGCCCACATAAACCTCATTCTCTATCTTCAATCTCGCGTGATCAAAGCGATTTTGAATCAACATGAATGGACGGATCTCCTTCTCCTCAACACCGAACGATGACGCTCCAGCAAGATGATTGTGAAAGAAAAAAAAAACCCTGGCGAGCAGCTGGCTTCTTGGTTATTGGATGCACTTTATTCTCTGTTTCGTCACTGGCATGATGCATCGCGCAACGCCACCGGACTAGGCAGACCTCGGCCCTTTCATCTAGCCGAGTCGCCATGTATCCACCCCACGCCGTGTGCCTTCTCCTCGGCGTGCGCTTTTTGGCCCGCTGTGTACCTCTTATCTATCCTATCTGTTTTAAAATATCCACTTCGACATCGACGTCGCCTTGAACCGTATTGAAACTCCCATCATCACCCGGGAACCTTTGGCTACGACTTTGGAATCGCCGCTCACTGTATCGCAAATCACCTTGGACCTTTTCGCTATCTCGCCGTAGACTTTACCTCGCCGACGACCTCGCTTCAAGCCCCCCGTATATCCGCTCACTGTCAATATCAAATTAATCTTTCTTCAACGCCTTGGTGAGAAAAAAATCGGTTCAGTCCCCGAATCCAACAAGGAGTTTTGGGCCGTCCGGGGCTCCTCTAAAAAAAAAAACCAAGAAAAAAGAACACAGGTTGGATTTCGTAATATATGGGGTACTTACTTTTTGTACAGGGCGATGCAGCTTGGGGTGGAGTAGATAGGTAAGTCGTTCATTTTCTAAAAAACCTTCTTTTGGTTCGCTAACGCTATCGTTCCAGGATAATAAATTGGTTCGGGCCTGGGTGTGATGAGTATACGTTGTAACGTTCTCTCCCGACTTCTTCTTGAATCCTTTTTTCTGATATTATATCTTATATCAGAACCACAAAAGGTAATTGCTAAATAGACGACTAAGCGCGGACAATTTCGCCAGCAACACAGCAAAATAGCACAATTCATATACAAAGGCAAGATTTCCTCAACGACGAGGGAGGTTGAAGATTACGACAAATTTTCTCAACAGAGGAAGTTGAGCATCAAGGTAAGTCCTTCTTTCCCGGGGGCGGTGGGCGCGGCTATACGCCGTCGCTCTCCTCGTCGTGGGCCTCGGGCTTAGACTCGTGCTTGACACGCGCGAGTCGACCAAAAGCACGTTAAATTGTTCACTATCTAACATGATACAATTGCACTGCTTACTTTGGACTTTAGATTCACTGATATCTAGGCACCACTGGGCATAGGATTGTCCCCTCTGAGAGCCCATCATGTAAAACTTGCATCATTTTGTATATTAGGCAGTGATTTGCAATAGTAACAAAGTATTTGCTTGAAAGACGCGTCTCAATTATCAGCCAGCGTATTTAGCGCGTCGATGTATGCGGTTGAAAGATTCAAAATTAGACCAGGTCTTCTTTGCCCCGTTTATCACGGCCGAGCTTGTATATAGCCGGGTTGAAAAGGTGTCCCGGGATAACTAGCAAACCTCACCCAGGCTCCGTGTTGAGAATTATATTGAACGCTCCATTACAGCGACGCCGTAACCTCCACCTGCGATATCGCCTCAGGCGGGATACTCGGGTTCGCCTTCGACGGCGTAGCAGTCGCACTCGTTTTCACCCTCAACGCCTTACGAAACTCATCCAACCCAGGCAACAACTCCCCCTTCGTCTTCCCACTACTCACGAGCACACTCTTCTCACCCGCCTCCCCAGGAACGACCTCCCTCCCCGCCGCCTCCGCCTCGACCTTGTACGTCTGCCACGCATCCCCGCCCGCCGCCTCCATCACCTCCTTCACGATGGCCGTTGACCATTTTTCGTGCATGTTTATGGTTTGTCGTCTTCCGTTATCTGTCGGTTCGTTTTTCAAGCAGAAGTAACCGTAAGACGTTTTGAAGAGAAGGAGACGGGAGGAGGGAACGCACCAAATACAAGTTCCAACTCGGGTTTCCACACCTCATTCTGTGTCTTCTTAACCCTCTCGACTTGAATATCGAGTGATGGATTCGCGTAACGTATTCGTGGGAGATGTTCTTTTACAAAGTGTCTGGTGGCGCAGTTCAATACGTGTTACATAGGCTTGAGTTGCAAGTACTCACCGTGCGCCAAAGTGGTCATTCCGAAAAGCCATGGTAAGGCGAAGGCTTTTCAAATTGGACAGGGTGAGTTTGGGAGAGGCATTTAGATGAGCTAGGATGGTGGAGAGGCGCGAGGGCCCAGCAGCAGCTGCAGCTCTAGCTTGCGACATTATGTATACGAGAGCGAACACTTGGCTGGATTTTTTGGACACTTGTTTGTCGTTGTTATTTGCATACACTCGCCCATAAAATTATATCAGGCATACTAAATAACACGCTGTATCTAGCCAGCGAAAAGACCAGCGAAATAAACGATAAACCCAATCCCCACTACTAGCCCAGCCAGGTCGTCAAGGAAGAGCGACCCCATCTGCATGTACTTCATCGCGTTCATGATAACCGAAGGGAACGGTGGTGGCAGGTGCGGTAGCGCGAGTGCTAGTAGCGCTGGCGGTTGGACGGCGTCCTGCAAAATGGTTAGATCTGGTGGTAGCGTAAGCAGCAAAACTCTCACAAAGCCCGAGAATATCCGCAAGGAATGCAATATAATTTGTAAAGTCGTGAATGCCCAAAAGAATGGCTAAAAAGCATGAACACTCGTCCACAACGCAACAAAACGCAGACAGACGTACCACCAACTGCACCCTAAACACCCTCGCAACCGCACCGCTCCGTCCAAGCTCAGCCCACCTTTTCCACACACCCACAACCTCCCCACCCGCGCCCGCGCCAACCTGCTCATACGTCTTTGGCTCCATCCATAACACAAAGTACACCAACAAACACCACATCGCCAGCATATGCAGCAACGGCATCGCCTTTTGCAACTTCGTCGTCTCCCTTGCCTGCGCAGGTCCCTTCCCACCTTTCACACCCCCAAACGGGGGGAACATACCACCACCCGCAGGACCAGCACCGCCATCATTATTACTAGCCGCCTGCTGGAACAACATTGCCAACGGATTATCCATAGGCGGAAGGGAGGGATCAACAGGCGAGAACGGATCAAGCGGGGACTGTGGTAAAGGCGACGCAGGCGCGGCACCCATCAGAGCCTGCATGAACTGCTGCTGCTGTTCTGGGGACCAGACCGACGGGTCCGGGATAGGACTCGAACCAGCACCCAGCCCAGCAGCGTCGAATGGGTTGATCGTTCGTGGAGGTGTGGAGATTGACCTTGGCTTCGGCTTGGGCTGGGGAGACGGCGACGGAGATGGAGTGAATCGGTTCGGGGTGGGCATGTTACTGCTGCTCGATTCTTCGCCTAGAAAATTCCGTGAGATGTTGGGTAAAGGAGGATCTAGCTTCTATGTCGGAAAGGTGAGAAGGAGAGATATTTCTGTAGACAGACCATCGTGCAGGTACGCTGGTGCGTCTTCGCCACGGGCAGAGGTTGTAAGTTTTGCTAGTCTGTCTGTCCCCCTGCTGAGAATGGCTTTACGCCGTGCTTCTGCGCGTGCTGCTGCAGACATGGTTGTTGGAAAAAGACTTTTTGAAAGTGAGGCCGGTGAAGGCGTGTTGGACGTGGCAGAGGTCAGTGGTCACAGTGTCGTCACTACTGTTTGTCATCATTCCCCGAAAATAATATCCAAAAAAGTAGGTTATGTCATGGTAATAGGCGCTACCAGGGTTCGAACCTGGGTTAGCGGAAAGTGATGACTTCAGAATCCGCTGTGATAGCCACTACACTATAGCGCCATGCCTTCAACTCATCATCATCAAATCATGACTGTCATTCTCGTAACGCAAAAATTACAACAAAAGGTTTGAATGTGTGTAAAGATAATAAGCTCCTCCTATGAGAGAGCCCGTGAATATTCTCGTGCTGTTGGATATTAGTTCGAGGTTAACCAAGAAGACAGGCAAGAAACTCACAACGAATGATCAAATTGTCCATAAATTCGGCGTGCGTCCCTCATGCAACGACGCAATAGGCATTATTCCCCGTGCCCCTATCCTCCTCGTTGGTCGGCACAGAAGCGACGTCACCACCGACAGTCGTCACGGTGGGAGTCGAGAGGTAATCGACGAGCTCAGCGAAGGCGTCCATGATGATCGATCAAAAATTCTCAGGAGGATGTGCGAGACGTAGAGCTAGCTGATGATTGAGCAGCGAACTCAAGCTGGGGTACAACCTCGACGCGTCGTCGATTTATATACCACCTCCAAGTCCCAACAAAAAGTTTCACGTGAACCGTGATTTATTACCGCTATTGTCCTCATAAATTAGCCAGAGTCATTGCGCGCCATTGTGACTGTAGATCTATCGTGAGTCGTGAGTGTGGAGGGAGGATACGGTGATGAGAACATGCGAAAATCTGACTTTTGATAGATGCCAATATAGAGACGGACGTGAAACCCGTACTCAAAAGACACCGGCCATTAGTGAAGACAATAAGCTTGGGTGATGACGACGTCGGGTGCTCAATCAAATGGGAAGGTGAATCATTGATGGCGGGCCTATTTCAAATCAGCACGTATATATTAGCGCATTGTCCTTGAGATGAGATTTATGACTGTGTCGTGTCGTGCAAGGTCGCGTTGGTTACGCTGGGTTCATAGCATGCATCAAGATTGAGAAATAATTCCCAAGATATTTTTTCCGCATTGTACCGTGATGACTTGACTGGTATCGTTTCCTTGGGAACCTGATACATATGTCATTAATAATAATAAAAAGAAGTACGCGCTAGTACATGCCGCCTGTGAGCCGCGACAAAGATATATACTTGGATCATGAAATGTGAGGGTGCTATTGCCCGTAAGCTCGTGCCGACCAGAGGCATGGTGTCGGAAATAACGATCGTACACCCACTCCTTGAAACGGTGACTCGTCTTTACTTTCAAGCTATGCGGTCCTGCACATTGTTTTCTTCTTAGAAAAAAATTCCGACTCAATGCGCAGTCAATTCGTCCAGAGGGAGAGTCAATGATTTCCCCGAGCCACCACTTGACGTACAATTCACTACAGCACCTGACATCAAATGTTCAGTAAAATTTCGAAGAACCAAAAAAGTGAGTCACTTCGACTTCATGATAAATGTGAGCTATTCTCAATATTGTCATTTAGCGAGATTGTAGTCTGTGACGTGATTCAAGCCTTATGTAAGGAGGGGATGGTGTCTTGAGTCCAGAAAATGTTGAGAAAATGTCATGGACAGCTGCGATCTCTCCTGTCAACCCGAGGCTCGACGAGAATTTTATTTCAAGTTCCCATCTCCTGGCCGGCATCTCTACCGGGCTCGCCTTAAGAAACCAGATGAGTTCGGGGACTGGGCGACCTCAGGCTCTGGCAGCTGCCCTCTGCCCACCGTAATCGGTAAGAGACGTCGACAGTGGGTGAGATCCAGCATGAGAGATAGACCCCCAACTATTCCAATGGTGATTAAAGAACCAGCACCGCCCTCTGGGTCATCCAGAAATCCGCAGAGGGCGTTGTATTCTTCCCGGAAGAAAAGAAAAAGAAAAAGTGGTTGCTGAGTGGCAGGCGACTTGTTATTTGTGCTTATTACCTTCTAATGCTATTGGCCTTATCGGCTCGGCATGATCCAAAAATAGAAACCAACACGATAGTAATCTGTTAACTTTCTTGATTTTGCAACGTGAGTCGACGCAGTGCCATAACCTGTTTCCCAAGAAATTAATTTGAGATCAACCTGCTAGATGAACATTCAACTATATTAACTACGTGTAACTTCAAGAAATGGGGAAATTATGCTCCAGCGTGGTGCGCCATCCGAACTCCAGTTAGCCAGCGCCAATTCATGGATCAAGGATTTAACGTGCTTTTGGTCGACTCGCGCTCTTTCAAAGTGCGAGTCTAAGCCCGGGGCCCACGACAAGGGAACACGAGGAAAGCGACGGAAAATGTCCGCGCCCACCGCCCCCGGGAAAAAAGAACTTACCTTGATGCCCAACTTCCTCTATGGGCAAACATTTGTCGTAATCTTCAACCTCCCTCGTCGTTCTATGCGAAAAAGAAAATCTTGCGTTTGTATATGAATCGCGCTGTTTTGCTGTGTTGGTCGCGAGATTGTCGGATACAAAATGAGTTTGGCCGCCGTCGCGCGCTTGGATCGTCGATTTAGCGATTACCTTTTGCTGTTCTAAATAATAGATAATGTCAGAAAAAAGGATTGGAGAAGAAGTCGGGAGAGAACGCACAACGTATACTCATCACACCCCAGGCCAATTTATTAATTCTGGAACAATAGCGTTAGTCAACCGAAAGGAAGATCTTAAAAAATGAACGACTTACCTATCTACTCCTCCCAACCTGGATCGCCCTGTACAAAAATTAAATACCCCATATATCACGAAATCCAACTCATCTGTTTTTTTTATTATATAGAGAGGAGCCCCGGACGGCCCCGAACTCTCTTATCAAGCCGAAGCTCGACGAGATTTGTTAACGAACAAATACCTCAGGACTTTCACCCTGGCCGGCATCCCTACCGGACTTGCCTTGCGAACCCGGCTGGATTCGGGGACTGAACCGATTTTTTTTATAACCAAGGCTTTGAAGAAACATTAACTTGATATTGACAGTGAGCGCATAGCGGGGGGCTTGAAGTGATTACTTGAGCGGGTCGAAGAAGCGGCGAGATTGAGAAGCGAGGTCCAAGGCGAGATCAAGTCCACGAAAAGATAGCGAAGAGGTCCAAGGCGATTTGCGGTACAGTGGGTGGCGATTCCGAAGTCGGAGTAGCCAAAGGTTCCCGACTTGATGATCAGAGTTTCAATACGGTTCAAGGCGATGTCGATGCCGGAGTGGAGGTTTCTAAAGACGAATAGGGTGAGATAAAGGGTACACAGCGGGCCAAGAAGCACACGGCGAGAAGGAGGCCCATGGCGTGGGGAGGATACTACACGGCGAGATGAAGGGGCCAAGCAAGGGACGCCTAGTCCAGTGACATACGCTGAAACAGAGAATATGGTGCATTCAATAACCAAGGAGCCGGCTGCTCACCAGAGGTTTTTTTATCACAACATCTTGCTGGACCGTCGCCGTTCGGTGTCGAGAAGAGGGAGAAACAACATTGGCGCAGGTCAACAATGATAAAAGCGATATTTAGGTCAACATGAGTAGATGGAGGACGGCGAGATTAGAAATAGGGGGTGAGATTTATGTGAGGTGGTTGTAGTAAGGAAAAGGAAGCGGTCTGGGCGGGCTGGGGGCATTTTGTAGAGAACGGGTTGTGTGGCGTTGCTTGTCAATCTAAAGTTAACAGCATCTCACGTGACCGTGATTATCGTGATCGCGACTGATCGCGACTTTCGCGACGTGCTACTTACAGTGATTATAAAGATGATTTTGATCTTACTCACCTATTTTTTGACATTACTTTGGATTGTGCAAAGGCGCTCCCGATTCCAACCTTAAAGTCACGCTAGATCAGCAACTATCAGCAATTTACTCGCAAATGCAGGGTCTGACTGGTGCCATTGCTCCCTACTATTGGTCCCGAAAGCCTTCCGCACTACGAATCGTCACAGCATTTTATTTACTTTGTAGAAAAGTGTACGTAACAAAACCTTTCATTTCGGATATGATTTAAATCTTATCACAGCAAAAGTTACCGATGAATGTGCTGGGCTTAGATTTTCAGGCAGCGGAGCACCAGTAGCAACTCGATTTCGATAAGAACTTTCCAAGTCATCAATTATTCCTCTGATCTCCCTAGCCCAATACAAAAACTAGTGTTTTTCAAAGTCGAAAGGCTAGATTAACTGGCCGCCGTGCGGCTAAAATTCCTCCCTCGTGGTCGTGAAAATGCGATGCGATAAACAAATAATGATGTGGCCATGATGATTGTGTATTCGTGATGGGTATGATCTGTAATAGGGGAAGGAGAATAAGTTTATGTTCGCTCGAAAATTGTTGTAACTCACATGTACAGATGTGCAAGGATCCTATGCGGTGAAGTCGTGTCATTCGTCTCATGCGATGACGCAGTAGGCGTTGTTTCCGCTGCCACCTGATTCCTCGTTGGTGGGAATCGTGTCGCCCTGAGTCTGCTCGTTGGTGAAGACAGTGTCGATGTTGGCGAAGAGCGTGAAGGCGTCCATGTTATCTCGGGAGGATGAAAGAGATGTAAAGGTTGGGTTGCAAGGAAAGAACGGCGGTTGCAATGAGCCTGGGGATATGTTGTAAAGACTTGCTGAATTTATACTTCAAGATGACGGGCAAGCTTTGGTGAGCGCGTGAACTATGCTGACGTTCCTATTGTTTAGAGCTGATAGAGGAGACGATGACCCGGCGTTTCCGCAATTGTCGCTGCCCCTAAGCGCACGCCGCGCGATTGAAGACAATAAGGGAGTGGCGGATACCTAATGCAACGGCGTCCTGTGCCTTACCCCTTTTGCTTGCATCGGGACCGCCAGGTAGAGTTGAACAAAAGAAGCCTATGCGTCTTCTTAGCCGTCATCCCGTGTGGGAAGACATGTCCTAGTCACCCATCGAGTCAACAGCTAGTGCCATCCGAGTGAGTTTAGACACCCACGCCAGATGATAAGCCAAATGTTGATGACCTTTGCCCTTCCTGTAGCCCTGCAGGACGATAGAACGAAACACTCCAAAGATATAGCGGTGTTTAGAATAAATCCGTTGCCTTGAAGTTGGGACCGGTAGATAGATCCGTACACAAGATAAATGGATGAATGGGAGGGCTGTTACCCTCATCACTGCAAGTGCTGAATCCGTAAAGAGTGCGGCGTCTACATAGAACAGATCCGTGACTCGGATCTTCAAGTTGGGGAAGTTAGATCCGTAGAGTAGACGTTATCCTTAGAAATGGAGTGGTTTCGAATTCGCCGGTGGAGAATATGGGGTTAAAAACGTGCTGCTTCGCAGTAGGAAAGAGGAAGTAAGAGTGTATCGGACTGGGCAATGCAGGGGCGTCTCGAATCCTTTGCCCGCCAGAGACGAGACAAAAGATCTAATATGTCAGACTCAGTAAAGAGCGAAGTCGGAAGTTGGTCAGAAGAAAGTCACGAATTTGAGGTTGTATGACTAAATGTCGTTTTTTTTAAGCGTTTCTGACTACGCTCGTATTACAATAGTCATACATTAGTTGCACACTGCAAATCATATATTACGCCACAGTCATGTACTGGTCATATAATAGTCATATCTTAGTCATGTAATAGTCATATCTCAGTCATTGATTGCTTGGGCTCAATTTCGGTCAGGAAATAGACTGAATAAAATTGTATTTGACTACTTTAAAGAATACATGTAGTGGGCCTATAGCCTACGAAGTATAGTATGAGGGGACTACTGTTCATCAAGGGAAGAAAGGGACCGTTCGTCGAGGGAGGGGGGGGGCCGTTCGTCGAGGGAAGTACGAGAACCATTCATTGAGGGAGGGATGAGGCCGTTCGTCGAGGGAGGGAGGAGGCTGTTCGTCAAGAGAGGGATGAGGCTGTTAGTCAGGAAGGGGGAAAGCTGTTCGTTGAGGGAGGGGAGCCCATCGGCCAAGGGAAGGACGAGACCGTTCGTTGAGGGAGGCAGGAGGCCGTTCGTCAAGGGAGGGAGGAAGCCGTTCGCCAAGGGAGGGAGGAGGCCGTCCGTTGAGAGAGGGAGCAGGCTGTCCATCGAGAGCGGAAGGAGGCCATTCGCCGAGAGGGGAAACCGTCCGTTGAGAGAGGAGGCCATTCGCCGAGAGGCCGTCCGTCGAGAGAGGGAGAGGCCATTCGCCAAGGGGAGGCCATCCATCGAGAGAGGCAGGAGGCTATTGGTCGAGAGAGGGGGGAGGCGTTCGGTGAGGAGACCATTCGTCGAGGGAAAGAGAAGGCTGTTCATTGAGGGAGGAGGCCGTTTGTTGACTTGACAATGTGCTGGAAGGGAAGAACAATGAATTTCCGTGTTGGGAAATTCAAAATTCAACATGACGTCGGAGTTTCAACGGACTTGAACAAACTGCAGCTCATGACTTGAACTTTTTTGAAGTTGTTCACACTTGGTTCACACGCGTAACTGTAAGTAGGTAGCACATGCATACCAGAAATTTTTTAAAAAAAGATGAACCATTTCGAAAATTCTTGGCACAGACATGTATATAAAATGTACGACAATGTTGATACTAACCTATGACTAAACTCACCTCCGATTTGATGTCAAGGGAAGGCTGGCGTGAAAATTACAGACGTGTGACACACGTCTGACTTCGTATGATTTTTCTTGACTTCGCTTTTTACTGAGTGTCAGACTCGGGAGCTTTCTCGAACAGCAGTGATAAAAAATCGAGGGCCACGTCGAAAGATTCGACATACGTTAGGAACTGGGACAACGAAGTGCGAAGGTAAACGCCTCATACAAACATCTACCGTGCCTCCTGAAGCCTTCAGGTGGGTGTATGAATTTTAGAGCAACACGTCTTCAAGACAGTTCCTCCACCATTGCTGACAAATTGTTTGTCAACCAATCTGCAGCCAAACAGGGCTCGTCTGCCAAGGTTGTGTCGGTTAGTCTTTCTTTGATAGTTCTCACCACCTACGCAATTATTCTTCAATAAGCTTCTCAAGGGATTCTGAATTATGGACGAGGAGCCGATAGAATTTCTTGTTGCCCGGCGCTCAAGACGAAGCACGGCAGGGAATCGGTATGTCAGCGCAAGACATGCTTCTGGGGCGTATCTCAAGATTTTGAACCAGGATGGAGGCAGCCCTTGCCGAAATGGCTTTGGATGACGCGGACAAGGATCTCGAGGATGATAAAGAATTTGTTGACGACAAGGGTACGCGGTATGGATCGTTATTACTGCCCCGTTGTCTGATATCTTATGGCGGTGGCTTAGAGGAGCAAGATGTCTTCGGGTCTGATTTTGAGAGCACTGATGAGGAGGCTGAGCAACAGGGTGTGGATGCTGGAGAAACCATGATTCAAGAGGAAGAACAACGGGCCAGGAGGGTACGGACTTTTTTGAACCCCCGCTATCACTCAGCAAACCGCTGACGTGCTACTTAGACTGCACGGTCCAGGGTAGAGAAGGCAACTGCTATTGCTCATGAGAGGCAGAAAGCTACATTCAATCCACAAGCAGAAGCTTCCGCATCTGTGATCAAGCATAAAGCCAAGGTCCGATCCCAACGACAAGTCTCACTTCGGGACGCAACTGATACGGCGGATGGGGAGACTGTTGAGCACGACTCCAAAAATGTTCCCACGGGGAAGAAACGAAAGAGCAAACGGAAGCACACGATCCTTAGCACATCTGCCGCAGTCGCACGACAGAAAGAGTCTGAGCAAAGGAAGGTTAGTATACCCAAAAACATTCTATGGAGCGGGATGCTGAGTATTCAGTTAGGCTGCCGCGCCGAAGAAGATCAAAAATATAACAAGGACACTCACGCAGGCCGAACTCATTGCTCGTGCACTCGATAACGAAGAGGGGAACATCGTCGAGCACCGAGATTACCTCAAAGTAGAGGAAGAAAAACGGAAAAGGGCTCGTGTTGTCCGCGCGACTGTGCACGGGCCCCTGCTGCGCTGGGTAAGCAAAGTCGAAGAAATTGAGGTTGTCGAGGAAGCACCTGCGCCTGTCCCAACATTTGCGGGTACAGCTTCGTCAATTTACGGCACTGGACTTGCTCCTTACCAAGGGCTTCCTTGGATTGCATCAACTTCTACAACCAACGCAATGGCATCAGCTGCACCTCCACAGTTTCCGGGTTCTCCTTTTCCAGCATGGCCGCCGTTCCCATCTTTTCCTCAATCAACACCACTTCTCGCACCTCCGACTCTGCCCACTCAACCTGCAACGCTACCAGAACCCAGAAAAAGAACAGAAAAAGTGGCCAAGAATTATCTCATTCACGAACTCGCACAATATACCGACGCTCCTAAAGCAACGTGGAACGACACCATGAAAGCAATGTTCGGCGACCACGTCAAGTGGGACGAACTCAAAGTCTACACAACCAAGGGCCGGCCATTATGTATGCTCTTCTTCCTCGTTGGTTGTTCCGTGATGCTCAAGCACGTTTCTCGATCTAGCTCGTCCCATACAGTCATGTCCCATTACGGGGAAGCCTGCGATATACTTTGACCCAAGGACAGGCGTGCCGTTTGCCGATGTTGCAGCTTTTGATGTGCTCACGCGCTTGTTGGCCCACGAATATGTTTGGAGCCCTGAGTTAGGTTGTTACACTGGGAAGGAGGAACCACCCCCCGAGCAAGAAGAGGTAGGGGATGCGGACAGGGTTCGGAAGACCCGCAGTACAGTGATGATTGCTGAGGGCGAGGACTGATTGGATACCGGCCGATACAAATTTGTCCGCGAAGGGTCTGCCATCGTGTCCGTCTTGACGCCCGAGAAATATGCAGCAATAATCATGACAGGGATGGTGGAGGGTGGTAATGACACAGTTGCACAAAAAATATGACTAGTTTATTCTCATGGCTAAATATCATGATTGCATTTTATAGACAAACAAGGGTAGCCTTAGAGAAACGAAAAATACCCCAAACAAAGTTGAAACATACAGTACAGAATATTCAAGTTGTACCCATATTATTTGCCCATATGGATAAAGGGAACCCAACGACGGAATGAAACACCCTGCGAACGGAGTTTCTTGACCGCAAGGTGAAGGGCTAGGGCAGACTTCGTCATATCAGGTTTAAGAGCCGGTCTTCCATCAGGACCACCAAAGAAAAGTTCTTCATAGAATGTGTCCACAATCATAGGTCCATCTTCGTCCATCATTTTCCTAACCCAATTAATGCTCTCAGAATTTATTTCCAAGGGAACAATGCAAATAACAACCCACCACATAGTAGCGACGGCCCTCCGAAATCCAGAAAACATCAAGCTTGCACCTATGCTCATTGCCTCATCCGGTAGATTTTGATCGCCCATAGCTGTCTCACAAGCACAGAGAAAGGCAAGTGATCCATCTGGCATCTTTTCCTTCATAATTCTTGAGATTCGGAGTAACCCATCATCAAGCTTGAGCCCACTGTCAAGTGGATTCCATGGATCTTGGTTCCCATGGCATGCAAAGTGAACGATAGACATATCTGAAAGACGGGAGGCAACAGCTTCAACTCCAGCAGGTACTCCAGGAACTCCTAATTCGATGAGAGCTTCACAAGATACATGTCGCCGAATGTTTTCTAGCTCCCTTCTTGTAGAAGGCAGCCCTTTAGATTGGATCACAGCCATCATTTGGAATGCTTGGCTAGTGGGAGCTGAATCCGAAGCCAGAAGCACCCCTATGGATGGAGTGTATGAGGAAATGAAGTAATCTGGGGCACAATCAATAGCTAGCTCATCATCATAGCAGCCTGCAGCATGGATGGGAAGGGAGGTGAAATAACCAGTTGGGCACCATTGCAGGACAGTCATTTTGTCTGATTTCTATAATATTTTGTGAGTAGGTCAATCAGTTGCAGAAATATATTGACTGACCTTAATATTAAGAAAATTAATGACTGGCTTCACCAATTCATCCCACAGCATCCTCAAAACAGATATGAACATGTTATCTGAAGATCTAAGTTGAGCATTGCCGCTAACCCTTCCTGCTCGCTCTTCTCCCAGAAGCTTTATATTCATGTCCTGGGTTTGATCAATGAGTGACCGTGGTATCGGTGAGTGAGAGCCAGCTATCTGAATCATATGAGCAAGTGCCTTCAACATGGGAGTGTCTAAGTTTGGAAGAGGGATGTGATGAATGATTGTTGATGTCATGATGAGGCAATGACTTTCATCATCATTTGCAATAAGAATGACAAGTGGATGTTCTGATGCAGCCATTTTGAGTGAGGATAAACGGGATGGGCATAAAAAATCCTCAAATCCACTCAATTTCCTAACTTCGTGAATAGATTGAGCCCATTCTTCATTAAGGCGATTAAGTTGGGCTGCTTCCTGGTCTATGGATAACTTCTTCTTGTTGTCCAAAATGTCAGAAAAAACATTACGATGAGATCCAATCTCCAGCTTAGTCGCAATATTTTGTAGCTTATCTGCCAATTCTGGTGCAATCTTGTGGATTTGATCAAAAGGCAAGCGGAGAGATAGGGCTTGTGACCAGAAGATACTTCGCCCTGCTTCTAGAAGTTCTATGGCTTTGTCCAGATGTCCAGAGCGAATAGCACATCTAGCTGCATCCCGAGCTAAGCCATCACTGCCTGCAGTCATGACATCCCGTCGTGATGCTACATCCAAGCTCAGAGCAGCCACCTGTGGTAAAGCCTGTATGGAAGCTTCATAGGCATCAATTGCAGAGCTATGTTGATTTCTATCTGCACAACGTGTCCATCTCCTTGCAATGCGGAGGCGATTAAATGGAGATTGGAAGGGGTATTGGGTAGCTGTGAGGAATAGAGACATTGCTTCATCAAGATCACTTTGCTGACCTCCTTGCCCACATCGGATCGACAGTGCAGAAGCAAGGTTGTACAGTGAGCTGGATCGGTCAGGATGAGGTGGAAGCCGGAGTTCAAGAGCTTGCCTGTACAGAGAAATGGCTTCATTTACATCACTTTGCTGACCTCCTTGCTGAAATCGGGTCAACAGTGCAGAAGCAAGATTGTTTATAGAGCCAGGTTGATTGGGATGGGGTGGAAGGAACAGCTCAAGAGCTTGCCTGTGCAGAGAAATAGCTTCATCAAGATCACTTTGCTGACCTCTTTGCCGAAATCGGGTCGACAGTGAAGAAGCAAGATTGTGGAGCAAGATGGAGTGATTGGAATGAGGTGGAAGAAAGAGCTCAAGAGCTTGCCTGTGCAGAGAAATGGCTTCATCAATATCACTTTGCTGACCTTCTTGCTCAAATCTGGTGGATAGTGCAGAAGCAAGATTGCTGAGTGAGCTGGATTGATTGGGATGGGGTGGAAGAAAGAGCTCAAGAGCTTGCCTGTGCAGAGAAATGGCTTCATCAAGATCACTCCGCTGACCTTCCTTGCTGAAATCGGGTTGATAGTGCAGAAGCAAGATTGTTGAGTGAGTTGGATCGATCAGGATGGGGTGGAAGTCGGAGCTCAAGAGCTTGCCTATGCAGAGAAATGGTTTCATCAAGATCACTTTGCTGACCTCCTTGCTCAAATCGGATCCACAGTGCATTTGCAAGATTGTTGAGCATGATGGATCGATTGGAATGGGGTGGAAGTTGGAGCTCAAGAGCTTGCCTATGCAGAGAAATGGCTTCATCAAGATCACTTTGCTGACCTCCTTGCTCAAATTGAATCAACAGTGCAGAAGCAAGATTGTTGAGAGAGCTGGATTGAAGGGGATGGGATAGAGGTTGGAGCTCAAAAGCTTGCCTGTACAGAGAAATGACTTCATCAAGATCACTTTGCTGACCTCCTTGCTGAAATTGGGTCAACAGTGCAGAAGCAAGATTGTGGAGTGAGCTGGATTGGTGAGGATGAGGTGGAAGAAAGAGCTCAAGAGCTTGCCTGTGCAGAGAAATGGCTTCATCAATATCACTTTGCTGACCTTCTTGCTCAAATCTGGTTGATAGTGCAGAAGCAAGATTGCTGAGTGAGCTGGATTGATTGGGATGGGGTGGAAGGAAGAGCTCAAGAGCTTGCCTGTGCAGAGAAATGGCTTCATCAAGATCACTTTGCTGACCTTCTTGCTCAAATCGGGTTGATAGTGCAGAAGCAAGATTGTTGAGTGAGTTGGATCGAAGAGGATGGGGTGGAAGTCGGAGCTCAAGAGCTTGCCTATGCAGAGAAATGGCTTCATCAAGATCACTTTGCTGACCTCCTGCTCAAATCGGGTTGACAGTGCAGAAGCAAGATTGTTGAGCGAGATGGATCGATTGGGATGGGGTGGAAGGAAGAGCTCAAGAGCTTGCCTGTGCAGAGAAATGGCTTCATCAAGATCACTTTGCTGACCTCCTTGCTCAAATCGGGTTGACAGTGCAGAAGCAAGATTGTGGAGTGAGCTGGATTGGAGAGGATGGGGTGGAAGTAAGAGCTCAAGAGCTTGCCTGTGGAGAGAAATGGCTTCATCAAGATCACTTTGCTGACCTCCTTGCTGAAATCGGGTTAACAGTGCAGAAGCAAGATTGTTGAGAGAGCTGGATTGATTGGGATGGGGTGGAAGGAAGAGCTCAAGAGCTTGCCTGTGCAGAGAAATGGCTTCATCAAGATCACTTTGCTGACCTCCTTGCTGAAATCGGGTTGACAGTGCAGAAGCAAGATTGTGGAGTGAGCTGGATCGAAGGGGATGGGGTGGAAGTCGGAGCTCAAGAGCTTGCCTGTGGAGAGAAATGGCTTCATCAAGATCACTTTGCTGACCTCCTTGCTGAAATCGGGTTGACAGTGCAGAAGCAAGATTGTTGAGTGAGCTGGATCGATTGGGATGGGGTGGAAGGAACAGCTCAAGAGCTTGCCTGTGCAGAGAAATAGCTTCATCAAGATCACTTTGCTGTAGTTCTTGCTCAAATCGGGTTGACAGTGCAGAAGCAAGATTGTTGAGTGAGCTAGATCGATTGGGATGGGGTGGAAGGAAGAGCTCAAGAGCTTGCCTGTGCAGAGAAATAGCTTCATCAAGATCACTTCGCTGACCTCCTTGCTCAAATCGGGTCCACAGTGCAGAAGCAAGATTATTGACAACAGCTGCATAATTCTCACTTCCCTGAGGTAGTTGTGCAATCACTTCCCTAAAAAGTGTCACTGCTGTATTCAGATCCACCATGTTACCCGACATGTTGAACTGTGTACAAAGTTCAATGGCAAGGTCAAGTGATTCCTGAATACCTGTGGAAGTTTCAGTGCCTTTGATAGTCCAATCCCATGCTGTTTGAAGATCAGAAAGATCCCCTATCAAATCAAATCGTGTTGCTAACAGCCCGCAGATCTGGAAGTTTATGTTTGATTCTTGCTGATCTCGCTCCGTGCAACATTTAGTAGCATCTTGCAAACTAGAAATTGCTTCGTTCAGGTCGGTCAGATCATAGGAATGGTTGAAGCGGGCATATAATGCATCAACCAGAGTTGTCAATGCAATGAACCGGCTAGTAGATGCAGCTGATAATTGTGCAAGTGCCTGTTGAACAAGGAAGACAATGTCGTTCAGAATGTGAAGGGAAGTTGACTTCTGGAAGTCCGTCAACAATCTCTTCGCCAGTTGTGATGTGTCTTCTGTGTCCGTCTTGTTCTCTCGTCGGATAGCGGTATTGGTCTTAATCTTCACTAAGCTAATATATGTTGTCAAGGATGAAATGTGCTCACTTCAGGGCTCGCCTCTTGGTCTAAATTCCAATCTTCAACAATCTCGTTGCGAAGAGTCAAAGATTCCATCAAATCATGTCTTTGATTGGTGTACATGAATCTGACTCCCAATACGGACGCAAGATCTCTCTTGGCAGCAGGGTGAAGCGGATGTGTTGCTGGGCAGCTATCTTCAACTTGACGGAACAGGAAGACCACAGTGTTGAGCTCCGAAAGCGATAACCCTGCCTTGCATTCTGCCATGAGCGAGACGGCAAGATTGATCATTCCAGACACATCGTCCTCGCCATCATTCATAAGCTCCTGCAGTATGTATCCGTCATTATAATCGGGAAGTGAGACAACGTCATTTACTTACATCGGTAGCGATAGTGTCCCTATCAATGTCTGTTGTGCCTCCAGCTGGGCCGATATCTGTGACCTTCTCTTCATTAGCCTATCGCAATTCATTGAATGTTGTAAAGGATGTACTAGTTGAGGGCTCTCCTGTGCACTGGCTTCGGTACGGTCACTTTCTCCACCTGGGATCTATATAAGTATTGTTAACAACCACGAAAGATATTTCCCTAATTCGTGATACTACGAACGCGAGCCTCTCCCACAATATGAGATCCTAGCTCTTGGATGGAAGGCATATCTGATTTGTGACAACTATCGGAGGGTAACTTTGACTCTGGCATGGTGACGAGATATTGTAGAGGTTGAAGCTTGTCGATCAAGAGAGAGGTTTAGTAGAGGTTGGCTGAGTTGAAGGTCGTATATGAAGGCTAGGTAAAGAGACTCAAACAGACGAGTCGCTTGGTGTACAGCTTTTGTGCTAAAACGGAAACTCATTACAGCACGATTGAAAATATTATCCTTCAACTCTGCACATGCGGTGTTACTGTTATCAAAATTGAGCACACCACAATAGATTTGATCAGACCTGGGCTTGCGCCGGTATTGAATCGCACACCTGAAGGAGATTAAATCATCAAAACGAGGTCGAGAACTATGGCACCCGCCTCCAAGTCGGAGTGTGAAACATCATGGAGGGTAGTGAATCCCCAACTGACAAGACAGAGAGTTCGGATTTGGAATCAAAGATAAAATGTTCCAAGAACATTTGACAATTGCTTGATATTTCGGACGAATCGATTTACTATCGAACTCTTCAGTAAAGTTCCAAGCGAAGGCCTGCGTAAACATACCGTCTCTTGTTAGAGAGCTTTCCGGCTGCAAGCGACCTCCCTCCAATTGACATCAGGAGTCCATGAATGTCCGACCCCGCTATTCCACAATGAGATAACCGACGCAACCTTGGAATTTTCGTTTGCGAAGCCAGGCGTAACGTTCATACTCGTTGAAAGCGTATTGCACCTCCCGATCTCTCTTATATAATTCGAAAACACATCTGTTGCCAACTCTAGCATCTGTATGTTCTTCGGTGTGAATGACCACTTTATAGACGGAATTTTGGGGTGAGTGGAGCTTCAAGGTTAACAATGAAACGTCAGCGATCTCGCCTATCTGGGTGGTCAGATCCGGCACGAAAACAACATGCTTCAGACCTAGATCCTTATCGATGTGCATATCAGAAATTGAGGGCTGGCGAGAACTGGCGCTTTTTTTAATGATGCCCTCCTTCACATCTGATGGGGGACTCTCTTCGAGGTGGAAGGTTGACGTGGCGAGGTCTGCGATGTGGAAGGACCAGGTTGCGGACTGGAAGGAGATTTTGAAGGCAAATTCTTCTGAGGCCTCCGCATGGAAGAAGGTTCTTGGAGAGATGGAATATAACCCGAAAATTTGGTTGTCCTAGGCGAAGACGTCCCAGATGGCTCATGACATTGCAAGGGACTAGGCAATTCGAGCGCCGACGAAGGAGTGCCGCACGCCAGAACCGGTCCCGTAGGGGGCAGAGAGGAACAGGAAATGTCTCCCTGCTTCATTGAGAATTAACCTATAGTAAGAGAGTTGGGAGGTAGAATAGAAAACGTCTGTTCACTCTTCACCTTTTAAGCGCTATCGGTTTTGAGACTATTGTGACTTGACGACGGGCATGCCAACTGGCAGTATGAAATTGCGGTACAAGAGATCAACGCCGTATTCACCTGGAAGCTAGAAGATAACCGATGGTTTCATGGAGCCAATATTCGTACCTGAAAGGAAGGAGACAAGGGGAATAAATCTGCGACGCAACTGGAGGCATCTCAGTATCTATGCATTATTGTTTGCAAGTTCACGACTTACTTTGCACCAATTGACCCGGAAGCGTAAGTATTGGGACGCACAGAACTCAACATACAAAGTATGTTGCTCTGACAGCAGTCGGAAAAAGAAAAGGGTTCCGCAACTGCGTGGGTCGATATGTATCACGTGTGTGCCATTATTGATCAGCATATTATTCAATGGGGCGAACTTGTGCGAATGCTCTGCATCGCATCGATATTAATGAATACCTGACTGGGGAGCGCCCTGCGTCAGATGGCGAATCGAACGAATAATGAAGCTGAACACGTACCGCTCAGATTCAGAAACCTTTCAGTATACTTACTTACATGTCTTTCCCGGGCCCGTCTCCCATGTTACAAGCGACATATACATAGATCCAAAGGGGAGGAAAAGCATCGAAGGCCCTCCAAGATAGGCCATATACAGGAAAAACAGCTATAATGGCATCTTTCTTGCGCGACAAGTTATTGTTCGCTTGGTACAACATCAGGCTGATCCATGATCCGAATACGTCAATTAATACCAGTCCACGAAAAAATTGTTAGTCCGAGCGCGCGCTCGACCATGCCAGCCAAGTACGCTTGTCCACTTAGGGCAAGTGGGGTGATAAGCCAAGGCCGAAGCCAGACTACAACACGGTTCCGCCACATACTTCAGGTAATGATCTACCACCGACATTGCGTCGTCCATGTTGGGGTAGCGGACGGGTTCGACAAGGAAATAGCGGCCAATCTCTGATAACGAAAATCCAAGTGTTGTAACGTCCTGTCTGAGTTCCGTTGCGACGTCGGACAAGTCAGCAATTAATGAAGGTAATGGCTTGACATGCCTGAGCGACAAGCTCTGATCGAGGTGCTTGTCATGGAATGAGAGTGCTGACTGAGGGGCAACTGGGAGTTCAATGTTGGATCTCTGTGACAAGGAGGCAGGATTGGCGTTGTACGCCAGATCTATCCACTCGACATAATTAGCAGCTTCGGGGGGTGCCATCTGGAGACTGATTCGCGGAACAGGGGAATTTGGTCGAAGTAGACAAACATCGAATTTGAAGGTCTCCGAAAGGAGGGGTTGAGTTCCTATGTGGAAAGGGAGAGGGCGTACTCAGTTACAAATTCTGCTGGTCCCACGCCGAGATAGAATGCGGCCGACGACACAGCATAGATTGGAGTCTGTTTTGGTCGCAAGTTGAGAAATCGACGCGTCCTGATACAGTGTTCAAAATATTCAAACTCAGAAAAGGTGCGCGTACGCTTAGTTCTTGATTCATAAAAATCTACGTATCTACTTCTTTGAGACGATAAATTTCTGCGCGAGGGCGTCGACCGAAACCCTGTTTTCCGCCTCCCAGCTTCGTCTCTCCTCTCGCTTCTTTTTCCCCCAGTTCTACCGCCTGGTCCACGTCCTCTTTGAGGTCCATCTCTTCAACGTTCTCCTCGGCATCACCGGAGGGCGCCCTAGCGAATCCCCAGCTGACAAGAGAGAGAATTTCGGATTTGGAATTAAAGATAAAATGTTCCAAGAACAACCCTCCATGGGTGATATTAGTCCGACGTGATAACTCTTTAACAGTTGCTTGATATTTCGGACCAATTGATTTCCTATCGAACTCTTGAGTGACGTTCTAGGCGAAGGCCTGCGTAAACATACCGTCTCTTGTTAGAGAGCTTTCCGGCTGCAAGCAACCTCCCTTCATTTGACATCAGGAGTCCATGAATGTCCGACCCCGCTATTACACAATGAAATAAGCCGAATATTTTGACGCAACCTTGGAATTTTTGTTTGCGAAGCCAGATGTATCGTTCATACTCGTTGAAAGCGTCTTGTACTTCCCGATCTCCCCCATACAATTTGAAGACATATCTGTTGCCAACTCCAGCGTCTGTATGTTCTTCGGTGTGAATGACCACGTTATAGACAGAATTTTGGGGTGAGTGGAGCTTCAAGGTTAACTTCTCGGATTCTTTTTCATGGCGCCCCTCCGGATCCATAGGAAAGGCATCACTTCTCTGGACACGTTCGAAATATTCCGCCTTTTCCTCTGGTAGCTGCACTCGTATACGCGGGGTTGACAGCAGAGTGTCACCCACAGTCTAGCATTCGGTTAATAAGAGAAAGCACTATATACGATGGGTGAACTTACCTTGACTAGATCAGCTCCCCTTTTTGCTCTAGCCTCCTCCATTTCCCACGTTCCCCTTTCTTCTCCATCTTCTTCCTCAAACTCACGGTCCTCATAATGCTCGTATTTGCGCCTATCGCATTCATACTTACGACAGTATCGAATGGGGAATCTACCCAGAGGGTTGTTCTTGATGTTTCTTAATTGCCGGGCTCGATTAAGTGCATCTTGAAATGCGGCGATATATAAACCAGTATGGAGCTTCCCGTATGCTGGAACTGATTTGCAGACCTTAATCACCTCAGAGATATAGAGGGTCTGTTTCTTTCGATGACGCTAACAGATCATCTCATACTGGCCCGCGTTGATGACCATGAAGGTCACATCACCCTGAACTGCTTCCGTCCACACCTTCGACCCAGAAAATCAGTATAACCAACTGCAACACTCTGAAATCGCACCTGCTGTATGACATGACAGGCTGTCCTTCGCCTATCTTTCTCTGTCTCGTGACCAGGTGGCGCAAAAACCTTGATCAAGGGTATGTCAGCATCGATCAACGGGGAACGTCAGGGAACGCCGTGCGGAAACCCCACCTGCTGCATAATCTCCTGGCCTTTCTTGAGATCACTGGTACCTCCTTGGTGCTTCAAATTGATCTCGGCATCCATACTGGGAGCACCAGCGGGACACAAACCAAATTTGTTTTCCGGGACAGCAGTGCCCAACCGTTCTTCGGGATGCATGTCAGGTGCATGGTCGACCGAAACTGTGTCATGATGGAACCGCTTTCTGGTTTCTGGCAGACGCATTATGGGTGGCTGGCAATCGGGCCCAGTCCTTCTTCCTGTTGGTATTGGTATTGGTTCATGGGGTTTATGCTTGCTTGGGGTGTCGCAAGATGATGTTGGGAGGCATGCCGTCCATGGAAAGGTTCCCTGAGAGGGCAAATTGCGGATAGCATTCATGAGATCAATATTTCCGACTGAAAGGCTCTTGAACTCCCAAATTAATAGAGTGTCCAAATGCCAATCGGTGAGAAGCTTTAGTTCGTCTTGCAAAGTTGTCGGCAACGACTGTAATGATTCTGAAGTGATTGGGATGTTTAAGGACAAGATCCCATCAGCTATAGCCTCCTTGTCGGCAGATTTTTTTGACCAGCGAAAGATGGGATTCCCATTGCCCTCACAGACAAGAGTTAATGCCATGGCCATGCAATGTCGGGCGATAGCATTTTCGTAGAAGCGTTGCACGTCATATTCGTTAACTAATAGCTCCTGCGTGAGTTTACCCATCATATTCTTCGCTGTTGGGTAGGATAACGGAAGAGGCTTCTCTTCGTCAGGAAGACGATCACCAAGCGTCTTCAATGAAACGTCAACGATCTCGCCAATCTGGGTGGTCAGATCCGGCACGAAAACAACTTGCTTCAGACGTAGATCTTTGTCGAGGAGCATATCAAAAAATGAGGGCGGGCGAGAACTTGGACTCTTTTTAATGGTGTCCTCTTTCACATCTGATGGGGGACTCCAGCTGAAGAAGGAAGGTGGGACTATGGGCTTTTGATGGTCTGTGAAACCCATTGGGAAATTCTAAGGTTTAGTATAACCGGTGACCTTAGGCGAAGAGGTCCCAGATAGCTCATGAGGCTGAGGGGGACTAGGCAATTCGGACGCCGACGAGGAAGTCGCCAATAGGGGTATTTGAGCTAAGACGGGAGTGCGATTTGAAGGAGTGCCGCATGACAGAGCCCGTCCCGTAGGGGGCAGAGAGGAACTGGAAATGTCTCCCTTCATTGAGAATGAACCTACTGTAAGAGAGTTAGAAGTCATGGTAGAAAGCGCCTGTTCATTCTCGACCTTTTAAGCACTATCGGTCTCGAGACTATTGTGACTTGACGACTGGCATGCCAACTGGCAGCATGAAATTGCGGTAGGAGAAGGAACAAGAGATCGACACCGTATTCGCCTGGAAGCTCGAAGATAACAATTGGTTTCATGGAGCCAATATTCGTACCTGAAAGGAAGAAACCGAGGACAATCAATTTGTGACACAACTGGAGGCATCTCAGTATCTACGCATTATTGTTTGCAAATTCACGACTTACTTTGCAACAATTGACCCCGCAGCGTAAGTATTGGGACCCACAGAACTCAACATACAGAGTATGTTGCTCTGACAGCGGTCGGAAACAGAAAAAGGGTTCCGCAACGGGATAGAAGAGACCCATATCGAACTTGTGTGTCCATATGTATCAATGTCAGATATCATTTTCCGTGGAAATGGCCCAGCAACAAGGTCGTCAAGATTCGGTCGGACCTCTGGAGGAGAGGACCAACAAAAGACTCCTCAAAAAGGTATTCAAGGCCCGTACGAAACTTGCGGGTGCACATGTCCCAAACACCGGTGTTATTGTTGGCTACGACGAAATTTGATTTTCACGCGGCCAATGGCTGCGGCAAAGCTCTAATTCTAGAGCCAAAGATTAACAGGAGGCAGTTTCACCACGCCGTCAAATCCTTCTCGATTGCGCTTTGGCTTAGAGCAATGTAGTACCGTTTTGGAGTTGTGAATAGAGACTCAGAGAGTTGGACGAATGTAACACGTGCTCTTCATTTGATTCTATTATTCTTTTCACACTTCCCACCCAGCCGTTTCCAGCACTTCACAGCCAAATCTCTTCCACCTTCATTTTCGGGCGATCAAGTTGTATGCACCTCTCTCGTCAAGCTCCTTCCTCAGGCGAGGAATTTTATCTTATTGCAGGTCGACATGTTCTCTTGGTCAACGAAGATCCTCCTGCACTTGTCCTGCACTCTCACGGAATCTCGAATTCGGAACACAATTATGATTCTTCATACTTGGTTGTTAATCATCTATATTCGGACGTATGCAACATAAGAGGTGGTTGGTTATCTGGATACTTCTCGGGCTAATGACAAGAACAAGAGCAAATTTGAAATTCCTTAACTTTACAGCTAACTGCATAATCGTAGACCACATCTGAAATTTCACTTTGCGCCTTTGGTTGTGCATAAACATCCGTTTTAGGCAAGTTTTAGGCCGTGGCTATGTAAACCATGATGCCCATATGCGCGCGGGCTGCCTATTGCTCCACGTTCTAGCACCGTTTCGGTAGTTGCTCCAAACGCTCCAATCCCGCCCCACACGTCATAAGGGTGGAGCGGTTGGAACTTGCCAACTTGGAAGGGCGTTCTACCTAATATGGTTGTTTGTACAAATAAAGGCGCACAAAGTAAAATTTAGATATGGTCTACGATTATGCAGTTAGCTGTAATAGCACCGCCAAACAAAAAGTTCGGATGTACTATAGGTGCAAGGTCCATATGTACGCCTGTGGGTCCCAGGTTGTGTTGCTGCTCAACGCTGTTACCACCTCGCACAACGACTACGTTGTATGCGGCACATTGCTTGATTGATGGCAACTTTGCCGTATCCCCGGCCTTGGGCGAACGTCTCGACCTAGAACCTGACAGATCCAACGATGTGCACTTGTTTCTAACACCCCTGGTTGGTTCGGTTTATACATGTGTTGTGGTTCTCGATGGTGAATCCGTTGACGGCCGGTTTGTCCTGAAACTGGCTCAAGGAGAAGAGGAATGCGAAAGCCTTCGTAGGGAGTACAAGACTTACCTTGCGTTGAAAGAAGCACACTTCCGAGGTGTCGTCGAAGTGTACGGATTATTCCAATCCGATGCACCGGGGATGCGGAGTTTGGGGCTCGTGATGGCACATGGCGGTCGTTCCTTTCTGCATAGGAGCAAAGAGTGCAAAGCAAAGTTGCGGCAGTGCGTGGCAAATACATTTCTCTCTTTTCTTTGGTCATGACTCGATTCCGCAGAAAATTTGTCGTTAAACAATTTGAGGACATCCTAGAGGAACTCAAGCGGAATGGGATCGTTCATAGACGTTTACGTTTGGAACACTTTGTGCTGGACAAGTTCAAAGGGCCCGATGGCAAGGAAAATTTGTCTGTTTCGTTGGTTGGCTGGAAGTCAGCACAACAGCTTGGGTCTCAGCCTGCCATCACTTCAACGCCAGAAACAGCAGGGATGGATGACGCTGATGTCTCCTTCCGTCGACCCCCACTTTCTACAGCAGAGGGAACCAACAGAGAAAACATCATGACGTCGAAGAGAGAAGCAAGGAGGGTCTGGGCAGAAAATGAAGGAGAGATTGAATACATCCGCCGTTTCTTGACAATATAACTTCTATTGTTGTGCTTGGCTGGCTGTGGAGGCGCTGCAGTGCTCAGCAAAATGTATTACATAATCGGAATGTTGAATAAATCAATTGATCGTTTTCTTGCAAGACTATTAGCTAAAGGAGGCATTGACATACAGTCGATCAACACTGTATACGAACACAATCCCCATGTTCTCCGTCAAGTCGCAGTCCCCGTTCGGCCACCGTCAGCGCTAACGTTTTACGACAGGCATTTACACCCCAGCTTGTCGTTGAGGCATGTCCGATATATGCCTTCAATCGTTGCTGATTTGTCCAACATTGCCACAGGACTTGTCACGGAGTTTCTCGACCTTAACCTCTCGCTGCAAAATGAAGACGATCTCAACTTCATGACTCCACATTCGGACACGGTACGAGATGCGGCGGAAGTTGGGACGCACTACGTCATGTATATCTCGGACCCCTGCTGCACTCTTTGCTCGACCTTGGCTTTCCATCCAAATTGCCCAGACTGGGCTAGCATCATAGAGTGGGCCCGGGATCCTCAAGATTATCCTTACAACACCTTTGCCGCTGATGAATACTCTCTAAGGCTTTGTCATGGCGAGGTTAAACCTTACAAGTTGACCTTTTTACCAATACTTGAGGAGCTGCTAGATGAGCACGCAGTGGATGAACTCCGTCAGTTTCTGGCTGCCTTCCCTGACTTGATTACGGGCCAGATCTTCGCAGCGACCGACGAAGCCAAAGAATTGGTTCGGAGGTTGTGGGACCCGAGTTCTCTTGGAGAACGTCTCGGACCACAGGTCAAGAACAGTTTTCTTCGTTGAGTCCTAACCTCTGTGGGCCTGATGCAGAAGGCCTTCCATCTATAAAAAAGACAGCTACAAATTCGCGTCGCTTTCACCCCCCCAAACCCCATTGTTCCTCTCGCGTTATTCCCCCTCCACGTGTAGGAACAAAGCGTAGTGGGCGTAGCTATGATCCTCGACCGGATCCCTCACAATACCTGCAGCATGTAAGAATGCTACTTATCTAGTTTTAAACTTTGCTGAACTGGATTTAACAGGCTTGGATACAATCTGTTTTACAAGACACAACATTCATTTTCTTCCATTGTGGAAAGTACGACAGAGTTGGTGTCCACATCGTGCATCCCAAACGCTGTATTTGTCAGAGGTCATTGATGTGAACACCTGCAAGGATCCGGCCTATGGCAAGCTCCAAGTGGGTCTGTACCTCGCCGCGGTCCGAGATGCGCAAAATCGTCTAAAGCAACTCAAGCATTCTGCGAAATCCACGATCGCAAGTAGCAGTCAAGCTAGAAAGCGTCCCCTGCCAGATGACGGGACACAAAGACCAATGAAGAAACGACTACGGTCTGAAGTTCAAGAGGCTGTGAAAGCTGATGATAGCGACGAGGTCGGTGTCTTTCGAGCTCGTCTTTTACCGTTTCTTATTGTGTTGTCAGTTTTTCATGAAAGAGGTCGGTTGCCGGAACCTTGCCTTGGTCCGCCTCGAATTCAGTTTTTACAACTCTCCAGTACCTGCTTCGTTCATGCGCACAGGCGCTTCCCTCCCCCCTGGTGAAAACCCAACCCTTTTCACCTCCCCGAAGCGAAAGGCTGGATATACAGCGACTGAATACATGTCCATTATTCCTGGGGACCAGATTGGGAAAGGTATTGTTGGTGTTGTTCACCGCGGTACACTCTCGGTCAAAACGGGCACTCGGACTATTACCCGTCAAGTGGCAGCCAAATTTGCTTTCGACAAGGAACAGCAAGGAGAGCTTCGAGATGAATTTAGAATCTACTCTCGTCTGGTACGAATGGACGTAAAGGGGATTCTTCCTGTTTACGGTTTATTTCAAGACATGGAGGATGGTCCCCTGATGCTCCTCCTGGGGCACGGTGGCAAATCATTGCTCGCCCAAGAGCACGAAGGACCGGGGAGGTATACTTACGCTGTAACTTGTTCTGATTCGGAGAAATGCGTCACCACCAATCACACCTTTTGTATCTATCTAACTTTGTTTTTGGCTGTAGAGAAAATTTTACCGAGGTCCTAGAAAATATCCACATGGCTGGTGTTGCGCATGGCGATATCCGTCCGCAAAATATGCTGGTGAATGGAACAGACGTTTTCTTCATTGATTTTCACAAGAGCGACACACGTTTCCCTCAATCCCGTGCCCGCGAGAAACAAATTTTACAAAATCTAGTTCGAGGTAGAGAATGGCAACATTGGGACGGCGTGTAGCCTTGTATGGTTAAAAGTGTATGTATTCAATAGTGTATGTATTCATAACGGCTGGTATCGAGGCTACTATCGAGACTAGCGTGGACGGACATCTCACGTTGAAGTCGCTCTTGGGACTCGAAAGGGAATGCGAGTTTTGCAGCCACTTGACCTACTTGCAATTGGAAATGATAGTGCATTTGTCCCAAAAGTATATGAAGATCAAAGCCATATCTAGCTCAATAGGGTGAAGTGCTGTTATTCTACATGATGATGTTTTAAAAAGGGGTAGATAAGTATGCATGGAACCAAACCGAAAGAAAAAACCGCCAAAACACCGAAGGTGCTCAGTCCCATGACGGACTCGACTGGTAAGCGTGACTACGCCCCACGCCGTTCTTGCTCTGTGCAGGACTCGACGGCGACCAGGATGGAGAGGTTGGACTATAAGCTGGAGAGGCAGGTGCTAACGAAAAGAGTGAGTGAGTGGTCATTCCATTAGAAGAAATCATCCTACAGTACGCCGGAGCTGAGTAACAAATATCAGTTAGCTTCCGATGCGAGTGTGTGCTCAGGGGAAAAGACTTACAAGCTGGTGAATAAGTCGGCGACGTGGGGGCTGAGGTGGATATTAGATTACGCGCGTGGAGTGGACCATCTGAAAATATCTTACAATATTTTGGAGAGGAAGGTGACGCCATTGGTGAAGTTGGGGAATACTTTGGAGAGGATGGCGACATGTGAGTAGGAGCTAAGACAAAAAATGTTAATGCTTATCAAAGGCGGAAGAGGGTTATGAAACTCACATGCTAAAATTGAGGGAAGATGGTAAGATATTAGTCACGTCAAAATTAACAAATAATGTTTGAGGCTTACTTGGAGAATCTGATGAGGGAAGAGAGTAAGCAGTGGTTCGTAGATGATAGAGAGAAACTTACATCGAGGTGAAGCTGGACTGAATGATGGACTCGTTGGGGAATATCGAGGTGATGTGGGGCTGAATGAGGGTGACTGCGGACTGTACCGAGGCGATGTTGGCGAGAAGGATGGGGATGTGGGTGAATAACGAGGACTGGTGGGCGAATAGCCTGGCGAGGTAAGGTTGAGTGCAGGTGACGTTGGTGAATAGGTGGGAGACGTTGGATTGCGAGCAGAAGGGTCGTAGTATGGTGACGCAGCATAGGGAGATGTTCCAAACGGTGATGTCGCTCCACCGAACGGCGATTGTGGGACGAAACTAGGAGAGGTCGGGGAATACACATTTGGGGAACTTGGACTGTAACCTGGTCCTCCTGGTGACATCCCACCTGCGCCTAATGGGCTCTGACCGAAGCCCAAGTATTGGAAGTTCGCTGCATCCTCACCACCATTGGAAGCCAGGGGCGAAAACGATGCGGAGGCAGGATCCCCCTTGAACAGATTGTCGTGCCAAACAGGGGAGTTAGTGTCATAAGGAGTCATGGCAACTTGACCAGGAGTCATTCCTCCGTCGATTTGAGCTGCCAGCATAGATTGGACGGGAAGTCGATGATCCACAATTGCATCTTTCAGCATGTCGATATCGAGAGCCACTTCGAATGCTCCTGTACCCATGGGCGCCATCTGACCAAACATAACATTCTCAGCAACGCCATGACAATCATCCTTCTCTCCGACGGCAGCAGCTTCCATTAAAATCTCCACGGTCTCCTCAAACGAACACCTCATCAGAGCGCCAGTGTCAGCCCGATTGATCCCATGTCGAGTGATGGCCATGAGGGTTCCGCGATGGGTCATGAGGTCACACAATAATGCGAGATGGCGGTAGTTGACGTATGAACCATCGAATTCAATGACACCACGAAGCTCCTTCATAATGGCGGCCCGCGCAGCTTCGATTCCCAGCACGTTAAATATCTCCACGCAGCTATTCGAGTAGGTCCGCTTGAAGTCGACCCCATCGATGCACATCACGGTCTTCAAGTTGACACCATCCGTTTCCAGCACCCACTCTTTCTCTTGGCCATTCTTGATACTGCCATCTTTCGCAATAGTGATTTTGTCGTTTTCCATCAAAAACACGCGATTGATGCCCTTAACACCACGAAGGCTGACGGAGTTCAACATCGTGTTTTCGAGTTGTCGCAAGAAGATGTCCTCCTCAATTGTCCCGTTCCCATCGTCCTCCTTGTCTGCACTTCCCAGTACACGACAACGAATAACGAGTTTTTCTGAGTTGTCTTCACTCCAAATGACGAAAAGGTCTGTCTTGAAGCTCTCAGCGATTCGGCTTGCGACGTAGTGCATCGTAAGCTTGCGATCGATCATCTTTGCTCGATCAAGCTCCAGCCGAAGGAGCCAAGGTGATTGTAGATGAAGCTTGGACTCAATTTCTTCATCGGGAATGGCGAAGAAAGACTCGACGAAAACGGAATCTTCTTCGATGATGGTAGAGCTTGGGTCTGGGTCATACCAGATCTCAACGGCAGCTGTCACCGTTCGCAATGATGTATATGCGAGCTCTTGCTGAACGTTCTTGGCTAGACTTGAAGAAACAGCGATTTCTGGGTCGAGGTGGACTGTAAGCGAGGGCGTCTTGATGTTGGTTGCAACATTGATAATTTCCTTTAAACGTGGCACACCAAGTGTGACGTTCTTGCTGGATACACCGGCATAATGGAAGGTGTTCAACGTCATCTGGGTGGCAGGCTCTCCGATAGACTGGGCAGCAAGAGTACCACACATCTCACCAGGATGCACCACAGACTGATTAAATTTGGTCTCTACCTCGCCCATCACCCAATCAAAGGCTTCCCGTGTGAGATGGAACTTCTCTAACACACGGCGAGATGCGAAGGTGGCTCGAAGATGCATCCTGAATGTTAGTGTTGCATTCAACTGGGCTTCTCGGCTCAATGGATCGTCACCACGGACAACAACTAGCCGTCCGCACAACTCGTTCACGCCGTCAACGATATATCCAGGCTCTAAATCACTGGGCTTCCGACGATCAATATGGAAAATTTGGATGGCGTTCTGAACGATGCGATGTAAGTTGACAGGGAGGTAATGTGGTTGAGTTGTTGGCACGCGAGGGAAGATGAAGTGTCGTAGCAGGCGACGGTCTTCCACAAGTCGAGCAAATTCTTCGTCCAACTTTGACTGCAATTCCAAAGAGCTGTCGTCAATTCCAACTTGCAGCACTCCAGGAAGGAAGCCGCCTGTTGGGTCCGTAACGTCAACGCGATAGTTGTGCTCAAACTCCTTGTCGTCGAGACCAAATGTTTCAATGGTCTGCTTCTCAATAAAAGCGCCATCCATGCCATCCTCTCCGTATACGAATTGGATGAGATCGCCCAGCGAGTTTCGAACCGTTCCGTCATAGCAAACCATGACATCCTCCAAAGCCTTCACGAGTCGACGTTGAATGTATCCTGTCTCGGCTGTCTTCACCGCTGTATCAATTAAACCCTCACGACCAGCCATGGCATGGAAAAAGAATTCTTGGGGTGTCAATCCACGAAGGTAGGAGTTTTCGACGAAACCACGGGACTCAGGACTGAAGTCATCCTTGGTGAAATGAGGCAACGTGCGGTGACGGAAGCCGAATGGAATTCGACGACCCTCTACTGACTGCTGTCCAACACAAACCGACATTTGCGAGATGTTGATGAAGGAACCCTTCGACCCAGCGACCACCATCTGCTTGACATTGTTGTCCTCCTTCAAATGCTTCTGCGCGTACTGACCCGACGTATCACGAGCCAAGTTAAGCTGACGCTCGACCAGACTCTCGAATGATTCGCGAATAGTCATACCAGGAGCGGCTTTCAAACGATCATGGGTCGCATCATTAATGATTTTTGCGACATTGGCCTTGCTGTCAGCGATGGTCTGAGTAATGTAGGACATGGTGCCACGATCGGCGATAGTATCGCCAATGCCAATGCTGAAGCCATTGTGGAAGAGCCAGTAGTTGACCACCATCTGCAGACCCGTGAATAACTGTCGGGTTGCCTCTGGACCTTTTTCACGAAACACGACGTGCACGAGACCGCCTTGAGATGCACCAACAGTTTTTTTCTCGACGATACCGAAGATGAGCTCGCCATTCTCGATCAGAACACCGTCGTCAAATACAGGATTCGATGACTTCGGATCAGGCGAGCGATGGATGTTGATACCACGTGGGATAGCCAAACTGAGTATCTGTTTCCCCGTCCATAACGGCTTAGGTTTGAGGATGGCAGGTATAGGTACTGAGCCGTCCCATTCCGGTACCCAGAGAAGGATGTTCTGCACTTGGTTCCAGTCCAAAAATGTGTCACGGAGGGTAAACTTGCGAATGCCGCACAATGTGTCCTGGACAATCCCCATGACGGGTTTGTTGGCTTGAGGGGAGATAATCTAAGAATCGTAAGAGTCGATCCTTGGGGATGAAAGAGGATGAGCGAACCTGTCGTGGAACCCATGCAATCTGACTCAGCTCAGCCCGTGTTTCTTCACTCTGAGGCACACTGGAAAAAGGGATGAATCTTAGAAGGGACTAAAAGACGGGGATAGTACTCACTGCATGTTCATCTCATCACCATCGAAGTCAGCGTTGTAGGGAGGGGTACTAGATAGAATGTTCAACATGCCGCTCAACGGCGTATGTGCAACTTACACAGAAAGGTTGAGACGGAATGCTGCAAGTGCGTGAGTTAAACAGTTGTAAAATATTGTGACCAACGTACTTGAGTAGTACATCAATTTCACTCGATGACTCATCATACTCATTTTGTGTAGGGAAGGTTGTCGATTGAAGAGAACGAAGCTGAAACCCATGTCAGTGTTGGTCAATGAAGGTCAACCGAAAAGGCTTACTCTCCGTCTTTCAGATGACGCTCAACAATCCAACCATACTGGAGAAAGGCGTCCGCTCGTTTATTGTACCTCAAGTCAATTCGCTCGCCAGTGTCTCGGACAACATATCTTGCTCCAGGGTAAGCCGTTGGGCCGTTGCGTACCAGCTCCTGAAGATACGCGATGTTATATGGAGTGACTGAAAGACAATCAATATCACGGAGTTCAGATATGTTTAGGAAACTAACCCCGTTCAGGATAGGTCAGATTCATGGCGATGCTCCTTGGCACCCCAACTTCATCAAGCTCGAGATTGGGGTCACCTGTGATGACTGTACGAGCTGAAAAATCAACACGTTTTCCCATCAAGTTACCACGCAAACGCCCTTCTTTGCCCTTAAGGCGAGCACGAATGGCTTTCACAGGACGACCAGACTTCTGTAGTGCTTGCGGAATACCAGCAATGTCGTTGTCCATGTAAGTAGCGACATGGAACTTTTGAAAAAGTTAATGTGCGTTGAGAGATGTGCAAGAAACTGAACCTACCTGCAGAAGCTGCTCAAACTCTGTAATGACGTGGGCTGGTGCGCCTTCTTGTTCGCAACGTCGAACATTTGCAGAAGCTTTGATGATGTCACCAAGCTTGTAGGTCAGATCATCCTCACTTCGCATTGCACCGCCGTCGACAGCAATACTTGGACGAACGGGTGGAGGAGGGACAGGCATAACGGTCAAGATCATCCACTCTGGCCTGGCATACTCATCGGACAAACCGAGAAGATGTAGGTCGTGATCCGACATCTTCTTAAAGACCGTGTAGACTTCCGAAGGAGTGATCAAACGTTTATCAGGCTGGAGAGACTTGATCTCCTGCATAATGGATTAGGTAGGATTAGACAAAAACGAAAAATGACCTACATCATCATCATCTTTCGGCTTCTTATACTGAAGAAACAATTTCAAGCCCTCCTTCCTGATTTGCGGCTGACTATGGCCACATCCGCCGTGGCCCTTCTTCGGTTCGTCGTTCTCAGCGTCTGCTCCTTCCTCTTTCGGGTCATCCGTCTCGCAAGTTGTCTTGGTTTTGCAATGAGCCCAGACGACGGCCATCCGCGTCTTAGGGTCTCGAATGTGACGGATTTTGTCCGCGAAATTGGGATCCAACTTAGAATAGGTATACGCAGGAGGAGAACAGGTAATGGCGAAACGTTTAGCAATGATGAGGACATGCGAATGAAAACGTCAGCAAATGTGTCTACAGGGAATATAAAGCATTCTGAAATTCCGAACCCGTGGAAGAGGTAACACAACATCATGTTATAACAGGGGGCGACAAACATCGAGTCAAAGTGCAGGCCCGAAAACGCACTTCACATACTGCGTTACAGCTGAGAGTGGTTGAGCTTTCCAGCGTCACGATCACATGGCCTTTCACGGCGCATACGACGTGTTGTTTTTTCCGCACTCCTCGTTCTGCCCCCCATTTCACCACACAACCTCGTGTCCAACCGAACACCGAGCGGATGCAACGGGATCAACGCGGCGATCAAGCGACCGAAAACGCGCGCTATGCGACCCCCCGCAGCGGGTGGAAGAACGCCCTCGATTGTCGAGGGACTAACGTGGCGCGGGTTTGGGGTTCACCATGGGATATGGAGAGAGCCCCCAGAAAATTGGGATGGTGGGGTGCGAAACGAGTCGACGAAAGCGGGAGATGCGACTCACGATGTCGGCTTTCAACTTCCCACAATTCACACATATAGATTCCAAAATTTTCTTCACTTTGATGATAAAGCCTGGTGCGTGTGAGGTATGAAGGAAGGCTGGGACGTGGCACATAACGAAAACATACCAGGATGGAAGACAGGCCTCGCCAACTCTATGTGCCCAAAATGGCCAGGGCATTCTGACATTCCTTCACCACACGTTTGACACTTGAAATTCCGGTCGATGGTGCCCATGCGTGGATCCATCAGTCCGCCCATCTTGGGCTTGTGGGTAGCCTCATCCATGACCTCTGGATGTTCGATTTTGGCAACAGAAATGGCTTTCTGTGACATAAGGATGAATATGAGTGGGACACGCTCGACGTGAAAGAGGTGGTACGCACGATCTCTTCGGGAGAAAGAATACCAAACTGCACTTCCTTCACTTTGCGGATCGGAGCCGCTGAATAGGCGAACTGGTGGCCGAGCATGGTTTTTGGATATTTTTAACGATACAAGACGCTCAAGGTTAAACACAGAGTTGGAAGCAACAAAAGTACGGAATGAAGCGTGAACAAAGAGTCTTCGTGTCGTAGTAACGTGGATAGAGAACGCTCTATGCCGTTCGTCGTAGTTTTTAGCAACTATAAGGTGCTTTTTTGCGCGCTGACGGAAGCAAGTCCTAGTCGCCAGGGAAGAGCCGAGAAAAAAAACGGGAAGAAGCCCGAAAAACGTGTCCAAACCGCGGCCAAAGGGTTCTTGCCGTCTCTGGACCAATTGTACCGAGGGAAGGGTGCGACTTTGGCGGTCAAAAGGTCGATGACGAAAATGTGCGTGGTGGTTGGAGGGCAACCAACAATGCACACAGCAGACTCCCGCTGACTGGGAACTCACATTGAGACTCCGATTTCGGTTCCGCCCTATAGTCGGAGATTGAACTTCTTTCCATATAAATATAAGCTGGCTGCAATTGACTCACTCAAGATGCTCGCGGCTAAAAATCTGCTGGTACCGCTTATCAAGGATTCCACTCAAAGGACCTGGATACGAACGCTTGACTGCTCTCTTCTGGCCTTTACTGCTCTGGCACTCTTTGATGGTTAGGAGCTGATCTGCGATGACATGGTCCCTTTTTCTGGCCGGTGCTCGCCTGAGTCCCATGGAGGGAGACCATTGTGATCAGTCGCGTACTGCCTATGACCGTACTCTCCTCGCTCAGGATATCACGAAAATTGGACCCTCATCCGGAAATATCCAACATATGTTAACCTTGTGCCTGCTGGGTCAGTTGTTAGGCGATCAGATGGGACAGATGGATTCAGAGAACCTGTATGATGACGGAAAGGATGGATGCTGCCTTGCGGTATGCTCCAGGACGTGGAGGACGGACTACTTGAGCGTCGAAGGTTAGTTACTGCCATTATCTTCAACGGCGACCAGATCTCACGAACCAATAGCAGGCTCTTTGCTACCGAATCCACAATTGTATGGTATAATGCTCTCGACCATCGAATGAAATAAATATTGTCAGTATGTAGATGGATTCAAAGTAATTATCCTTCGGAGTCCCACTCTTCGCCCTCGAGGATATCTTTCAATAACCTCTCCTCACGGGCATGAGCTTTGTGATTTCCTACGAAACCATAATGAAAATCAATGAAGTAAACGTCTGTTCCGTTTACTAGCATATTATGGGGTCGGACATCCCCCTGTCCAACTCCAGCGTTGTGGATGCTCTTAAGCGCCTCGACAAATCCTCTACTATATCGTGATCGCAAGTCAGAGAAAAGTAATATGCAAAAAGTAGAGACAAACCTTTCCGAATCAGAACACGTCACACATTTAGAATAGCTTCCCATCCTTTCCTGCTCTCGGGAAAAGAGCGAAATGCCGCCATAACCAAGGAGCAACATCAAAGGACCGTCCTCCATGTCTTGAAATAGACCATAAACAGGAAGGATACCCTTGACATTCCTCTGCCACAAACGAGTATAGATGGTGAATTCATGTCGGAGACTACGTTGTTGCTCCTTGGAAAAGGCCAACTTCGCCGCCACTTGGCGGGTAAGCGTTGCGTGAGTAGTTCGTAGTGAGAGTGTACCACGGTGAACAACGCCAATAATACCTTCCCCGATCTGATCTCCAAGAGTGACGGATATGTATTCAACTGCAGTATATCCTGCCTTTCGCTTCGGGGATTTAAAAGGGGCCGGGTTTTCACCAGGGACGAGAGAGGCGTCCGAGCGTAAGAACGAAGCAGAAACCGGAGAGCTATAGAAGCTATATTCAAGGCGGACCAACGCAAGGTCCCTGTGACCGACTTCTTCCATGAATAACTGGAAAGAGAGTAAGATGACGAAAGAAGCACTTCAAGACACAGACCTTGTCACTGTTGTCAACTTCCGCAGCTTCTTGATCGTGGGGGCGTCGTTTGTTCCGTTTCTTTTGTCTCTGTGTCTCGTTGTCGTTATCTGGAAGGGACCGCTTTCTACCTTGAACGATAGGTGCGACTGACGCTGCGGAAGCCTTGAGTCGTGCCAAGCGACCTCGAGCATCTCGAAGTGCAGTTACATAAAGACCAACTTGAAGCTTGCCATACGCTGGGTCTTGGCATGTATTAACATCAACAGCCTCTGACAGGTAGAGCGTTTGTGTCGCACGATGACGGACGCCGATTCTATCATACTTGCCGCAATGAAATAAAATGAATGTAGTGTCTTGTACAACAGATTGTACCCAAGCCTGTTTGAGGATTAGTGAAGGGTAAGAGATTATAGAGAAAGCCCGTACATGCTGTATGTAATGCGAAGGATCTGGGCGAGGGTCATAACTACGTCCACGCTTTGTCCCGATACGGGGTGGGGGAAGAATGCGGGAGGAGCAATGTGGTTTCGGGGAATAGCTGCGATGCGACGATGTAGCTTTCTTGTGAACCGAAGGAATGGACTGTGCATCGGGTCCACAAAGTTTTGAATCCAAGGGAGAGAGAATCAGTTGGCCCGTCGTCCCAGGCGTCACCCAGAAAAAATTGGACATGGAAGGAATCCATAACCTCTTAACCAATTCCTTAGCTTCCTCTGTCACTGCAAGCATCTGGCCCGTGATCAGGTCAGGGAAAGCAGCAAGCAATTGGCGAAGCTCGTCCTTCGCGTCCTCTTGAAGTAACTTCTGTAATACCGGTGGAAGGTACAACTTGAGAGGCTTGACGTATCCGCGACAAAGGCGTAGAGAATATCCATCGGTGGCAAAACTGTTCGTGGACAACACTCGGTTATCCCAATTCATTATGCTAACCCACTGAGAGCAATTTGGGTGGAAAGCCAAGGTTGAGCCGAGAGCACAACACGGTTCCGAGATGTAGTTCACATAATGATTCCCAACATCAGACGCATCTTGCATCACATCGCCATGTGGTTCAAAAAAGGTAGGGATGTTTCCCATGAATGGGAGCGGGAGATTATGCTCAATAATATCCGCGACAAGGTCTGTGGCGATGTCGGACAAATCAGCAACGATTGAGGGCAGAATTCGGACGTGCCTCAACAACAAACTCGGGTGTAGGTGCTTGTCGTAAAATGTCAGCGCCGACGGTGGATGAATGCAGTTTCCAGCTTGTCGGAGAACAGGGGGGTTGTGCTCATACACAGAGTTAATCTTCTGTATCTCGGTCGCTTCAGGCATCGTATTGAAAGAGTGGTTCAAGCTAGCATCAAAGTAACTTCCGATTACGTAATTAGAGTACGAAAGATACAGTGTCAGAGATCCTCATGCTCGTCACTACCCAAGGGTTTCGATCTCAAAAATTGACGGATAAGCTCGATTGCTGGGCCATCAGACCGCTCCATGACCCTGTCTCCGTCGGTGCTCGCCGCTTCGCCAGGCACGGCCAGTCGAGGGCAGGGATCATCAGTGTCGCCGATTTTAGCTGCTTCGGGTAGAGTGGCAGGCTGAGGCGGACGCGTTTTGGCCAATTTCCAGCCTACCAGAGACAGGGACAAGGTTTCTTTGTTGTCGGGTCCCTTGGACTTGTGGAGCAGCAAGTGATCTAAACGCAAACGTCGATGAACTAGATTATGGCGCCGGAGTTCCTTCACAATGGCCTCAAACCTCTCGGACACCACATTCCTGCGGATCAAGTCATCAGCAAGGAAAGAGAAATCCCATTTTTTTTACGCACCGTCGCACCCTTGCTCTGCACTCTCTGCTACCTTGAAGCATGGAACAGCCGCCATACGACATCACGAGTCCCATCACTGGCATCCCTTGTGCATCACACTGAAATACGCCGTGCACTTCAACGATACCCTCAAATTTTGCTGCTTTCAAGGCAAGATAAGTCTTGTATTCTTGGAGAAGGGCCTCGCATCCCTCTTCTTGAACCAATTTTATGACAAAGCGGTCATCACTGGTTCTGTCGTCAAGACACACCACACAGGTATAAACGGCACCAGCCAACAACTCTTTGAGGTGCAAGCACAAATTCTTGGGTGGGTCATGTTCCGCCTCAAGTTCTTCGCCCAATGCCACATCGTGGTGGCGATAAAAATGTTGGAACTGCTTGGCGCCAAAAATAGGAACTTCCTTCGCATAAACTTTCATTGTGCGACACCGTCTCAATGTTTCGCCGATGTTCTGAACTTTGGTAAGGTACGAGACGATCGCAAGATGATTCAACGCACCAAATGTAAATCTGACCCTTTTTGGGCAAGCTCCAGCTCTTCCTGTTTTTGGGAGGCGATATCGTTTGGATCTTCATAGGTGTAGTTCACTTTATCATGGGAATATTTGCGACGATAAAGGGGGCCAAACCGTTGCCTTGAAGCCTTCAGGTGGTCGAGTTGCGAAGCACGGTCAAGTGCGTCATTGAAGGCGGCGAGATATAAGCCAGTGTGCAACTTCCCATATGCAGGACTAGAGTTGCAAACCTCAATCATGTCCGAAAGATAAAGGGCTTGCTTTTCTCGACAGCGGTACGCAATGAATTCATACCGGCCTGCATTTACGATCATGAAGGTGGCGTCATTTTGGACTGCTTCAGCCCAAACCTTAAGAACATGTCAACGATTAATGTTGGTTTCATTTGTAGCATAGTGTCCTACCTGCTGGATAATATGGCTGGCCTTTTTGAGAGCTTGAGCACCCTTTGCAGACAACCGTTGAGCTTTTTTGCTTTCAAGAATGACTGGGTCGTCGGTAGCAAAGCAGCTCTCCCCATCAACGAGCTCATCTTTGCCCCCATCTTCAGATATGTTGTTTTCAGGCGTGCCGTCGTCAACGTCGAAGGAAGAGGCAGCAGAGTCATCATAACACAATTCGTCATCCGAATCCCCATCTTTAACTTCATCGACATGATGGTTGACGACGTCTGCTGAACCGGACATAACATCATGGGAGCGCTTTCTAGTCTCTGGTGGTGAAGCTACTCCAAGTGGTGATAAGGCATCAGGACCCGTTCTGCGGCCTGTATTGATTGTGACTTCTCCACCTTTGTGAAGGGCGGACTCGCAACGACTGATCGTTGTGCAACCCGTCCAGGGAAAATCCTTTTGAGTAGGAAGTCGCTGTATAGCCTCCATGACATCTGAGGATCCAGCTGCCAGACTCTTGAATTCCCACAACGACAGATTGCTCAAATTCCATTCTTCAAGAAGCTTTACATACTTTTCGAGTTCATTTGGAAGAGCGAAGGATTGGTTCGCAAGGTTATTGACAGTTAAGAATCCGTCCGCCTGAGCCTTTGTCTGGCCCTTGCACTTGGATTTCCATATGAAGAAATTTTTCAGAGGAGTTTCGTGACCAAGAAGGGCGTGCGCCATTGACAAAATGAGAGGCGCAATCGACGAACCATAGAATCTCTGCACACCGAGTTCGTCATCTGTCAAGCGAATAGTATACTTATCTGAATTCGTCAAGTTTTCTTTCGTCAGTTGACTCGGACAGATTGCTGTTGAATATCGCGCTTGTGCTTCCTTCAGTGCGGTATCTGCCACCTCTCCCAGCAGTGTGGCTAGATTTGGCGCCGCGTGGACTTTCTTGAGAATGAATTTCTCATGCAAATGCCTGTCCCAAAACCGTGGAGGTCGTGAGCCACTGCTTCCAGAGATTTTTGCCTTCCCATCCACTTCGGAGGGGGGACTCCAAGTAAAGAAATAGGGGACGGATGGTTGTTGAGGAATTTTGTCATCCGCAACCGGAATAGCGGCTGAGTTTACAAATATGTTATCGGGTGGTGAAGGAGAAATCGGGGGCTTCCTATGTTCCGTCGGCAAGGACGCAAAGGGAGAGTTCGAAAACTCTTTAGAAAGTTGTTTAGAAGAGGCGGTGGGCTCGTCTAGTGGACGTGGCGGGTTCTGAGTTGAAAAAGTAAAACTTTTATTCTCTCTAGTTTCTTTGGCAGTAGTTTCTGACGATAAAGAAAGCATGTAGTTGAACATGGGGTGATGTGTAAAAAATGGAAGCATTCTTCTTACTTTGAGAGCGATGCGAGCCACCCGCCAAATGCTTCGGTTTACGCCGTGTGCATTTCACCAGGGAAGGGATAGGATTGGCAAGGAGCTCGAGAGGATCTGACCCCCGCTTCTCTGGGGATCCAAGTGGGATGGTAGGGATATTCATAGAGGCCGAAGGATTATCCATAAGTCTGACCTTACTAACAGCGTGCGACGATTCTGCTTTCCGGCGTCGTTTCCTAGTTTCAGGCTTAGGAATGTTTTCTTGAGGAATGATCGAATGCGTTTTCCTATCGGGTCCTTCCGGAGGCGACGACGAGAAGCCCGGGGATTCGGGTTGCAATGATGAGTTGCGCCAGAGCAGGACCGAAGGCTGGGGCAACGAGTCTCCAAAATGAGACGGATGGCGTGCGGAGGTCTGCTCAGAAGGAGAGATTGGCTGCAATGGTGGCAGATTGTTCGTCCTTGGCGGAGTATTGGATCTCATCTCAACGCGAGAGAAGTGGAGGATGAGTGATCTGAATAATACGTGAATTTATAGGTTCGCCGCAGAGACGGATGTTCTACTGACATGCCAACCAGTGGTCGAGCGATGATAATAGTCGGTCCTGTAAATGCTTGTTTTCTGAGCTGAGAAGCAACGAATCACGATGCGCAAAGGAGATCACGACGATAACTAAAACAATTAGAAAGGCAAGAGGGGCCAAGGCTGATACGGCGTATCCTTTTGTGACGGTTTTGCGGCCGCACTACCAGTGCAAAAATGTGAAGGTCTTTGGCCGCCTTGGGGATTGGATATCATTTTATGCTTCTCATGAGCAGCAACGGTTGCCCAAAGATGTCTCAGCGGCCTACAGGTCATAATCAGCAGAGAAACATAACAGTAATTACAGCCCTTACCCTCAAGTACCCTTCAATGAAGCTTTTGCCATCGCTGTCAAGACGGTCGTTTGTGGCAATTTCTATTTTTGGATCGTCACATAAAATTATTACGTAACTTATGCAACGTCAAAGCGTTGTGGTTTTTTTAGCCTTCTTGCGTTGGATCCATGGAGGTGTATTCGAACATTTTAAACAATAAATCCTTGCCTGTTATCAGCTCTTAACCAGCTCTATAGTGTAGATCCTTGGTGGAGTTGGCGCAGAATGCGTCTTGTGGTGGGCGTTTTAAAATTCGGGTGGTCTAATGCAGCACTTTGGCAGCACTGCCACAGGAAAGAACAATGAGGACCTTGAATTTGTGCACCGACTTGGTAGTATGCTTTGATACAACTTTGATAACCTGGTATGCCCCTTCATCCCAACCATGACATGAAGCTCGGCATGCCAGCGTCGTGCGCAGCCCAACATCCGGACTTGCCAGAAATTCCTAGCGCCCCGTTCTCGGTCAGCACCATACACGACCTTGGAGCATCTCCAAGTTAACCTTATATCAACGAAACCTTGCATGTGGCGAAGGGGAAGTGCCTTTTCATAGTGTAGGGGAGGCCCCAAAGCTCAACACAAATTTTATTTTGGGTCCTGATAGACCTGCTCAATTCTCAGCGTGTCACGATGCGTCTGTGGTGCGCCCTTTTTTTAGTATTCGAGCGGCTTCATTAACATTCGCTTTCTTGATTCGCTCCAAAAGCCAAATGCTATCGATTTCGCTGTGAATGTCGACCTGTTGAAACTCGACCTTTGGCGGAGCGCACCCAGATTAGAAGCGTAACCGTCGGGATAATAACGAAGAAGGATCCTGACGATCGATACGAGGCAAGTGAGCTTCATACGCACAGCGAATACCAATTAAGTGAGTAGTGACTGCTGTCTTCTCGTTTGGACATCATCTGACACCCGATAGGCCTCTCCGCAGACTCGTGTTCCTGCGCAGTTGTGATGCGCAAATACAAGACCCCCGAGAGGACGGCGAGCAGCGCGGCTTGACGAATACATCACACATTCTCCGATGGCTAATCGATGCCAAGATCGAATCATTTCCATTTCTTGCAGCTGCTTCGAGGCTCAGGGTTCTGCTTCCATCATTGCTCCCTCCAAAAATACGTCCGTCTTGGTGGAGAATATTTCACGGATGAGTTTGTCGAGGTCAAGAGGTTTTCATAAATGAATTCGTCAAGGTCAAGATGATTCATCTACACATCTGCAAAGATTCATTAAGCGCCATCAAGGCAATGTTGGTCGTGTTTCCGACTTGCCATATCGAGGTTAACGACAACTTCGTCCCATCACACTTCTGTCGTTGATCAACGATCATTTCCTTTCTAGTGGAAACAGCATCGCCCCCTGGAATATGCACTATGAAGGATGGGTTTTCCCCCCGCAAGGTGGCCAGAGTTTGTCGCAATGGGTAGCCTATTTCGTCTCAGTTCACTGCCTTGCGCTACCTGGTCTCAATCATCTGGCAATCCCATCTTGAATTGCTTTCCTTGCCCATCTGTCAACTCCGCGGCGCCACGACTCCCCGCCCCGTGCTGCAGTTATTTGCAAAGGGATGCCCTTCTACAAACCTTATCCCACGTTTGTTGGCGATAATGATTATCGCAACGAGGCTATTTCTGAATCCTTTCGGCGTTTTCCTAAATTGTACTACTTTTCCCGCACTCTACAGCATTTACCGGCGCCGACAGGCGCTTACAGGACCCACAAACTGTCAGATGATGCGCGGTGCATCCTTGGATAGAAACCCGTCTTAAATACTCGCCCTTCCTCCGGCTTTATTCCAACCATCGATAATGAACGAAGTTGAAGAGCCTTCTCTTAAATTCAGCTGGGAAGACGACGCCATTCTTGATGACGAGGATGCCGCGGATGAGGACGCCTCGAGCGTGGATACCTCGAGCGATGACGCCCCAGGCGAGGTCGCAGAAGGGGTAGCTGCTGCCTCAGATGGAGGTACCTCAGGCGATGACGTCCCAAGCAAGGTCGGAGAAGGGGAGGCCGCTTTCCAAAAAATCCTCGATTACAACTATTCGGAAGAGTTCAAGAAGACATTGGCCATTTGGACCCGCAAACGCCACTACACTCCACCACCCTTTCCATCACCTCTCACCTTTCAGGATAGGCATCTCGACCCAGGTATTATCCTGAAACGCGTCAAGCTGATGCCTTCAATGCTCCACGACCTCTCCGCAAATCATGGTGCGGAGATGGAGAAATTTCGTGCTCAAGGTCATAGTCTCGTTGATGGCATCCGTGCGCCCTGTTACTCCGGCAGGGCACTGGGAAACTCACGCGACGTGTCCAGATTTTACAGGCGCAACCTTGGGGACTCCTGCTCTGCCATCGCTTCCAGGTGCACCCTCCATCCGTCCATCTCCGGATCTCTTCTGCGGATGCATCAAAAGCCATACAAAGACGACGAAGACGAGGATCGTTACCATACCGAATGTTCACTAGAAATGCTAACTAGCGGTGTCGCTAAACTGGCCAAATCGTTGGACAAGGACCTTGCCCTGATGCTACAGAATCAGGTGGATGGTAACCCTACTCTTGCCCTATGGCAGATCTTTTCAATGTCAAACACAGCGGAGGACATGCTGAAAGCGATAGACACCTGCTCCGACCCATTTCCTTGGGAGTTGCCAAGGGTGACAGGACACATGCCTGCTAATTTCAGAGGCGTTCGACTCCACTCGGATGCCAATGATATGTCGTGGTCTATCTCGTCATCTTCCACTGAATCACCCTCTACCGAGCCATCTGAAGCCCCAAGCACAATCCTTCCAGACGATGGACATTTAGTATCGCTTCCTGACCCAAAGAATGATGAAATGAAGGCTCCAGGAGCAAATGTCAATTCTTTCCTTCAGCATGTGCGTATAACTTGACATTGCTAAGTACCTTAATCTAATACATTTACTGTCAGGCTTGGGCAAGAGCTACTTGTTATGATAGCACTTTCATCATTCTCACTTGCGGAACGCTTGAACGAATTTGCATTCGCCATAGAGCTTCACAAACTCTCTATGTTTCCGAATTAATTGATACATCTGGATACAAAGATCTGACCTACGGCCAGATTCATCTTGGTCTTCATCTCGCTATCATGCAAGACGCATTGGCTCGTATGCGTCAAAGAGAAGGTGACCGCGTTCTAAAGCGCAAGGAAAGCGAGGAAAGATCTGAAGACGTTAAGCGGCAGAAAGTTTCACCTACCGAACACCAGAAGAAGCCAAATGTGGCAGATGGCAAAGTGAGAAATGCCAGCGGCGACTTGAAATACAATACTGAATGTTTCAGCAGGACGTATCCGAAGAAACGAACAAAGCTGAGCCAACTGTCGATTGCCCAAAGTCCATTGAAGAGGCCACATCTGCTGTCCCTGAGGGGAAGCTTGACGTCAGCCCCGACGAGGTGCGCTACAGTTTACGTTTTGGAGTAATGCACTTTCTCAGAGAGTTCATAGGAAATTGACAAGAAAGCGGGCTCAAGAAATCTATTCCTCGTGCATTTAAACATCGGCATACATCGCTCCCCCGCCCCTGCCTCCTTCATTCGAATTGGGAAATCATCCGCGCCTGATATTGTCTCAAGTTCACACGGCTTCGATGAAATAGCAGATGGATATTCCCATAAACAGTACGCAACAATCAAGCTTGACAAAATCCTTGGTAGCGGCGCAGTGGGTGTTGTTTACAAGGGAATCCTCGAACTTAAGGATGGCGTGGAGAGTGGAGCCGTTTCTAAACCGATTGTCGTCAAACTCGCTTTCAGTGCATGGCAGAAGCGTAGAATGCGTAAAGAATACGCCGTTTACAGTCACCTTGCTACAAAGGAAGGGTTTGAAGGCGTCGTTCGGGTCCACGGTTTTTTCCAGGATGCAGAAAATGGATGTCTAGCCCTTGTTCTAAACGATGCAGGGATGTCACTTCGCCAACGGGAGTTCATGCGGACGGGCGCGTGGGACAGTCCTTTGAAAACTACAGCAGAAGAACGGTATGCCTTCTTGCCCTTTCTCTCATGACTCGTTTAAACCTGTACTCTAGAGATGCGTATGCTCGTGTTCTGACAAGTATTCACAATGCTGGGGTTCATCACCGAGATATTCGAGGCTTCAATTTGATGATCAACCCCGACGGCAAGGTCTTCTTTATCGATTTTGATCGGGCAAAGTTGAACCCCAGTGAATGGCAACAAGAGAGCGAGCATTCGAGGCTTGATTGTCTCTTGTTGGGCGCGCGCGAGACTGCTGGACGCTCTACAGGTTCCTCTGATTATTATTCAGATTGACACCCCCCCCCCCTCCCCCGCCACCTCGAGAAGCTCAACCTGTGAATTGTTGGGCGGTCGTGATCGCCAGTTGTACTTTTAGAGGATAGCTTCTTAGCTATGTATCATATTACTCTTTCAACGTACGCCGTTAACACAGCTCCTCTTGATTTTTCCATACTTACGAAGAGTTGGTCAACTCTTGAGAGAGATCCTACCTAATTTCGAGCTTCATGTTTGAGCCTTGTTCAGCGATCCTTAAAACAACATCCAGAATCGTTACAAAGATGACTATAGACGGGTATACCTGGGCACAGGTTTTAGATCCTTGAAGTCAGCTCGTGAAGTCTTTTGGAGGTTCGAATGTCATTTTGAAAGGTGCTAGGCCAGCGGCAGAGCTACACACGTCTAATCAACCATCGACTACCAAACAGGGTTCGTTGGATGACAAGCAAGCGTAGAGGTAACTGTAGTGCATGCTTCCTGATCAGCCATAATGCCTGCGGTAGTGGCACCTGCTCAGAGGTCCGACATGCACCAATAGTCCTCGGGGAATCGATATTCATGCTCTTAAAACGAACTAAAATGCTCCACGGCGGGGTAGGCCAGGTCACAGACGAGTGTAGATCACGCTTCACGACCTTGAGGGGGGAACATGGGTCGAGATGCTGGAGAGGAGACCGCAGTGTTACGTGCATGAACGCCTTCGTTCAAGTATTATATCAAATCTTGGTTCGCCTGTGGTCGACGTCGAGGACATGGTATGTGAAATATGAAAAAAGGTCCATTACAGTAAGCGCGACGTGTAATAAATGCGAAGTTTAGGTATAAAGTAGTGGACGAACGACAATGGTAAACCATCAACTCCCCCTTCCGAAAGTGACTTGTTTCCAAATTTCTCTCCTAGCCCTCTCCTTCTCCTTCAGAGCTGCACCTTCCCCGAGGACGGATTTGTTCTCAGTTGCCCGGCGGCTAAGGTACGGCATCACCTGCAGAAAATGATACAGATTAAGGTTGGTAAGTCACCACCAAGGACTTGAATAAACGAACCTCAGCAAGCGCACCATAGGGCAGATACCTACGAGTAACCCCAACACACAATCAGCAACCCTCAAACTCATGGAAAAAATGCAAAAGAAAACGCACTTGACAACAAACGGCGTCCTCGACTCTGTCCGTCTGACTACCCAATCCGTCAGGTCATCACACATTCCTAAAATCACAAAATCAGCCTCACCCCTCTCAAAAGAAAGAGCAAAAAACCCACCATAAAGCTGCGCAACAGCAACCCTATCAACAACCTCTTCTTCCAAGCTCGCAACCCCTCCCTCTTCCCGCCGAGTAGCCAGTCCAGCATCAACAAGCTCGTCCAAAACTAACCGACAGCTGTCCCAATTATGGGTCCCAAATAGAACACCAATGTTCGCCCTCTTTGTTGAAGGTTTTGTTGGGTCCCGAGGCCACAACGACTTCAGCCACCCTTTCCCTTCGATACACCGAGCACCAGCCCGAGAGCGGGAAATATCGTCTCTAACGGCTCCAACGAGGACTCGTACACATTCATTATACGCATCGTCCGTCTCCTTCTTCTCGCTCCACACTGGTGGCACGAGGTCGGGAGATATTGACAGAGATCGAGACGTCAAGGTGCTGCCGTTCAAGGTTTTGCTGCCGTTCGATTTTTTCTTGTAAAATGCGTCGACCTCGCAAGGATGATACGCCCCACGTACGAGCTTTACGCCCAGTGCGTAGTTATGCTTGCGTGCGTCCGCAAGTGCAAGTTTGACGTGGGCAGGAGTTCTGTAGATACAATAGCATTAGTACTGGCAAAAAAGGACTGGATAAAGATCAAAGAAAATAAACAAATCCCTTGCACAACAATTCGATTCACAACTGCGAAAAAGGAAACAATGAAAGCAAAGTAAAAGGACACCAACCTCCGAAGATAAGCCTGGAAAGTGCCATACACAAGCGGCTGCTGTGGACTCGTCTTCTCCGTATCAATAGCGTTGAACCGACGCATAAGAGACAACGTCAGGGCATCGATGGCCGGCTGGTACCAACTAGATTTCAAGACCCATTAACTAAACCCCCAAAAATCAAAGGAAAACGAACCTATACTCAGCATCAATCTGCACCCTCACACCCCTCTCCTCCGCCCTCGTACATATCCTGACTAGATCATCGTGAAGCTCCTTGAGTTCCCGCACGTCCTCCGGTTCTAGCCCCACTCCCGGAAAAGGCGAGAGCACCACATCCAAATCTCCTGATCTCGGACACCCGGGAAATGGGATGCCCGCCTCCGGGGTATCTTTCTGCAGGCGTAGCCGTGCGTTGGTAATGTACTCTGACAAATTGATAAGTGCATGTGCATTCGGCAACAAAGCGGTCATCTTCACAGCGACCCACGTCCGCCTCCCCATCTGTGGCCGGGTGGTCAACCCCAGATCAGGCTGAAGAGAGTCCTCAAAATCGGCAGCGGCATCGATAGCTGTGATCATCTCATTCACTAAACGTTTATGCGGCGAGGTCGTGGGGTGAGTCTCGTCGACTTCCACAGCGTAATTTAGCAAGACGCCTTTATTGGCGTTACGCAATGCGCGTAGAATGGGAAGAGTGCCTGCCGCCGTGTCCCCGCCCACGAACTACGCGGGTATGAGTTTCCCAAGTTATGTTTAACGCTTGACACGCACCTGATTGAAGAAAGTGACTCTAACAAACGCATGGGCGGCTTCTCTAAGTCCAGGAACAGCATTGAACGTGTCTAAGATCCTTGGCGACGCATCTACGAGTGCAGGAATGGAACACATCGAGTAGACCACGTAAGAGCGTAGCAGGGCTGAGATGGGTGGTCGGAGGGGGTCATCACGGTGAGAATTTGAGTTGAGGAATAGGTATAACGGCGAGGAGAGAGCAAAGGCTGTAAGGAGGCGACGGTGGTGGATGGGCATGGGTAAGGATGCAAGGAGTATCGGAGGACATAGTTATATACTGGTAGGAGCAAGTCGGATCTTGACTTCGACCAAAGTTTAGTGGCGGATCTCAGCAAAAAGAGTCCGGACCGGCTTTTCCACCTTCAACCAACTTGAAGTTCACGCTACTGAACGAATTTGAATTGGCACGGCGGCGACCTTTACCCAGGTGCTATTTGAAGAACTTGAAGCACTTACACGACAACCCCCGTATCTCTAGTCGTGTGCATGCTGTCAGCAAGTCTGCCTCATTTCGAGCTCTAGCTACAATAATCAACGCTCATGTCGTCGACAGCACTATCCGGTTCTCAGCGTGAGCCAGGCATGCTCAATGATTCACATTTCTACGACATCAACGGTGGAAGCTTCTACAACACTGCCGGCGATGCTCACATCTACAACGCGATAAAGTCTTCCTCAAATGTGAGTTTTCTACGGAGGTTATTATTCTGATATTTACTCGATATCTTACCTTAGAACTCGGGGATTTTTACGAATTTGTCCCAACTTGTCGTTCAAAGGAGCGCTTTCCACAGCCCAGATGTCACCCGGTCACTAGGCAGAAAATTCTGCAAAAAGATTCTTCAACTGGGCCGAAAGCGATTCGGCGGAGAGGATACTCTGGCTTTCTGGCGTACCTGGCGCTGGCAAGTCGGCGATTGCGCAGACCATTGCAAAGCGCTGCAAGTAAAACACCACGGTATGCTGCGAGCAGAAGGTCCGCCTCGCTGCCACTTTTTTCCCCTTTGCAGCAGCTCCGAACGAAGCACAAACGCACGTCTCGTCGCCACGCTTGCCTATGAGTTCACTCTTTTCGTTCCCGGTGAAAAAGAATTCACTACAAGGACGAACTTGGATGACCCTGCTATCGTCCCCTTGCACTCGCTGCCCGGGGGTGGATTTCGATGTAGCACCTCCAGATCATCATTGACGTACTGGATGAATGCGTCGATGAGATAGAGCGATTAGATGTCTTGAGCGCAATCAGCAATGCCCTCACGATGAGCGACTTCCCTTGCGCTTCTTCATGAATTTACCAAGAGAACTGCATACGCGAAACACCATGGCCTGCAGAAGATGACATTCAAGCTATCGCCAAGAGAGCAGGTCGCATCAAGTTTCTTGACGGTCGACATTTATAGCCTCAAGAAATTGGCATGGTCCAAGAGATTTTGCTCCACGGAACGTTTCCGCCATTTGCAGAAATCAACTTTCTATATACTCAATTTATGCAGTACCGATGTCTGAAGTCGAGCCAATTCTTTTCCCCATCACTCTCCTCCACTTCCCCGTCCAACGCTACACCCCACCAACTAATGCAGCGTTTCAGACATCACAGAATTCAAAGTCTGATCCAGACGTTCTATCCCCCTCGTCAACGATTCCCCGTTGCAGCCTGCGCTGTTTCCCTCACTCTAGTTCCTGCGATCATCATCGCAGCCGGTATCATGTCTCTCAAGCACAAGCAAAAGCTAAAAGCTGACTGACCACCCCCCTGGCGCTGTGGATGTCAACTTGGACTCAAGCAAAAATGAGCAGTTTCGTATCGGCTCAGCAAGTTGGGCATCCATTGAAAATGCTTTCACGAAACGAGCTGGGCTATTTTGGGGCTCCAAAAGTCTTGGTGCTTGTACCGTTATTCATTCCTATCGACTATCGACGGGAGTGTGAATCACGAAGCTCGACTTTGAGGCACACGTACCCTTCTTCATACGGTTGGGATATGGAGAGCATGCACATGACGCCAAATTATGCCCGCTCGTGGACGGCGAATCATTTTCAAGGCAGATGTCGGATCCCGAGGCAGATGTCGAATCACCCGAGACAGCCATCGAATCCCTCAATTTCGAGGAATTATGAGCCATTACAACAACCTCATTCGCGGCTTCATATGCCACCGAAGGACTTGTCAGCGCCACTTTTTTTACGCTCATTCAACATTTGACAAGCCAAGACATTTGGATCTTGCCTGATAATTGTACGTATAACCAGCACTCCAATTCCAAGGCTAAACATCCACAACTTCTTTACCTATTCCTAGATCACGGACGCCGATCTATTTCATCGACATTCCAATGGGTCATGGCGTTCTCCCTTGGGTACCAACCAGGCGAGCTTTCGACGCTTAAAAGATAGTCAGTGGTATGAGATTCATTATTTAACCACTCAGTCAACATTGGAGACTTACGCTGTATTGAGGGCCTGCATACCCTCTTCGACAATGTCGTCGCAGCATCCGAGGCGGCCGTTCTGATACTGTTCAGCTGCTTCACGGAACTTCTTCAGTGCAATCTCTGCATGGTTAATGGATACATCCCACTTCTCCGCATCTTCTTCTGCGTAATCGAATTTACCGAAAGCAAATTGCAAGCCCCGACTTGCTTTCATGCTGTCAATAAAGCCCAAAAGTAGCAAGTCAAAAATAATATCGCAGATGCCGCGCAGAGATTTCGAAAACATGAAAGGGTCCACGTCTGGCTGGTACAAGCCATATACCTCAGTTTGCGAATTCTTCCTAGCTTCGGCGCCCACGAAGAAAGATCGCGATGCGCCTTCAAACTTGATGAACCTGACGGTAGGCACCTTGGACTGGTTCAAGTAAGGGTTGCAAAGGATGGCGTAAATAGGTATGGTTGAACGGCCAGCCTGGCCTGGGCCGTGAGCGTTCCTCGAGTGTAACTCTAGTGTTGCAATAGTGGGATATTGAGCCATGTCTCTGATTTTGGGAACTCACTGACCACTGCAATCAAGGACAATTTCAGCAATTGCATCCAGCTTAGCGAGATCTGATCCTGTTGGTAATTGGATCTCTTCGTGAAGGATGGGGAAGAACAGGAATGCTTGGTAGGAATATTTGAATTTGCTCATGGTCCCCTCGACTACGTGTGCTTGTGTAGTAGTCCGATAAAGCGATTGAAATTTCGCCAACAGGTGATTGAAAATCTGCGAAAAGGCGCTCCTGTAATTCGCAAGATGGCTCCGAACGTTCTACTCACGGGGGCAAGGGAGGCATAACTTTTATATCCCAAGTGCAATGGGTGGTGTGAATTACGCTGGTACTGGACCTTTACGAGGTCTATCTCATGAGCAATGGAGTTGAACGAAGATGTTGGGATCCGAGAACGCCGTAGAGGAAAGTTTTCAATAGGGGCCTTTGACAATGGTAGGCATGGGTCGAAATGCTTGTCAGCGATCATATGAGAAAGGCTTTCCCATCTCGTCCAGTCGAAAGATAAAGCTGGCCTCCTCAACAAGCAGGCTAGTGTTTTATGACTTCTATCTCCCTTGGCATATTTTAGGGCGGCACGACTGAAATCGCTATTTGCGGCCACAGGGATGTCAAAAGTGTCGAAAGAATGCCGACGGCTGATAGTATTTGACGAAGAAAAGGAACGAGCCACAGCTCCCCAACAATGACTTCCAACTTTGTCAGGAGGGAAAGCAGCCTGGCGATTGACATGGTCATACTGGTACGGCGATTGCGAAGTAAGGAAGGCTGCTCGCCTGAATGACTGATGTTGGAACGAAACGCAATCCAGGGTAAATAGTCAGCATTGCGCAGATTATAGCCCTGTGTGACCCAGTGCAAGTTCAATGCACAAAAGCGCCAGTCCGTAGCCCTCCATCTGAGACCTGACGCCTGACGCCTGAGACCTTCAAGTTGCTGAGATTTTGTCGACTCTCAAGGGGTGCCAATTTTCAAGTTGTAACATGGTACGTTTGTGTCCCTTTGTGTCGACGTACTTTTGTGTTTTGATTGTAGAAGCTCCCCCATTACTTTAAGCGCGGTGGACTAGCTTTCGTCAATCGCTCAGGTTCACAACGGCGTAAGTTTATATCTCCCCTTAGACTCAACCATGCACTAGGTCGCTGGCTTTTCACCAACGAGTCTGGTTTCAAGTTTCCGCAAAAACCGCAACCAGGGAAAGGTGTGTAATGTGAACCTTGACATCGGCGCTACGTAGTGCTTGATTTTTTAGTGAAGGCAAGGCCACCAGAGATCTCCCCTTTTTGGCCCATGAAATGGGATGCGAACGATGGTCGACTGGCCGATGACAAGAGCCTTCCACACTATCCTATAGATCAGCCTGATCATATCGAAAAATTTCATCTACACCGTTCCCGGATCCCCACATCTCTGTTCAAGTCTATTGTCCGCGACATGGATATCGTCAGCGTTCAATATCCCTTTGACAGTTGCTACAATACAGACTACAATTACTATACTCCGGAAGCTGCAAGAGCTGAGTGCCTTGCCCCAGTGCGTGAGACACAGGAAACTTTTTTCTTACAAGGTTAAGAGCATCTTTTGCTTTAGATCTTCAATAACTTGTTGGCCGCATTTCAATCTGTTTATCAGGCCTCCGGACAAGCATTCGCGACGGGACAGAGCGGAGCAGGGAAATACGCATACGCGTATCAGGCGTTTTTTTATTATCCAATTCTTTTTGAACAAATTCAGATGCTCGCTCAGGATCCATTGGAGATGGAGGACGATAAAATTGATGCGATCGCTGAGATTGTCAGGGATTGTGACCGTCAGTCGATTGCATATATCTGATCAGCGCTAATTTGAATCTTGAACATCTAAGTACAGATTTGCATCAGAGAAATGCTCGTAGTCAACCCGACCTTCCTGTTCCTTCCATTTACGCCATTCTTCACAATGGTTTCCAGGACCACTCAAAGCTACCAACTTTTAGCTTCGTCAAGTTCGACTGCACATCATCTACTTACACTATCGGTGAAGACAAGAACTCGCGGCAGCGTGAGTACCCATTGTGTCAAGCATTGGTCGATCCCCTTGTATTCATGAAGAACCTTCGTGACATCTGCGACCTCATTTTTGACGTCTTAATTCTGGGGTTCATTGAAACCCTCAAGGCAAGTAAGGGCTTCAGGCCTTTTTTCTCTCCTCATGATTTCGCGGATGAGGACGAGGAGAGGTGGAATGTGCCTCGGAGACATGCAGAGACTGCTCTCAAGAGGCTCCGTAGCGCAGATGCACAACGTCGAAGTGGCCACACTGGGTACTGTGATGAAATGGTGGAGGAGGGTATGCAGGCCCTGAAGATGGCGTACGTTTATGCTTTGCATGGGTTACCTGAAACTCATTGACGCAGCGTGGAAAGCTCTCCTGAGTGCTACCCCGAAGAACGCGCCATGCTTTATTGACGGTACAGTTCAAGGGTATTCCGTCGTCACGGATTGAACGTACGTCAAAACATCATCTGCGTTTTTGCAGCTGAGAGGATGATAAGTAGCTGATCTCAACTTGTCAACAGGCAGATTCGATTCATAGGGGGTGATTCACACCATTCTAACTCCGTATTGTTGCTCTTTGAGTGCGAATCAAAATCAACTACGTGTTATATCACGATGCCGACAGCTACCAATGTGGCTGCCATCCTCAACTTCTAGGTCTATTCCTCTGACGCAGTTGTGGCTTTTGAAGTTCATGGGACACTATTTTGTTGACGTGTACATCAATAGACACCTACAATCAATGGCCGCATTGCCAGCGCAGGCCATGGTGCCATGTCTGGAACCAATTTTAAAAAGAATCAAAAATCAAAAACTCCATATCTTGTGCACTATAAATTATGTTATTTTAAAGGGTGGCTTAGCTCAACGGAAAGATCTGATTAAGACTGATAATGTATTGCAAGGTCTTTGGTTCAATTGCTGCAGGCTGCAATTTCTTTTCTCAAAAATATATTTGCTCTGACTTCTTCTTACTCTCCTATTTGCATATTTATGCACCAAAAATCTCACACCACCACTTAGAAATTTATAAACACCAGAAAGTATGGATATAAGTAACTCAAACCAATAGATTGGGAAAGAATTCATGAGAATTGACATTTTCCCCTTCCACCTCTTCCTGCACATGCATACATCTGATCCTCTCTTGCAGAATCAATGCAGGCCATGCACCTCCTTTTTCTTGAAGTAGAACTGGATAATCCTAGTTGTGCTTTCTACTGTAAAAATTTACCTTGTGCATTTTGGCCAAAAGAAATAGGAGAAATTCTCTGCTGAAGGCTCCTCTGGGTGTAAACTTAGAGGTTTTACCCAACATATATAACCATGCCTGAGGACATGGATGCCAAGGAAACTGATGCAATACCTGTTGCTGAGAGTGCAGACATATTTACTTCGATCCAAATTTTCATTCCCCAGTAGTAATGCCGCGTTATTTAGCTGGTAAATTTTTGTTTTGCTTATAGAGAGCGTAATTATTATTCGAACTTTACGTTCTTGGACTCTCCAGATAGATAGGAAGTAGGTCTAAATTATAAAAAAAAAGAACGTAAAAAAGCATTGCGTTTTCGTTGAGCTATTTACGTTTAGCTGGTCGCCAAGTCGCAGCTCAAATGAGCCGGCTTTTTTTCAAAGCTGGTTGAATCTCTCAATGAAATCTCGGTCGTCCTTGGCGATCTTTTTTTTAAAATTTAGATCTACTTCCCATCTACTCGGAAGATCTGAGAACGTAAAATTCGAGTGAAAACTACGCTCTGTATAAACGAAACAAAAAATAAGCCGTTAAAAAAACGCGGCAACACTATTCCCCAGGGCTGTTAGTGATGTTGATTCCCCATACTCTCATTATAAATGTATAAAAATGGTTCAAGAACTCTGCAGCATAGCTTGGTGCTTGAATCCTCTGCTAGATTTTCCTCCTTTTATCTATTCTTTTTTTTTAGTTGATTTATGGTAAAAAATTCAAAGTGCTCATGCATTTTATAAAAATTATTCTTACAATTGGCCTTTCCTGATAACAGGGAGCCATAGCTTTGAAATTAGGATCCTGAGTAGGTGAGAACCAGACACCATGGAGGGTTACAGATGTTTCTTCCATTTACTTTTTATTTGTGATCTGGCATCTCCTGCTTTGTGCTCTTCCTCAATATGAGTACCTCTGCAATGGCCTAATTTTTTAGTGCTACTTTGCATGTTCGACAACGGAAATTGGTGCAGTAACAAGCAAGATACATGTTGAGCATGCAGAATTAGTATTAGTAATCGTGTGACCCAAGCAAGATGTCACATGTAAAAGATGCCTAATTCGTTCACAATAAGCCGGATATAGGCATAAATTCTGAAATGGAAGGTAGGGTCTGATGGGACTACCGCTTTGAGAATTATGTCCAAATCGGGCATCTTTTTGGTTCCAGACATGGCACCATGGCCCCAGCGCATACGAGTATCTGCTTGTAATTTTCAATCTCTGAAATGAACATAAGGTGTAACTTACTAGGCCACGGGAGTGATTATCTAAGTGAGTGCTGCGACACTGCCTGACTGATTTGGACGAATCTGGCTGATTTACTAAATGCGGAATTGACCCATTTGGGTTGCTGATGGTACAAGGTCGGGGGCAAGAGGTGGCAGATCCACCGATCCAGGACGTGTTCACAGCCCTGAACAGGTTGTTTCCGAGGCTGGCGGAGCTTCAATGTTGTGTTCGGCTTGATCGACAACATATACAGCATGTGGTCAAATAAATGCATTTGAATGAGATATGAGCTACTCCGGGGCGAAGTAAGTAAAGGAATAACAAATGGAGGGTGTGGAGAATTGTGTTGAGGCTGGAATGGGACTTGCGGTTAATGCAAGGGGAGCTATTTCGGTGATCATCGTGGTTATTGGTTTGTCGAGCGCTGTCGTCCTCCGACATTCGCATAGATAATCCTACCACGTTTGCTCTCATCTTTAATGAACACTTGCGGGCACAGCACACGGTCCTGTCGTGTGGTGATTGCTCTGTTGAGGGTTGCTCTTGTTGATCACAGGATTGGCCCAGGGAGCACATAGATGTTAAGGTATAAACATTGATAAATGGGAGAGGAATATGTAACACTATTTAAAGATTCAGGTGCCAATAACGAGAGGGAAATGGTATTGTCAACGCGTTGTTGATAAAGGCGTCGAGATAGTGAGATAGTGGTGTGGTTAATGAGAGTTGACTGCCGCCAACTCGCCCTTGTTGAAAAGCACAGTTGAAGTTCCGAACATCACGTGTCCTATCCGTATTTGGGCAGACCCCTCCCCCCGTCAGCCGTGAGAACGATGTCCGGGATCGGTGGATCTGCCACCTCTTGGGAGTGGCCACACAGGGTAATGGTTGAGGAGGGTATGCAGGCCCTGAAGATGGCGTACGTTTATGGTTTGCATGGTTACCTGAAACTCATCGACGCAGCGTGGAAAGCTCTCCTGAGTGCTACCGCGAAGAACGCGCCATGCTTTATTGAGGGTACAGTTCAAGGGTAATCTCAGTCCAAGGTGAGTCACGGATTGAACGTACGTCAAAACATCGTCTGCCTTTTTTGTAGCCGAGAGGATGATGAGTAGTTGATTCAAGTTGTCAACAGGCAGATTCCGTTCATAAGAGGTGATTCCCACTACTATACCTCCGTATTGTTGCTTTTGGGTGTGAATCAAAATAATCATGTAAAACCCATTGGTTCCAGAAATGACCATCTTGCGTGAAAGTACGTGTTAAATCACGATGCCGACAGCTACCAATGTGGCTGTATTCCTCAACTTCTAGGTCTATTCCTCTGACATAGTTGTGGCGTTTGAAGTTCATGGGATACTATTTTCTTGATGATTTTGACGTGTACATCTACAATCCATGCCCCCATTGCCAGCGCATACGAGTATCTGCTTGAAATTTTTCCATCTCTGAAATGTACGTAAGGTGTAACTTACTAGGCCACACCGCTTGTGGACTGTGCTCGAATACTCTCGTCAGGTTTGGCACCCCTAGATGCGATGGTTAATTGGTTCGGGACAGATAAATCCGCATGATTCAAATCTTCATCATTTTGAAAGGACACTTGTCGCTCTTCATATTCAGTTGAAGGCCTTCCTGGGCAGCTAAGTGTGCAAAATGAATGATCAAGCGGTCGTCTCGAAAACTTGGATCTCACCTACGGATGAGACCATAGAAGGCGGCTTCTGCCATAGCATCTCCCTGTTCATCAAGTCCCTTGTCACACAGAATGTCTGCCCGTCCTGTCTGGGTAAGCACATCCTCGATCAATGATTTCAAAATTTCTGATTCCTCCATGGGAATGCCTTGTTCTAACCTATCGTTTTTGTCCAGAGTCCAGATATAACTTTGAATGAGGAAGCGGTAGAAGCATTCCACAACGATACGGATGTTATCGATGGTGGGGGGCCAATATGGCACTTGGGACACCATCGGGCGATTTTGGGGCGGAAGCCGTCCCTTTCGGAATTTGTAGGTATCATTGGGGTCGTAATACACAAAGTGGAATGTGTCGTCAAAGCAAAAAATGATGATAATTGGTGTCTCCACACCTAGAAAACGATTGTGCTCAAAGACACCTTCAGCAGAAGAGCTTTAGCAACGAATAATACCCAGTGAAGCTCAACTGACCTTCTGCTTCACGCAAGAGCTTTCCAAAGTTGTCCTCATCGCGGAGCGTAAATTGCGTGAACTCAATGACCATGGTCGTATACGCATCTCGAGGGTCATTTGCATAACACCTCACTTTTCCGCGTGAGTAGGAAGGATCGCCAAGGTGAAAATCCTGTGGCCTGGAATGTAACACTGGTTCAAACAAAACAAGCATTCGATGGAAGGCCTGTAGGCAATGTGAGTACGGTACATCTGGGATATTGATTTCTTACGGCCTTCCATAGATTGCAGATGGCGTTCTTACGCTTGAAATTGAGAGGCTTACTGTGAGCCGTAAGGAGTAGCTTGTCAAGATCGGAAATTATGAAGGCTGGAAGTCTGCTCGGCCTAAAGAGGAATCGACCAACTTTCGCAACGTCGTCCTCATCTGGCACATCTAAAGGAGGCAGAAACCTTTTCATTTTGGGCAAGCGTGTCGTTGTCGCTGTAGATGATGTCTAAGATATGATGACCTAGGCGTCACTGACCTTGACGAATATTCAAGAAGAGGTACTCACAGAGCAAAAGCCTCGGTCAAACTCAGACGGCGACACAAAACCTTCACGATGCTTCTTGGGGAGTCCACAATTTTGTCTCACAGCTAGAGTCCCCATTTCTCTTCTATGAGTGGAGGGGAACGCATCCGTTTCCTCTCTGACCTTTGGGGTCCGAAGCCAGGACCCATCCTTGTGAAAAGCGGTGTTCAAGGACGGAGGAGAACAAACAAAGGCTTTGGAGTTTGGTTTGAAGTTCTTCAGGCTACGTTTAGACGTTGGGACTTGACTTGAACCAACCAATCGCACAAGGAAAGGCCTTTGCCCCACCGCCGGGATATGAATGTTAGTCAAGTGGGAGGCCTGGCGGACGACCAATAATGAATGTTTGACATTTGTCGACATGAGGTTTAGAAAGGAAAAAATGGGTATATACCCAACGATCGCGATGTCCAGCGAAGGAGAAACATTCGTATTCCAGCAAGATGCAAATGCTAGACACCTCTCCAAATCCTCGCTCTGCACAAACAAACACATATGGTGCAGTGCTTGCATTCCGCGGTGATTTCATGGCATTTGGGCATACGAAGCCGTGCTTTTTGAAAGAAGTGATTGAAATTCTCAGTACTACAACTACGACAAAACGAAGGGTATAGACAATATAATAAACAAGTCAAGGTTCAAGCAATACATGTGCCAGATTCATACACATCTGCTTCACCTTCCTCTCCTTTGCCACCTTCTCTACTAAAGCTCTTGTGAGCACCATCCCAGTCCCCCCCTTTCTTTTCTCGAGCAACCCACACTCATTCAACGCGAAGGCTGCGTCTTCCACCCGCAGATTCGTGGCACGGGCAATGTCAGCCAAGGTGCATTGAACGAGGATGTGCGTCACCGCAGCACCGTCTTCTTGCATGGACGTTTCGAACAAGCGGTCCGTTGTGAATAGTGGATCTGCATCTGACTTGTCAATCGAACGATCAAGAACAATGAGTCGGTGGGAAGTCGGCGTACCGGTCATGAAGGTCAAGGGATACATGCCCAAACCAGGATCTGTATCTCGTTCTCCATCGAAACCTTTGGCTCGCTTTTTGCGTTTGGGCAGGTTGTTACCATTATTGTTGCCATTTGTGTTTTCATCCGCTTCGCTAGCGAGAGCTTTGGCTACGTCCGGGAACACGCCGACGCTCTTTAGCTGTGCTGGTGCTTCTGGAGGAAGTACAGACAAAACACGTCTGCGAATGTCAGAGAGAACTACACAGGTCGTGGAAGAAAGCGAATCTTACCGGAAAAATCGTATGAGGGTGGCTACCCAGTATGCCAAGTAGCTCCGTAGTCCGAGGTCAGACAGCGGACGCTCAGGTGTGCCTGCCTTGCCCGCTCGTCGAGACAGTTCATAACCTGTGCTCGTTAGCGGGGTGGAGAGGGATTCACCACGTACACATACTGAATTCGATCATGAGCATCCCATAACCCATGCGTTGGTATTGCGGAAGAGTCATTATGCACGCTAAATTGTATTCATCGAAGGAGTGTTTCTCCTGAGTACACTGTCAGATGGCTGTGCCAAGAATCATGGAGTAACACACTTTGGAGAAGAAACCCAGAATATGGTCAGTCGATGGAGTGGCGTCGGTCAGAATGTAGAAGAGGACTCCATTGAACGGTAAGATTTCGTTCCAGGCGAAAGAGCGGGGCTGTCTCACAATTGTCACAATCGAAAAACAATGTCTTCACGTCGATGAAGAGTTTCCCAAACAGGGATAAATTTTGACAGTAAAGCTAGGGAAACGATGAGAACCACAAGATGATCAACAATGAAATGATTTTACCTTGTCTTTGGCACCATCAACTTCCCATATGGTATGGGCACCCCGCTGATAGACCTTTCTGCCAGGAGGGTGCTTACGAGTGCAAACTTTCTAGCAAGACACGTCATAAGGTAGGGAAGTGCTGCGAACCAAGGCATTACTTACTTTATGAATCTCCAAAGTGAGCGCATCGGCCATGTACTTGAAGCACATGTCACAAACCCAGAGGTTCGCCTTCTCGCCTCCGTGCCGCTGCAATCCTCCTGCCAGCATATCTGACGTCCGACCATGCGATCGGGCAGTGGTTCGAGCCACCCCTGGAATCCTGGGATGAGAATTAGTCACATTGGCGTTTGTCGCAATCTCTTCGATCTCCGTCTCCAAGAGAGGATAAGGCGAAAAGTACCTAAGTAATCACAAAATTCAATTGATCCCGTGTGACGATTTGATATAGTAGAGCACTCACCATGTTTTAATTTGGTAGTCTCCGAAGTTCACGAAATCGAAATTTCTTTGCGCCGTTATTTGCTTGTGATGTTGGATATCATAGTCTTCTTCCGTCATGACAATCTCTTTCGGTTCTTCATTGACGCCATTTTCGAGCGGCATTGTAGACCCATCCCGCCCACCAGTCGAGGAGGAGGTGCCGGGGCTTGGAGACTCGGCTTGCCGGCCGCGTTTTCTTTTTCTTCCACTTTGCCGTGGTTGTTTTGACTCTAGCTGTTCTTCCATACACGCGTCTTCCGAAACCCATTCATCCATACGCTTATCGGTGTCGAAGTAGTGAACGTAAACCTTGCCATCCCCTCTTTTCAGGATGTGGGCCTGTCCTGTTTCCTGTCAGGCCTAGCCACAAACTGAGAAATTCAAGGAAGGTACCCACTATCTTCGCCGTCCTTTGTGACTCGGTAAACGCGTAGATCGTTGGTTAGAGGCACATTGTGTGTTGGAGGCATTTAGTGATATTTTTGTGTTGCTTGTATACTTTACTGGGTGGGAGTTAACTGGAGGAGGGCGGGCTATTTATTGAAAGTCAGTTGCGGAGAACGGTGTCAAAGAATGGAAAATGATGCTAGATGCGCGTAGACCAGCGTGTCCAATGAGAGGCACCAAGGAGGGTTGCTCGCTGTCAACGTCCGAAACAATCCGCTTGGACCACGATCGGCAACCAAACAAGTAACCGTCAACATTCGCGCACATTCATTGACTCGGAGCAGACCAACTGTTCGCAGCTTTTTAATGCCATCGTGTCAAGTCTGCTCCTGGTTCTACCCAGCATCAATGAGCTCCTGTTGATTCTTAGGTATGACCTCGTTCTGTATTGTCAAAACGAGAACTAATGGCACTTGTGGGTAGCGGCAGGAGAAAATGCATATACACCCAACGAGACAGTAAGGAAGGCGATGTCTAACACTAGGATCGTTGCATGAACAATCTACTACCACAGCGCTGAACGAATAGAAACGGGCAAGAGTCAAGCAGAACAGGACGGTGTTTATGAGAGGCCGAGATCGAAGGTTCTTCGCACTCGAACCATACGATTTGGGTCGCAAGTACCCAGTAAGACGCCAAGTAGTGCCTTGAGGCCCACGTATAGGGCTTCCAACCCGTGGATGGAGGCTCCCAGGCGGTCGGGGAGGCGGTAGCGTCATCCCAGGCAGAAAATTTGGCTCTTAACGGGACCATGTTTCCGACGATACACCCCTCAGCAGCCCCCATGCCCCCCCTCAAAGAACGCGTGGTCGGAAGTCGAGATGGGCGAAAAGCAGGGACATAGTTGAGTAGTTGCTAAAAAGGCCAATAGTTGCTCGAGTTTGAGAAGCGTATCTCAAGTAGACATGTAGCGGATCTGATCACCATCGATACCGTAAGGGAGACACCTTAAGTAACCCCAGTCCAAAAGTCCGTTGAGTCGAGGTGAATAAGCATCTAAAGTTTAAGTTCAGGCAGTGTAGTATACACAACGACAGTTTGCTCACATTCGTCCGCATTGAGATCCGTATGGGAAAGAGAAAGTGGAATTTTGAGGTGACCTCTTCGACGCTTCGAAGCAGTCCAAGTCTGTCTGATGGAGTGTTTTCGCGCAAACACGTTTTGAAGGCGCGGGATAATAATGTCGCATTCAACGACCTTCGATGAGTTGGGCCTGGGTACAACGAGATAACGCCTCTCCAAAATCAACGATCACAACGTCGTTCCCCTTAACCAAGCTCCTGGAGCTGAATTCCACATTGTCCCGTTGGTAGAGTTCATCAATGGGAGGACAACTTCAAAGGTATCCGTGCTCTCGTTCTCGATAGTTGGAACGGGGGCTCCCAATTTCTCTGGCAACGAGCTCAGGGGACAAGCGCGTATTCTGGCGAAAAAGAAGGGTCGTACGGCGTGCTAACTCATAGGGTGACCAGTCTAGAGGAGTGTCTCAAAACTGGACGATGACTTCGGACTGATCTTCGAGTTTGACGACGTAGGAACAGCCTTGCTCTTCGTGCAAGTGGTTTCAACGGTTGAACATTGTCAAGTAATCGGGTGGATTGGGTCCCTTTGAGACTTTTATTACAAGTTAAGTACACATACTGACGACAATGGGGAATGAGACCTTGAAACGAGGTTCTGGCATAAGATGTTATGCCCCAGGTTGCCTTTGACGAAGCTGTAAATTTTGCAGTTGGTCTCGCAAAAGATCTCCAGACGAGCCATCATTAGCCAAAACGTTCGTCGTCTCCATCTCCTCGATAAGCAAATCCACATACCGGGCAGCACCTGACATATGAGCCACTCGGCAAATAGTTGCGTGCAGCCGAAGATATCTGGGGTCAGGAAGCTCCAAATCGGTGGTGGTTCCAAAAGTAACAACGCGATTGAGAGACGTGGGAAACAAGGTTTTGACAGTATAAGTGTTGGGTTGGCCCTGAGTCAGGTGAAGGAAGGGTACATCGTTATGATCAGTATACATATGTTGAGCATCGTGTTTATTGCCCTCACCGGTATTTCCTCGAACCATAACGAAAGATCATCAAATAACGCGTGAGAGTCCACCGACAAGGTCAATCCGTTTGATAACCTATGGCCCTGGGGCCCATCAAGTTCAGCAAGGCCATCAATGTCTCCGTAGTGGCCAATGAGAGTTGAAACACTTTCAGAGTATAGAGTCTGAGATTTTTATGAAAAATCAAGTTGAAAAACACGAGCACAACAAACCTTAGCATGGCCATGTTCCGCTGGCCTCAGATTCCAGTTCGTTGATGGTGGAAAGATGTGGCAAAAGTTGGTATTTCGAAGGTCCCTACCAACCAAACCGAATGTTTGTCTTTCAGCCATGGTCATCTCACCGTACTGCTTTATGTCGGCTACGTCTGTAATGAGGCAGCAATAATTATCACGTATCAGGGCCTTTGAAAAGTCATTCAGAAACGCAAAATGAAAGGAGTAGTGAAACTCACGGAACGCTTGGCTGTTCTATGGTCTCGTGGTGCAGGTTCGACTGCGGCACCAAAAAAGGCCCTAGGTTCCTCAAAGGATGGCCGACTAGAATGATCAGAGGGTGCGGGGGTATGCCCTTTTGCCTGCCTAACTGGAAAAAGCGTGACAGCTGAGCGCTGATGCATATACTACATCATTATATAGAGAAAACTCACACAGTCGGACGACATGGTCAATACATAACTTGGCCAATGCATCCATTCGGGCAGAGTCAGCTTCACATCCAAGGACTTCTTTGGCGATGGTGTTTCTGGAGTTGTCGTCGGGAGCTTCTGAAATCAGATATCCCAAGCAACGGGCATACATAAGACCCATCGGGTCGTTCTCAGCGTTGGCTTCTGCCTCCCTGAGTAGACATTGTTCATAGGCTTCATGGATCCGCGTCTCGTTTTGATCATAAGGATTTCCAGGAAGAGGCTGTTCCTGGGGAAAAGGCAACTGTACGACTAGCGGGCCTGGGATGGGTGCTGCCATCGGCAATGATATTGAGGTCGGAAGTCAGGGTGGCAACTTACAAAACCGTGACAGTCGCGAAGACTCCACTAGACTCCACGAGAGGTGCAAGACATGTACAATGGTGCAAAAACTTTGCAGAACTGGAGAATCCAAGGAGAATCGAGGGTAAGTATTACAATGGTGCCGTATTTCAATGATATTAATTTGCTAGACCGATTTTAATACCACTCCGAGCAGGGACCATGATTGAAGGGGGTGATCTATCGCAGAGGAGGTACTTACATGTAAGAGGAACTGGTATCATTTAAGCTGCCAGTATTGAAGATTCTCGCGATGGCCGGGTCCAAACACCAACGGTCAGTGGCCTAACAATATTGAATTCGGACCACCATTGATTCTTTCCCATGAACCTAGCAGTGTTACTTCAAAGAATCACAACTCTTCGTAATTCTTGGCGCTACACTTCATCTCAATAGCAGTGGGTATGCTCAGGAATGCGTAACGCACAACGGCTCTGTGCTGTGCCAGTCAAGTGGCGGTGGATGTCTATGATCACTCTGTCTCCTGTCTTTAAACTCCATCCCAAATTGCCGCTGACTCTGGCATTTTTCAGGACTAGACGCTTCCATTCAAGTTATTTTCATTTCCTTGGATATCACAATTGGGCGAGTACCTGCGAGTACTAGTAGCGACTTTCTACGAAATTTTGGAACGATCTTAAATGTCGATCTTAGCTTTCACATCCTCTAGCAGCCTCTTGCCGTCCTCGATCTTTATCCATTTCAATAAGAATCGCTACGCCGACAGCGAATGATGGCTCCAGACATTTATCACAGCACATCCGGTGAACAGCTGCAACAAAGCCGCAAACCTCCCGAGCTCTAGAATCTGGTCTGCCATGTGGTCTCGACATATCTGTCAGCTCCTTAGCAAGGTAGCACATTGTTACAAACCAATCCTGTACAGGGTGTACATTTGTTGCAAAGCCTTTCTTGCATTCGATGTTCAAACGAGATCGCGAGATGCCAGAAACGATCCATTAGTCCTGAAGGGTTTTCGACGGCCAAGCGGATTCACGCAAAATGCCATTCGCCGACATTCTCATTTCTTCTTGGCGAATGCGTCGCCAAGACGGTGACCTTCTGTCAATTATTTCTACGGGCTTATAAAGGAAGAACGGGCTCGAGAATAAATCTTCAATCTGATGCTCGTCCTGCAGATCCTCACAGCAGCGCTCACCATCTCCTTCGCAAAGGCGAATCCTCTTGTCGTCGATGTGCGCAACTGGGAGAACCCTACCGCGGATGGAACCTTCGAACGCGGGGAATTGGACATTGCTAGTCCCGCCAGCAATTATGCCGAATACATCCCAAGCCCCACGGAAACCAGTTTAACATATCATTACTACCAAGAACGTGCCACTTGCCTAGATCAATTTGTCTGGTACTGCCAGATTCCCATGGCGGCGTGCATTGCATCCCTGAAAACCATCGTAGGCATTTTCCCCCCGGCAGATTTATTATGTTGCTGAAAGATGTCATTCAGCCATCGCCCGCCACCATGTGGTCTCTCGTACCTTGCGTCATCGCCGCTCTTTGTGGAACCGTATGCAATACACGCGCTTGGTGTGAATTATGCTTAATTTTCACTCTAGGTCACTCTTGTGCTTGGAGCTCTCTGTTGCAACGGCGTCATCCAGAACTGTGCCAGTATCCATACGATTGCTGCGAGTACCCAACCTCTCACCGGTAACGTTATGGCATCGCTAAACGGCGGCCAAGGAAGGAACGCATTCACCAGAGGTTCGTTTATTAACATTATCCCCCCCCCCCCCCCCCCAACTAAAGGGCGATTTTAGCAACGGTCCGGAGCGAGCTTGACAGCTATTTAAAGAGCAAAGGTTCTAAGACTCCCAGGTGAGCCATTTATCATCGGAAACCTGTTTAGTGCGAAAATCTAAGTGCAATTTTCAGTGACAGTGAATTCAACGGAATGTACGACAACTTCTTGACTCGTACTTTCGTGAGCTCTTCATCGCATATGATCTAGCCTTTTTCAACTGACATTTTACCCCGATGTATAGTGTAGCAATGGGCCTGGAGAAGGAGGCCCTAGCTGCCTACCCGCGAGTGTTTCGTTCCAAGCTGTAAGATCACATCTTTTTTGCGTTGAATACGTGATTCTCACCGGCGTTTTCGTTCTTCCAGTTTGATGACTATCTTCATCGTGAATAGATGGTCGGCGTACATTTCGAAGATTCTTGGATGACTTTCTCTCGTTTGCTTATTTCTTATTAGCTATTTGTCCCATATAATGATCTATAGCAACCATATTTCCATCGTCCAACTGGATTTACGCTCCTGTTCGATCCGCATAATCAATCTCTTCTAAACGTAGTATGTTTTTGACGGAAATGAGAACCGCTCGCATATGAGACCAGAAAAAAAAGGAAAGCGATTGGGTGTGGAGTGGAATATTATGTATTGGTTCTTATGCAGATAATTGTAACAATTGAGGCTGGATCGAGTGCGACAGAGAGAGAATATGTCATGGAGGCAATATCTTGAAAAATGCAGAGGAAGAAAGGAATGATTCTTCAACACGCTGTCAAAGAACATGAAACTCTGTAAATCAATCGTTGGGAAAGTCCAAACGTTCTGCTATGGCGTCCAAGGACAATGAAAAATGGGATACGAGTCAAGCAGAACAACCAGGGCAGTGTTTCACGAACGGGCGAATCGAAGGTTCTCCGCTACCACTCCATACGGATTCGGCTGCAGGTACTCAGTGAGACGCCTAGTAGTACCTTGGGGCCCACGTCCAGGACTCTCAACGCGCACATGAAGCCTCTCAGGTGGTCGGGGAGGCGGTACCGTCATCCCAGGCGGAAGGATCGGCGAGGGGACCATATATTCTGACAATACATCACCAGTAACCCCAGTGTCTCCCTCGTCAAAGAACGCCCGGTTGGACGTTGATAGGGGCGGAAGGTAGGGACGTAGCTGAGAGGGAGGTAATTGCTGGAAAGGCCTGTAATTGCTCGAGTTTGAGTGATTCGATGTCTGTCTTGAGTGACTCGATATCTGCCTCAAGTGATTCGACGTCTGCCTAGGGCGATCCGACATCTGCCTTGAATGGTTCGACGCCCACGAGCGGGCATAGTTTGGCGTCGTATATGTGCTCTCCCTGTCCCAGCTATACAAAGAAGGCGGATAAGCGCGCCTCGTCGACCCTCGCGATTCCGACTCCCATCTATGGTCGACAGGCATGAATAACGGTACAGGGACCGGAACCGTCGGAGCCCCAGAATAGCCCAGCTCATTTCGTGAGAGCACGTTCAACGCATGGCCGACTTCATCAGCCGATTTGAAGCTGCCTACACTTGCACTGGGATCGAGATTGGCAGTCACAGCGTCGCGGAGGCGGTCAGCTTTCAGCTTTTGCTTGTGCCTGAGAGACATGATTCCAGCTGCGAGGATGATCGCGGAAACTACAGAGAGGGGAACAGCGTAGGCTGCAACGGGGGGTGGTTGGCGGGAGGCTAGGACATCTGGTTCAGAATTTGGGTTCTGTGATATCTGAGGGGCTGCATTCGGAGTGGTTCCGTTATGGATTTGCGATGCGTTGGACGAGGAGGCAGGATATGGTGGAGAAGAAGAGGGTGAGGCCGCCGTTGACGTAGTCATAAAAGCTGCCGTTGAAGAAGGGAGTTCTGTCGACGTTTCGGATGCAGAAGATGCATTTGCTGCAGAAAAAAAGGGCTCAGCAAAGACTAAAACTCTGGCAGACGAAAAGGACCCACGATCAAGTTTGAAAACAGGAGACTCGGCGGTAGAGCCAAAATTATCCGTCATCCGAAGAATGAAGTGCGAGGCTGAGGTTATATTCGGCGCAGACCTGAGTAAACAATCAACGCCAGCGCAAGATATTCTCAAGAGTAAGAAGAACTAACAAAGATACGCTGTACGTTCCAGCATCTGAAGTGACTGTAGGCCAGACAGTCGTTCCGCATGTACTGTCCGCTGATCCTGTGTCCGCCCCTGCGTCTGTAGACATGCAAAGCTGGAAAGAAGGCGACACCGCAGCTTTCTCTGTCTGCCACCTCCCGATGATAGTGTCCCCAGACCCAAAGACGTCGTCTGAGGAAGGGGATTGCCAGGTAATAGCGCTAGCCAAACTGTCGTCGCTCTGCTTTCTCGCCGTAAAATATTCGTTTTGTGTTTGTGATGTGGCAGACGGTGATGAAGACGATGATGATGAAGGGGGTGGTTCTGGGGCTGCTGTTGTTGCAGAGGGATCCGAAGAAGGGGAGCCTGTCCCACTTTCGGAAGCAAAAGGTGCAATCGCTGCAAAGCAACATCAGTCGTCATTTCGAACTCGAACACCGAAAAACTCACGATCAAGAGTGAACACGGGGGATCGTGCGAGTGAGCCAAAATCGTCCCTCATCTGAAGAAAAACAGGTGAGGTGGAAGTTACATTCGGTGCGGACCTAGCGGGCGATAGACATCAGCACAACTTAGTCTTTGAGTAAAAGAAACACCGACAAAGATGTGCTGTACAATCCCTCAGCGCTTGACGTGACCACAGGCCACACAGTCGTCCCACACGTAACATCAGCTGATACCGAGTCTTCCACTGCCTCTGTAGATATACACAACTGAAAAAAAGGCGACACAACAGCTCTCTCCGCTGTCCAGGCTGCGAGGATGGTATCCCCAACCCCGAAGACGTCAGTGTCTGAAGGGGAGTGCCAGAGGACGGGTAGAGTTTCGGGAATTTGCCTTCTAGCTGATAAATGGAGTAATTTTAAGGCGAGAGGTGCGATCAGGCGGTTGTGAGGGTTGTACATTGGTTTCCTAGGATAGAGCAGAAAAGGGGAAAGAAATGGAGGAAGACCCGCTTCGAAGAAAGGGATGAAGACCGTCAAGGTTCTTTGAACAAGGCGTGAAATGAGTGAAACGTCCAGCGCGGAGAAGATTGAAGGGCAAGGGGAAGGAAGGAAAGGATTTAGGGTGGCTGACAATGATGGTTTTTGGTGATATGTATGGGATTCCAAAATGTCCTGGGCCGATCATGGACACTTTTAACATCCGAGTCACTTCATCCTGCCGCAAGAGTGGGTTCAACGTTCAACGTTCAGTGTTCAACCTCGACTGCTAGAGTGCGACGTCCACTGACTTGGAGTAACGTGTCTTTAATTTGGCAAAGTGGCAGATTACCATATTGGGACGATGCATGACAAGGATGAGCCCAACCAACGTATTGAGAGTTGCCTCCAGGCATATTCACTTGAGGTACCGTACAGAAACAGCCGCGAGAGCAAACTTGGTTCGAACTTTAGCAACGCATTATCTCGCAGCCGAGAAAAATCAGCACCAGAGAATATTCATCTAGTCGATATGTTAGGTCCTGAAGCCCAACCAAACATTGCTGATGATGGAGGTCCAGAAACCTCCTTTGACGCAGCGTCCACCAGAAGCTGTTGTGCGCATTTATGTAGCTAGGCCACAATATCAGCACACAAGTTGATGAATATTGTCACGACTGACAACACCCTGCGACTTGTGTAGGCCTTTCGAACACATCATGATCGTATATATCCACTACCCCAATGCCCATCGCCAATTCCAGCGATGTGTGATGTGAGAGCCAAAAAGAATGCGCCATTGACCTGATATGTAGTGGGCGTCCGAGACAAAGAGTGCGTGTCAGGGGATGGCCAAGTGACGTGCTGAAAGTTGGCCAGAGGATTCGTAGCGTTGAGCAAGTTCAGAGGTTCAACCTCGAGCATATTGGCGTATCGTGATTAGGCGGTTCGGCTTGTACATTGGTTCCTCAACAGAGGGATGGAGGGTAAAGGGAAGTGTCGTTTCCTTCTGCAGGATATTTAAAGAGAGGGCTAATGCTTGGAGGTGACGCGCCTATGGCCCATCAAGCTTGAAGCTCAGGGACCACCAGGCAACCTGCGATTTGTAGGCCTTCCGATCACATTATGATCGTACAAGTCGCGCATCACCAATTCCAGCGATGTGCGATGCGAGACCCAAGAAGAATCCGCCCATGATATGTAGCGGGTGTTCCGTCGGTTTTGAGGGAGCGTAGAGTCTGTGTGTGTGTGCCAGTGGATAGCCAAGTGACGTGCTGAAAGTTGGCCAAGAGATTAATGGTGCTGAGCAAGTTCAGAGGTTCAGGTTCGACCATATCCAAGAAATTGCGCGTAGGCGGTGCGGTTTGTGCATTGGTTTCTCGACAGGGGGATGGAGGGGAGAAGTGAAGTGTCGCTTCCTTTTTGAGAGGGGGAGGGCTAATGCTGCACATATGGATGCATACACAGTCCCCGGCAAACTTGAAACCTCCATTGACGCATCGTCTACCAGAAGCTGTTGTGTGCATTTATGTGGCCAGGCTTCCGAACACCGTGACATGATGATTGTCCATGTCCAAAAGTACCCACTGCCAATCCCAGCGATACGCGATGCGTCCATGATATGCCGTCGGTTTCGAGGGAGCGTAAAGAGTGTATGTGTGTGCCAGGGCATGGCCAAATGACGTGCCGAAAATTGGTAGGGTTGGCCAGGTTACTGGAAAGATCGCTGAGCGAGTTCAGATGTTCAGTTTCTGGCATATTGAAAAAATTGCGCGTATTGAGATTAGTGCGGTTTGTACATTGAAGGAGGATCAAAGGAAAGGGAGGGGGGGAGAGTAAAGGGCATCATTTTTAGCCGAGGAGGGCTGATGGTTGAACACGGTGCATACGCAGTCCTGAAGGTCATGCACCACCAGGCGTCGAAGCCGTCGAGTCAACCTCCATATCCACTTGCGATATCGGGACAACCGCTGTTATACTCCGAGACGCAAACTGGGATAAAAGTGCACTGTGTATCCAAGAATCAGCATCAAGCACCTCCAACGGTGAATAACGCGACGATACCGTTTCTGATCCCTCATAGCCTCCAACATCCGAATAACCTCATCCTGCTCCGACAAAGTAAGTTCTCCACCGGGTAAATTGGCAGCGACGTCTCTAGCTTGAGAAAGTGTGTTTTTAAAATCGTTTGTAGCGTGCAAGAGGGCCTGTTTTGCTTCTGGAGTGGTTATACCCTCTGAACGACGTGTGAGTTCAAGGATGTGAGCGAGTTTTGGAAGGAGAGATTCATAGAGATGTGTAGTCATTGTTGTAGTTACTTTTTGCACCAACGTTTATGATACCCCCACGCCGCCGCCTGATGTAAAGCATCGCAATAAAAAGCATCCCTGCACCCCGAACATCTCTTCAACTCTCCAGGCTTGCCACAGTGCCCACACCACCCCTCCCTCTTCACCCACCTGTCCTTAACCCTCTCCGCCACCCTCTTCAACCACCCATCCCAAGGCGATCCCCCAATCGCCATCGACACTTTCGCATCATCAAACGTATTCCCCTCTGCAAACTTGCCCAACCTCTTCCCATACGCATCAATATCCTCTAAAACGAACAAACTCTTCCCACCACATCCCCTCCCTACATCCCCATACTGCAACGACGCAAGATCAAGTATCATCCCCGCCTCCTCCTTCCCCGCTTTAGCACTAGGATTAGGAAACCCAACAACAGCATGATCCATCACCTCCTCCCCTCCAGTGATATACGTCATATTCCCCGGTAACACACAACTAAGCGTCACCCCTCTCGGCTTGACCAACTTCATCTCCATAATCACCCTCAAATTCGCAGAAACGAGGTACTCCCTCCCCTTTTCCGTACGTACCCTCACCTGCGTATCAGGTGGGAAGAGCGCAAAGAAATGTTGGATGAGCGTAACGGATTTATAGCACGCGTCATGATTCCTCGCTTGCCAATAAAACGTCTCCAATTGGAATGGAGTCAAGTACGATAAATCAGGTTGGGCTGCCCATTGAGGGTCCCGAGGGGCAAGCATCGTAGAGGGCAAATCGGGGGGTGCAGACGGATCGTCGTCGTCCTCTGGTGAATAAGGAGGCAATCTATCGAACACAAACCCCGTTTTCTGCTTGTTGGTAGGATTATTACGCCACTCGTGTGTGAGCATCCGGATAGTTTTGAATTCTTCATTCTGCACGACCTCTCTAAGCTTCGTATGTCGGAACCGAGGTTCAGTAGCTGCACGTTCATAATTGAGCAAAAGAGCGATATCGTAGAGATCAATGATCTGCACGGTGGTGAGGATTTGTGCCATAGTTTATGTGTATCGGTATTTACCGAGTTATCTAATCTCATTATTCTCTACAATGAAGAGAATCGTCGTACTCATCTCAGGCTCAGGTATCGTACCCTCCACTATAACCTCCAACATATCTACACATTGTCACAGGAACAAACCTCCAAGCTCTAATAAACGCCCTAAACACACCCCGCCTCCCATCCTCCCAAATCGTCCTAGTCCTCTCAAACCGCAAAGCAGCATACGGACTAACCCGCGCCTCCCTCGCCATACCCTCAATCCCAACAACCTACCTAGCCCTCCAACCCTACCTCTCCCGCAACCCCTCAAAATCCCGCTCAGACTACGATGCCGAAATCGCACGCATCGTCCTGAGCGCGTCTCCCGACTTGGTAGTGTTAGCGGGGTGGATGCACATTCTCAGCGAGAGTTTCCTAGATCTGATGGGTCCAGAGATACCGATTATAAACCTCCACCCTGCGCTCCCCGGTGCATTTGACGGCGCTAATGCTATTGAACGGGCTTTTGAGGCTTGGAAGAGGGGTGAGATTACGAGGTCGGGGTGTATGGTCCATCGGGTGGTCAAAGAGGTGGATAAAGGGGAGCCGATCATCGTTAGGGAGGTAGAGTTCAAAGAAGGTGAGAGCATTGAGGAGTTTGAAGAGAGGTTGCATGCTGTTGAGCATGAGATTATCGTGGAGGGTGCTAAAAAGGTGTTGGAGGAGTGCTGATTTTCACAATGTATTTAACCCGTAGAATACACCTCCCCCATCCTATCCACCAACCTCCTCAACGCCCCATTCTCATCTCCGTTCGCGTCAACGAGCGGAACCAACATCATCCGTCCCCGCACATCCAACCCAAACGCCTCCCTCCCCCTCTCCGTCGGGGCAGGTGTGGTATAATTGTACGTTAGCGTGTGCGAGGATACCTTGAGTAGCGTTAGCGTCAGGCCTCTTCCATAAAAAAAAAGAACGTAGGGAATACCTGAGATATAAGATCATCCTCAGGATGAAACGAATACACCCCATCACGCGGCCTCTCCTGTTGCTGCTGCCGTTCACTCGTCGCATGCCGCATTTTCTTCGATTTCGGTTGCCGCCTCGTCGTCGATGAATGCGCAAGCATCGCCTCCTCTTCCTCCGAAAGATGATACGCGCGGGATATAAACAACAGATGACTGAACCTATACGGTTCGCCCTACATCATCTCTCCATCAACAAGTTGTTCAAGAAGAAAAAGAGGAGGGGAAGGAGGGAAACGCACATCTCTCAAAGCAGCATCAATCTCATCCACCAACATCCTATACATCGGCGGGACAACCTGCACAGGCATATTAACCAACCTCTCACAAATCACCAATCCCACATGTCTCCCCCCGTTCTCCCCTTGCCCATTCATCAAAAGCCTCTTCAACTCCTCACACAACCCAACCCCCGCCTCACCCCCAGCCTCAGCCGCCTTCCCAAGGACATACTCAACAACCGCCTGCACACCCGCATTGCCCCCATGCAAATGCACATTCAAATTCAAAACACTCAACAAAGCATACGGATCCCCCTCTTCCTCTCCCTCCTCCACCGCAGTCTTAACAGTCGTCCCAACCCTCGTCTGTCCCAACACCAACTCCACAATCTCCCTAACCTTCAAATACTCCGCGTCCCTTGAAAAGAGCTGTGAGAGGAGCCGCGTGAGGGCGTGATAGTCTATTTTAGGGTTTGGGTTGAAGAAATCGAAGGAGACGTTGATGAGGGAGGGGGTTGAGGAGGAGGAGGAGGAGGAGCGGGAGAGGGAGGTGGGTCGTTTTTTTGACATTTGGGTTTGGAGAGAAGGGATGGATGGAAGGCCGGGCCGGGATCAAATTTAGATAAGATCAAGGCTGCACCCAACATTGAACGGCGACATACATAGCCTTGTGTGTAGAAATAAAGTGCCGTATACCATGATACCCCTCTGTTGTAGCTGTCGGTAGCAGGCTGTCCAGCTTGGGAACCACGTTGCACAGAATAATTGAATTTTTTTTAAAAAGACCAATTACTCTCCGAAACGCCGTCCTCACTATTCACCGGCGTACGTACGACACCTCGCAATTGCAGCCAGAGCCACTTTTTGAGACGGTAGCCGTACTCAAAGTGTCCGAGAGTTTTGAAATATAATATGTCCATAAACTTGAGCGGCCATATGTACAACGTTCGTAGCAAAAAAAAAAAGTATTGAAAACCATCAAGAGCCATCTGCGACTCGACAACAGCACAACTAATCCCGTGCCGGGGAGGAGTACTGCCAACTATAAGGATCTGAAGAGAAGAATACCCATTGAAACCGCAAGGATGAGGTGGTAGCAAACCACATGAAGCAATGGAACTGTCCCCAATTTATGAGTGAGAGAAGATCGGATTTTTTTGTCCTCTTCACGTTTGAGGGCCAGCCATTGTTCATACATCTGACTGTTATCCTGTAATTGGACATGTGAGAACTACAAATCTGAATAATAATGATACAGCGCACCAACAGGTATCGTGTGATTGCTTTCCTGACTTTTGCCTTGTAGTCATCATGAGCTTGTAGCTGCTTGACCCTCGGGCGCGAAGATATATTATTTGGAGGCTTTTGAAAATCAAATACATAAGAGTAATATTCAACGGCAATACCACACACCAATGGACAAATCAAAGGAAATGTTTCAGGATTGTAATAACAAATAACATCAATCAGTTGTTCTGCACAAGGAGAAGCTCGAGATAGATGGATGACAATTGTTATCCACATGCTTTGATCTCCATGGCGTAGCCACTGTTTAGAAAAAGGTATTTGCATATTTGCCCCGCGACAAAACCGCCTCGCAAACATAGCCACAGAGAGAGAATGATGGTACTGAATCATCCATCCTGCTATGTCGGCATGATGCTGAGGGGTAAGGTGGTATTTCCCAGACCTACTAGGATCTAAAAAAAAATCAAGGAAGACCCGAGCGAGACCAGGGTCGCCAACATAAGCAAGATCAGGCATAAACCACTGTGGAATTTTGAAGGCAAGAAAATGGATGGAGTGGATAGGATCAAGAAACTCAACCCCTTTGAGGAAATGCAATATCTCCTTGTTGAAAAGTGAAATGTACCGCTTCCACAGAATGGGATTCTTTTCATCTAGTTTCTGCCATGAAGTCAGCCTGACAGATAGGTAAATACCAACCATGCCACACACTTCTTTGGATAGCCAGGAGATGATGCATGGATAGAAATCCAAGAATTTCTTGCCAAGAAAGAGTTTGATGTTGCTCTCATGAGGGCCCTTGTCATTCTTTTCTAAAAAATCAGCAATGTTAGCCAGCTCCTGAAGGGTTGCCCTTGCATGTCTGCCTGCTGGAAGACAAATTTTCCAATCCATTATTATCATCTTCAGGGCTAATGATGACTGTGTCATCAATATGTTGGCACAGGATATTAACAACCACATACGAGAATCTTTATCCAACGAAAGCCAATCAGGAAGCCGGGAAATTTGACTTAAACATCGTGGAATAGTCGCCCAAAGAAGCCCAGAAACTTCTCCCCGTACAATTTCTATGTCAATGTAATGTCCGCCAGACCGAGCTTTACACGTTAAAAAATCCGAGAATGACTTGTGGCGGATGGAAACGTATTCCTGAACTTCCAACACAGAGTGTAATTCCCTCAAAAGGTGCTCAACACCTCCAGGGTTGAGTTGGAGCAGTTTGTTAAGGAATGCCGAATAACCACCGTACTGGGCCATGATTGCCCCAAGGCAAAACAGAGTTTTCTCAATCTTGGAAGCTGGCACAGCATCTAGAATCTGGGTATACAGGAGATCGATTTCTGCAAATGGCGAGTACGTTCCACGCGGAAGAGTCCCGAAAACCATGTCAAGCCTTTGTTGAGGTTGGAAGTGCCCGTCATCGATAAATTTGATGACGGTGGATGCGTAGATGAATTGTCCGGATGCTCTTTTAGCTAGAGATTGGATGACGCCTTCTGGGGGCCATGGTGTTTCTTGTATGCAGTGTTCTCGGTGAATTCGTGAGAACTCCACCTCCAGAAAGGTTGTGATATCTTGTGTCACAGTGTCGTCCATATCAACAACAAGGCGGGCAGTTGCAGACTGTAGGTCAGACCGCTCAAACCTCATTTGAATGTCGTGTTCTGGGCGGCTACAAATGAGAAAGCGTAGGGGCAGTTCATGGTTCATGAATGCGTTGCAAATCGCACTCAAAATATCTGTTTGCTGTCTCTTGTCAACGCATTCATCCAATCCGTCAATGATTACAAGTAACTGTTGAGTCGAATCCCAGCCTTGGGCGGCGAGGGTGAGGGGGCGGACGATGAGCTGGAAAAGCTGTGAGTGTATGTCTTTGCTAAAAACAGAGAGGTCGTCCTCGACCGCTTTCGCAATGAATTCCCTCGCCCCGGAAACGGAGAGAGCGATTTGATAAGCGAGAGTGGCAACGAGGCGCTCGCTTGTGTTCCGTTCAGAGCCGGTGCGGAAGAAGAAAAAAGTAGCAGCGAGGCGGTCGTTTCGCTTGCAGCGTTCTGATATAGTCTGTGCGATTGCTGACTTTCCAGTGCCGGCTGAGCCAGAGAGCCAAAGTATCCTTTCACATGAATCACTCTCAACCCAGTTGAGAATTCTTTGAAGAATCCTCTCCCTTGTGGATGGATGGCATTTGGGTTGTGGGAAGCGCTCGTTTGAATCGTGCATGGCGCCAGTTGCGATGAAGCTGTGTAAACGCTCTAATGCTACCGGTGGACGTTAGAAGATTGAAAATTCATCAGGGTGATACCATGAGGGGACACACGATTTGTGGAGGAATTGACAAATGAGTTGTTGATGTGCGAATCACCAGCAACGTTGTTGAAGGTTCCACCGTTGATATTGCGGAGATGTGAATTGTTGAGTAGCCCTATCTGTGGCTGGGTGACCATTGGTGTTGTCGACGCCATGAAGGATGATGGGAAGTAGTAGCGTTATTTCGCAGTTCGGACAAGAGCCTCAGGCTGTTGAGATGGCAATGCTTGGCCGGCGCCTAAGGCCTTAGGCTGTGGAAAGCGTTAACTCTGTTTTCTATGTGGACAGATTGGAAAATTAACGAGCACCATTCTGGGTAGTCGTAAGGCAATTTCTATTGTTGTTGGTCCGATGAACTTTCACTATAAGTGAGCATGAGCCAAGTTGGATAAGTATGGACGGAAGGAAATGTGGCACGTGATATATTTCGGAAACATCCCATTCTTTTTTCTTCTTGGAAATGATGTCTATCAAACAGTCCATGAAATGACACAGTAAAATGCAAGTATTTCAATGAAGTGGACAAATAGCGAGAAAAAGGAAGAGAAGCAAATCTTTCTTCCAGATATCACACGGCACTTTCGATGGGCTCAGAATGACAATCCCCTTGTATTTCATCGCCGGGCATTCTGAAAGAACAGGGTTTTCATCACTCGAGTAGCCGATTTGTCATGGTATCACCTGTAAGCCCATGTTGGTAAGGAAGGATTGGAATGATTGCACCTCTGCAATCTCTTATGATACTCTCGGGCAGGGGTGACACTGCACAATCGCAGGTGATGGTCTTCGGGTGGCTGAAGTCGCTGTGGCGTCAGCTGTCGCTCTGCGTGGGTTTCATGCTATTGAGGCGTTGTAAATGCGCGTTCCTAGTTACAGGCTTATCTGAAAGGTGGATGTCTGTTTACCGCTCCCTTTTCATATTTTCTTTGGTGAGGCTTTGATTCCAATTCCTGTTGAACGCCAGCTGACAATCAGTTATCCCATCTAAAGATCGATAAACCCCTTTTCAGAGTGATGAGTTTAACGAACCTTTACTCGATACCGTTGAGTACTTTCACGACTCTTTGACTTCGTACGAATCCTCACAAAGACATCATGGACTATGGTCTAGACCGTCATCGGTAGACTTTGTCCAAACAGCCCGGAGATGGGATTCCAGCATCGATGTGTTTTCTGTCGGACGTTGGAGATGTCGCCTGATGAATTGAGCGCTTGCGCGTTGGACTCCAAAGTGCTTGTCCTCACGGAGCCCCACCGCTGACGTATCCGAGCGCCGTAGATATTGTCATGATTATCCCATCCACGACGGCCAGACAAGATTGTGGCAAAGCAGTGAGTGTGAAAGGCAAGGTCGTCCACGGTTGGTCTATCGCCGAGATCCTCCGCCTATGAACCAAGCAGTGGTCAATCATGACCCTGAAATCCCCAGTAGTTGATTGCACGCACTGGGTTTCAGAGGTAAGGAGCTCCAACTCTATAAATACATGGCAGGCTTGTCTTTTGAAAGCGTGGGGTTTTCAAGTGCAGCTTCTGTATAAAGAGGGGTTAAATTTCCGGCATTTGTTTTGTGGGTAACCGGTAGGTAGTGGTCAAGGACAAGTTGTTGTTCCGTGACTCCTGGAACGGATGCACGAGTCTTGTCTGCTTGAGATGATGTAGACAAACAACTCTCCTTGACCAGCAACAAAGGTCATTCGGAAGTAGCACACTCCAAGCACACTCTATGAAACTCATGGTTGGTTTACCAACATCATTTAGTATGTTCCCTTACGATATTCGCCTCTCATCTCACATTAGGTTGACTAGGGCGATGTTTGGAAGTAAGCAGAGCGCGTCACTTCAGTTGCTACCAGACTCGGCTCGCAATCGTGACCAACATTTTGGGGTTAGCAGGTGTTGTGAAATCTGCACTTCAAGTTTCATTGAGCTCTATGCCGCGCGTCTGCTTTTCCGGAGTTATCGCCGGCCAAAGCAAGCCCTACATTCGGGATGTGGTTGACTCCCTTGTAGTTCATCATGGCGCCTCGTCCTGGATCATTTCTTTGCTCCTTCTTCAGACCCTCTGTCTCAAGTCAAAAAGTCAAAGGCGGCCAGGACGAACTCTGGTTCAGTTGATTTGACTCGGTATTCTGACCTAACTCCGAAGCCTCGATCGTGCTGCTGTTAGCAAGTTAATGCAGCAAGACACCTGACCCAACGCTGTCAAGTTTTGGCGCCTCCGTTATACTTGTGTCTCCCTCATCTTCCACATTTAAATGGGCAGACCTTGATCACATGATCGTAATGCAGTGGCCGCTGGATATGGACCCCCGAATCGCTACCAAACCAACTCGTTGCGGTGGTATGCATATCTGTATGCTACCGAGTTATGTGGTCTGGAAGTGTCCCTTGGCGTCTCCGAAAATAAAGATCTGTGCCTGGGATTCCGCAAGAGAGGAGCGCTTCATGGTTAGGCATTAAAATAACTACCATTCAAACGTTCGAGGTTAGCCCAAACCCTTTTAATTTTGCACACAGCCTTAGGATGACCTCCTTTCAGGCGTATAAACAGCCAAGTACGTTGAAGTGCCATAGCAATCTGACGCCTCAAGTCATGATGTTCCTCAGCCGTTTCATTCTCGCCTTCGCATCCGTTACCTATGCGCTCCACCTACCGAATCCATGTGCGTTCTTCCCGCTGATATACCCATCCTTATTGACCTACCTCTTTTCAGCTTCCGAATCAAGCGTTCCTTACACCCTCATGGTAGCGCAACCTCATGCAGGTAGATCCGCAGCGTACACGCCTACATCGCGCATGAGCGCACGACAGAACATCTGCTCCCAGTATGGCCCATCATACGATCCCACCCAATACTCTTGCCTCGCTCCCACATGCATCAACACTGGCTATGGCTTCTGCGGCCCGTATTGCGGAAACTCACTCACTCCTTGTTCCGGTGCCTGCTCACCCGTTACATGTGGACCAGCTCCCCAGGGGTGCATTACAGATCCAGGAAAATGTATTAATTCCGCCCTGGATCTTATCGGCCTCAAGTACCCCGCCGCTATCATCTATAGCATCCAATCACTGTTATCAGAGGTCCAGACCTGCATGAAGGATGTGGAGAACGACACGCCTCTTTTCAGTTGCTTGGGACACATCTGCGGGCAGCCTGGCGACTCTGACCTGCAAACAGTGGAATGCGCTCTTACTTGTGTGGTTGAGACTGGTGTTCCAAACAGTTGTGTGACATTCCTTAGCGATGCGGTTCTTTTCGCCATTGCTTCAGCCGCGACGGTAACCTCGCCGGAGCTTGCCATTGTCGTCATGTTCGTAGAGGCAATTCAGTGCCTGCTTGCAGGCTGCTCCACTTGAGGAAACCCCGTTCGACATTTTTTACCTATCATGCTATTTTCCTGTTAGGATTTCATGTTTTTCTACTTTTCGTTGGTATTACTGCGCACAACTACATTGGCAACCACTTACCGATACCCACTTCCAACCTGTCGTTAACTTTACCAGTCGTTAATTACTTCTTTTTATCCTGACGGATATCTGTTTATGGTTCAAGAAAAAAACTGTGAATGAGCACTTACATGCTGCTTGTAATACAAGTCGACTGCCTCTGCTCATAACCACTGGCAACCCTCGTAAAGATCTTCGAGAGGCCTGTTACAACTTGTAATTGTTCGACTCAGCCTGCTATGTGGGATAGAAGAATCAAATTTATCACTTCAAGTTGATTTCAAGCTTCCAAATGGCAATATATATTCAATAATTATACGACAAAACAAACATCCTCAAGTTTTACAAAAGAATTCCTCACGCGCCGAGAAAAGATAAACGAAGTCCTGACGAGGTGACCAGCCGCAACGTCGACTCCAGATCGACCACATCCATGTGTCCATCGCCGTCCACCGCCAATTCAACAGATTTCGGAACACTCGCTTCCTCAGCACACGCGATCGTCATAGGTGTGAAAGGGCCAGTGTCGTCATCCGAGTTTTGTGAGAGAGACGCGGGCGAGGTTGGGTCCGAGCTTGAACCTGGAGAAGTAACATTTGAGCTTGAGCCTGGAGAGGCCGCATCTAAGCCTGGCCTAGGAGATGTCGCGTCTGAGCTTGAACCAGAAGATGTCGCATCCAGATTAGCCACAGGAGATGTCGCGTCGAAGTGTAAGTCTCCGTCCCACGTCGAATCCCAGGTTAAAATTGAATGAACCGACACACCGTCCGCTGGTGTTGGCGCAGCTATGTCCAACAGGATCTCCGAGGCCGGATCTAAGTCCCCATTCAATCCGACGTTAGCAGCTTCATTCCCAGAGGTCGCAACCGTAAGGGCCAAGGGAGACGGGACACCAAAAGGAGTAGACAAAATCCAGCTTGGGCACCTATACATCTCCTTCAAAAACCTCCTCGTTGAGTTTGACTTCAATCCTTGCTGCTGCTCCGGTTTGGAACCTTGTTGCCTCGATTTCGAGTCTTGCTGCTCCCTCGAATCCGAATCTTGCTGTTCGACCGTATTCGAATCCTGCTGTTTCTCCCTCGAGCTCGAATCTTGCTGCTGCCTCGAACTCGAATCTTCTGGCTTCTTACTCTCTTGCCGCTGTCCCCCCTCTTGCGTCCTAATCTTGCTCGTTCTCTTTGCGCACCCGTGCCTCTTGATGCTCCTGTTGCCGTTATCAAACCCAAGACCAACACCAAGCCCGAGTTGCTGTAACGCCCTCCCATAGCACGTTCTCGGCACTGAGGTACAGATCGAAGCCTTGCTCGACACCGTGACAACGGGCAAATTATAAGTGAACCCAATGCCACTACCGATTTGCTCAATTCCAACCGGCAAGTCGAGCTCCTGTAGCTCTTGTCGCCGCAAAGCACTCGTTGACTTGGTCTTACTCTTCGCCATCCTCCTCTTCCGAAGTTTGTGCTGTATCTGGAGGGACGTCGTGCTCAAGCTTGCTAAGAGTTGCTGGGGATAGATCAGGGACTTCTGACGGCGTAGCTTCGTAGGCCCAGAAATGATGTTCACCGAGATGACTGATCCACGGTCGACGTTTCTGTTCGTGTCCAAGGAACCCTCGAGCTCCCTGTCGAACGCATCCCAGAAACGTGCTCTGCGCTCGGTAGAGTTGGCCTCTGTGCCCTCTTCTTCGTCCAATCCAGCATCTTCTACACACGACGCTTGAGCGGGTATGGGAGAGAAAGAATCGTTTTCATGGATGGGCAGAATCGACATCGAAGACTGGAAAATCTCAGGAAGCTGAGGAATGATCGTCTGGGTCTTCCAGTCGATCAGAGAAGGATTTGAGTCCAACACGGTCGACCTGAAAGGTGTCAAAGACGCAGCTCTCTTCAACGTGTTCGTCTCGTTTATAGTTCGGCCGCTGTTAGATTGTGGGACAATAGGCACTACGATAAATATGGTTAGCCCATAGCACGGTATTAACAAATTTGATTAATTGCAAACCTTCGCTACGTTTCGAAGCCACCACCTCCCAGGATCTGAGGTAGATTAGTTGCCAACATAAGAAGAGATATGTGTTGCTCACGTTCGTGAAAAGTATGGATGTTCCTTGATCCTTTCAATGTCGGGCCGCCCAACAGGATTCCGTTCCAAACACTGTTGTGAAAAACTGTTTAGGGCCAAGGTACGCACGCATAAATGCAGCTCATACCTTCAAGATCAAATCCCTGGCTCTAAACTCAACAGTGCAGAGCATCTCGGACGGTATTGAGCCCTGCAGAATCTTTTCCTTGTGTAGTTGATGGTCGTCGGCTTCAACAACGTCAAAGGGGTGCTTTGGAGGGGTTAGCACATGGAATTTGACTCGAAGTTATCATGAAAATAAGCCTCACCGTCCCAAGTAACATGAAATACAAAAGCATCCCAAAACCCCAGCAATCCACAGTCGAATCGTGTCCCCATCCCAGCAAGATCTCGGGAGCATGATAATCCTTGGTTTCCGACTCTGCCACGAGCCTATTTCCACTCAAGAAGCTCCGTGAGGGACCGAAGAATTCCGCACATTCAAAACACGTCAAAAGGATGTGTCCTTCGCCATCGATCATCACGTTCAAGGGACTCAAATCCCTGTGCATGATACCTGCAGAGTGGAGGGTAGAAATCGCCATTGCCTTAAGAGAGCGTTACTTCTGCTGTCTCATAGGCGGAGGGGAAAACTCACGATTTCGGAAGCGTAGAACAGAACGACTTCCGCTACCAGAAAGCCATCATGCCTACTAACAAGACCACGCAAGGTGAGCGTAGGTTCGGGATCCTTCCAGGCCGCTTTAATCAGCATATAAAACTGGAAACCATGGCAGACGACGTACCAAAACCAGATACATCTGCTCCCCCTCTTGAAACACCGCATGTAGATATGGGATGAATACAGTTCGAACCTGGGTCGAGGGAAAATCGCGCATATATTCCAAGAAAAAATGTTCAGGCCACCGGGAAACTGCCTGAGAGTCCACCCGCTTGGATTTGAGAGTGAAAAGCTTCCCTGTGCTACGGTTCCGGCAATGGGTTGTCGTAATCAATTTGCGAGTGACTTGAGGAGGCTGGAGAATTTCAAAATCAGACAGCGCAGGGGGATGCTACACTCGAATGTTAGAAAGGGTATATGCAACAGAAGGCAACACACTGTGATAGCTAAGGTCGGTTCCAGGTCCTCTGGTATCGTAGAAAGCGTCGAGGGGAATTTTTTGGGCATGATCATCATAATTTCCTACAAACAACTTGAAAATCCAACCATTAAAACCGCTAGCAGATGTGAAGGCATACCTCGATGTCATCATCATCCCACACAGACAAATTCGTATAGTTCTTAGAAAGTGCGTGGGATCAGCTACAACCTCACGAAAGGGAAAAAGCGCACATGGGTATTGTAGCTCGTTTCATACGTAGCGCGGTCAAAGTCCGGAGAATTCTGATCATTTAGGGCGAACGGAAGCCCGCCAAACAAACCAGAAAAGGTGTTCTACGGCCAGGACATTAGAATGCAAAGGAGGCAAAGGGGAGTTCCAACAAACCGAGAATGGCTCAAAGTCCAGATCCTGGACTTCCAATTGTGGAGCTTGCACAACCATTGCGTAACCTTTGCGAGGGCTGGAAAGATACTATGGCGGGGTCAACAGGAATGATGTCTATAGACCGCATATATCTGTGAGTTCGCTGAGCAGAAGGAGGATGTCGACACGCACTGTGCTTCGATCACTTGGAGACCACTGTCGTTCTTTAAGAAGCCACGGGCGGGCACGAGGAGATGGAGGGTATCGCTATGGATGAAAGGAGAGGAGAGTGCGCAGGCGAACGGGGAAGAAGGAGAAGAATGCGAAGCTAGCCAGGAGTTTGTTTGGTCTAGTGTGGCACGGGCTCCGCGTTTAATTTTGGGAAAAGTCCTACAGAATGCTTCGAGTGATAGGCTCTAAGGGTAATTGGTTAGCGTCCTTTTCTCCTTCAAATCGTAAACAACCTACTTTTCTTTTGGTGGTCAGAGCACGTCGTGAAGTGTCGGTGAAGGAGAGGCTGGGCTAACATACAAGAAAAGTAGTTCAAAATGACACCACACGTGGAAATCGGCAGCACTTACTTGTGACGAAGGAACAACGTATTTCGACTAATTCCATAGTCAAATTGCGGTAAGAAAGTGGTGCAGGGGGATTGACAATTCATGTTCGCTGAGAGGCGCCGCGATGCGCTCCTAAACAGTTGTGTTCATTGCCAATAGAGATCCAAATTGAGAAGATAAGTCCAACAAGTTGTAAACCAACTCTAGACATTCTTCTCGGTATTGCCATGGTCTGGTCTGAGTTTCTTCGCAAGCACAAAACTGTAACACGTAGTGGATCCTACGGGTGTAGCTTGAACCATCCTTTTTGATCTTTGCGATTCCAAAGCACGAATATGTGAATGCAAGGAAGTACACCAATGGGTGCTTGTTTCTTGAAATTGAAATGTGAGATTCCAGCTGCTAGTTGAATGAATACTTTGAGAACGAGGACCCCACCCAGAAGAGACGAGAACCACAATTCTTCTTCCTCACTGTTGATTATTGGTTGACAACGTTGAAGCTGAAGTGAGCAGGATGATCGGAAGTCGGAGTCTATTTCGTCCCTGTTCCGTGAACAATTTTTTGGGCCACGGTCCTCCTCCCAACCTCCTCCAACGACGATGTCCACAGCAGCCCTTGCGATACCCCATTCGCCCACAACGACGTCCTCCTTCTTCTTCTCCGACCACTCCGGCTCGCCACCAGCACTCAACGCAAACACCCTCGCCCTTCTCGACGCTTTCCTCTCCGACAAAGCAGACCAAGAACAGCGCTTTAACGAGCTAGCAGCAGAACAAGCCGCAGCGCGCATAGCAGGTCTAGCTCTGGATGACGAGCATTGCCATGGCGAAGAAAATGAAGAACCGACCAAACCATCACCTATCAGCGTAGCGGAATTCCGCCTCGCATTTGGTGAAGACTGGCAGCTGAGCCAATTCTGGTGAGTACAGAAAGCCGATGAATAAAATGCGGGATACGGGATATCCTCCCACCCAAACCCATGATGGACTCAGAGGCCGACGTGCACATGGCCAGAGGATGCGACACTTGAAAAGTACGCATGAAAGATGGACTGAAAGATGGACCACGGGATGGAATCGGGACCAGGGGTGTACCACACACACCGGACACAGTAACCTTTTGACTGTCAGGACGACATCTTCTATCTAACTTTCAACCCATTTCTTTCGAGCTTGAAAAGACGGGCAAGCCTCAAGCCCTCTCCTTTTCATCCTCCACTAACTCTATATCTCTAGGTACACAGATCCCTTCGCCAACCACCTCGCTCGCGCCCTTCATACCCTCTGCACCCCGAAAACAACCATAGCATTCCTCTGCTGCCCAACAGGCTTCGTCGCATTCCAACATTTAAACCCACTCCCAGGTGCCCATCTCTTGGAGTACGATCAACGCTTTGCGGTCGTCTCGCCAAAGCAGTATACCCCATATGACCTCGACGAGCCAGACGTCTTTCCTGAAGCGTTGAGGGGTAAAGTAGACATGGCGGTCGTAGACCCACCATTTCTGAACGAGGTACTTTTCTCCATTTCTTACGCACATCCATGCATACTGACTTGATGTCCAGGTAACCAATACCAAAATCGCTCAAACTCTACGTCAAATTCTACATCCAACCCGCGGAAAACTCCTCCTTATAACGTCAACCTCCATTGAAGAAACCTTGCACAAAATCTACGACAGTTCCCCAGTCGGACCTCTGCGAAAGACCACGATGGTCGTGGAGCACCGCCAACTATCCAATGACTTTGCTGCGTGGGGCTCTTGGGAGGGTGCCGAGGATTTTGGGCTGGACCCTGATACCTTGTCGGTTGAGGAGGGAAAGGACAACTAACATAGAGATGCGCTGGACGCTGCGGAATGGAAAGGCATTTTAGAAAGATATCTTACATTACATAAATACACGTCTACGTACATCTCTAAATGGATGGGTAAATATTGCAATACCATGTAAGTGTACAACGGGTACAAAAATGAGTACGGCAAAGAAGGAAGGCGGGTGTCGGTCATAATACAGAAAACGAAGGTATCATATGGTAGGGGAGCTTGTGAGCGATCTTTATGACCGAGAGTCTTCCGGTTCGGCACCAGTGAGGTCCTCTAAATCAGCCATCTCCTCCCCTCTTCCCTCACTAGGGCTTCTCAGCAAAGCTTGATCAAAGTCAATAAAATATACATCCGGTCCGTTGACCAGCATGTTTGGGGTACGAATATCACGATGACGAACCCCGCCATCATGAATACTTCGTAGCGCGTTGTAAAAGGCCTTGTTACGAGATACAGTGTGACGTCAGAAATAACATCAAAAAGTCGTTTAGGTCAAGACACACCGTTCAGATTCGGAAACCGTTACTCGGTTACCAGGTTGTTCCACCCCTCGGTCGAAAAGCGACACACCACCAAATGGGAGGATGAGCATTAACGGCCCTCCTTCCATGTCTCGAAAGAGGCCGTAAACCAACCGTAAACAGGGAGAAGACCCTTTACGTTTTTCGTGCGCGATAGGTGAGCGTACGCTGACATTTCACGTTCGAGACCTCTTGACTCTCAGAAGGAAAGGCGAGCTTTGCAACCACATCACGGGTAAGTGTCGTGCCATGTCTCGTTTGGAGTGACAGTACCTCGGTGAATGATACCGACAGCCCCTTTATCCATCTCAGTTCCCAGAGTGAGAGAGGATTATTCAGTCGGATTGTACCCAGCTTCTCGCTTTGGGTCCTTGAATGGTACAGCTGTTTCGCCCCAAAGGATGGAGGGACCACACCGCAAGAATGAGGCCGGAACAGGGGAGTTGTAGATGCCATACTGAAGACGAACTAAGGCCAAATCGCGACGACCGACTTCATGCATGAAGAACTACAACTTGTGAGTTAGACATGAGGGTGAATAAGAGAAACAGGGCGTTGACACATAATCCGTGTAAGTAGTGTCGCCCCACATCCATCGCGTCCCTTATGATCGGATTGTACGTCGGTTTTGTCAGGAAGCAGTGGCCAACCTCGGCCGGGGGAAAAGCTAGGTCTGAGGTTCTTTGAGTGAGTTCTGTGGCGACGTTGGAAAAATCAACGAGTAATGAAGATAGTGACTTCACGTTTCTCAGCACTAAGCTCTGATCAAGGTGCTTGTCATGGAAATACACCACTGACCGTGGAGGAGGGATGATTCAGTGCGCTCTCTGGGGGTTCAAGAGGATAAGAAGAAGGTAGCCGCTAACCGACCTTCGGCAGTGTATTTCGCCGCCAAAGTTCTGGCGACGATCTTTCCAACGCCAACAAAGCCACGAACCCAAAGAACCCAAACCAAAAATTTGCCAACCTCGGCACAATATGGACATGATACATATATACCTAGTCCACCTGAGAGTCCACCTTTGCATGTTTCTGGTGTTGTCCTGGCACCTGGATCTGGTGTACGTGCTGCCACCGCTCAATATAGTGTTGCTGCCATCCACACCACACAACCCCAACGCATCTCATCACACTCAGTTCACGGTACTAGTAAGGATTGCCCACCCAGGGTTCCAGAGGACAGTATCACAGTTGAACGATCCAGCCAGTCATCCATCTAACCTTTAGGTGGAGCGAGAGGTGGTTCCTGTGTCCACTGTGACAAGGACACGTGATCCACCGGTGTTGATGCGAGCAATTTGGGTGCCTGGAATCTCCTCTGGAATTAGGGTGTCGCCGAAGGCAACTATGTCATGCGACAAGTAGGTGCCAGGGGAAAGGTGAGGCGTTGCCATGGCATAGTGGTCAAATGTTTCATTGAAACCACTATCAAGGCGGCTGAAGATGAGTCGGCCTTTCGGTGAGAAGCCAGTGGTTGGGATGAACATGACCCAGTGGTCAGTCGGAATCGACGTTCGCATCACAGTCGGATCGGCATTAATGGACGGGAGGGACCACTCTATGTCGAAAAACTCACGCCGCATGGCGGCTTGACTAACATCCTGGCGGTGGGGCGCGATCGTGGTGCCATAGGGGCCGACAGGAAAACTTCCTCGCTGATGTTGGTAGATTCGCTCTGCTCCTCTGCTGACACGTAAGCCTTGGTGTGTTACTTGCTCTTCGACCCTGTTCGCAGATGAGTAGATGAAAAGTGGCTCGGCGTCAATAAGGATGGTATCCCGAATCTCGTGGAGAGCATCCTGGGGCTGGCCCGGTTCATAGCGCTTCTGCCCAAAAGGCTCATAGCGTGGTGTTAGCCTCTTCTGTTTGATAATCCACTGAGCCTTGGCAAGTATGGATGCGTCGTTAGGACCATTGAGGAAGGGTAGTTTCAGAGTAGCCCATTCGAGTTGCTCGGTATAGATCCTTTCAACATATACTTTGTACATGTCCCGTGCGTAATTGAGCGCGTTTTCCAATTGGACGGTGTTTGTGATCCCGGTACAGTTGACAGGCGTGAAGGGCTGGGGAAGCGGGAATCTAACGGGAGGCATGTTTCCTGTGTATTGTCCTAGTTAGTAATGTATAGAACGTGTATGGGTGCAGCTGTACTAACGGAAGTGGATTTCGGAGTAGGCTGTCTTTGTACGAAAACGTAGGTCCACCGTCACGAAATCCACTGCGCAAGCCGTAGGTGTCGGAATAGGCGTTGAGGTAGGTACTGGTGAGGCGGGTTCGGCCGACTTTGTTGCAGTCGTCGTCGATGATCAAGGAAGGGCCTAGTCAACGACGAAGATATATAAGACTGGCGGCTGACTTGTAAATTCCATGGTTGATGAATAGGCATGGACAGAATTTGAGAAAAACCCGATCGGTATGTTTCAGGAAGCGCAACACCTGAAAAGGGTCTGGTTCTGATCCAAAAACGGGGTTGTGTTCATCNGTCGTCGTCTTCCCCCCCCCCCCCCC